CCCTCTCAAGGCCTTGCATCTTGCAACGTATGCTACTTCTTCGAAGACGTGCTCATGTCGTGGAGATCGCTGTGACTGGCCTATATTCGGACGTTCCGCCGACTAGAAGAGGCAATTCCTACTTGGCGCAGTTTCAACGTAGGTTTCCTAGCAATGCTTGTGGCTTGTCGAAGCTCAAAGCGAGCTTTCCGACCCGACGATGTCGATGGAGGCGGCTTTGGATCCGACGGAGGTATAATGCTCGCCTTTTTGCGACACAAAAAACGCGAATGCAATAAGTACAACAGTGTCTGCGTTTAGACTACAACATTTTACAAACACTCCATACATTTGGTCACAGGAAACACTTCGTTGGTTGGCTTGACGTCACACTGCTGGAACTTTGCAAGACCTCCACCGAAATACAACTGCAACACTCTTCTACCTCCGCCCGCAAGCTTTGTTGGGCGATAATAAAATGGCAGAAACACAGAAAAGACTACGCGTTGGTGTTATTGGCGCCGGAGAAGTCGCCCAGGTCATCCACCTTCCCGTTCTGGGTCTTCTCAGCCACCTGTATACGACAACCGCAGTGTGTGATATCTCGTTAAAGGTAATGTAGAATATACCCCCCGAACATTCCGGCATGTCATCATTGCTAACAATTTGAACAGACCGCAGAGCACTGTGCTACCAAATTCCACATACCTCTAGCAACAAGCGACCCCAACGACATCTTCAAGAGTCCAGACGTCGATGTCGTTTTCATTCTCACAAGCGACGAATTCCACGAACCGTACGCAATCGCAGCCCTCGAAGCCGGCAAACATGTCATGATCGAAAAGCCCTTCACCCTCTCCGTCCAAAGCGCCGACCGCGTCATCGCCGCCCAAGCCAAATCCAACGGACGTATCGTCTTCATCGGCTACATGAGACGCTACGCCAAATCCTTCACTCAGACCTTCAAACGCGAAGTCGAATCGATCCCCAGAATCCACTACGCCCGAGTCCGCGACTTCCCAGGCCCAAATCCCCTCTTCGTCTCTCAAAGCGGTGCTTTCGCCGTCAGACATGTAGACGATATTCCCTCTTCTGCTGCAGAAGATCGAGATAATCGTCTCAACGCTCTTTACAAAGAAGCTTTCCCAGGCGACCAACCTATTACAGAACAGGGCATCAAACTCTGTCGATTCCTCGGAACGCTCGGCTCTCATGATCTTTCCCTCATGCGTGAAGTTCTCGGTTCCCCATCAGAAGTCCTAGCCGTCACGGCCAACGATCCGGTTTATACCGCAATGTTCACCTTCCACAACACCAAATCCCCAGGCAAAGAACCCTTTACCGTGACCTACGAATCCGGATGGGACGAAGTACCAGATTTCGATGCTCATCTCGCCATATACGGCGAGAAGAAGAGAGTTTGGATTCAGTACGATTCGCCTTTTGTTAAGGGATTAGCGATCAAGGTCGTCGTGCAAGAAAAGAATTCCGAAGGAGAAATTGAGACGAGGGAGATGTTGGGTTCGTATGAGGATGCTTATACAGTGGAATTACAGGAATTGTATGAGTGTATTGTAAATGGGAAGAAGGTCAAGACGTCGGCGGAGGATGCGAGGGAGGATTTGAGGTTGTATGATGAAATGTATAAGAAGTGGGCTGCTGGCCAGGCTGCTGCGTAGATCGGGACTAGGTCATTTTTTTAAATGCGCATCTTTAGCAGTACTGGTAAAGCAGAACGCGGGACAAACAGAAAGGGCTATGTTCACAGTCAATCAGTCGATCAACTGCACAATAGTACACATGATAAATTTTGTCCAGTTATGTCCCTATCTTAAATCGCTCTGTGGCGCTAATTTCAACACAAGAATCTCTCTCTCATTCTTTCTAATGTATCCTTGGAAATGCGTGCAAAAGACAATCAACGCTTTTCGTAGAAGGTTGTGATTAGTAGATAGCACACATTATATCCGTTGTATGACGTGGGTATCATCAGATGTTTGGCCATCCCAATGGCCGTTGGCGCTAACATGAAATGCTGGACGCTGCAGTAGAAGTCGAACAAATAAGGAAATCCATGCCTCGATGGCAATTTAGTGCACAGTGGTTTCGTCGCTGCTCCCGTGGGTCGTCTTGACCAAGTTTTTCGAAAAAGGGTAAAAATGAAGTCCAGAGAATGTTGGCCTGGTGGGCGAAGGGTATCACTTTACAGTGATCACAACAAGGGCAACCTGTTACATGTCAGCGATTGCTTCGAACAATTCGAAATGATAGGACTTACCACAGCCCCGATCACGAGCAATCCAATGACGCTCATGATCCGATTCAGCATCCTCCACCACTTGGCTTTGCGATACGTCCGCTCATCTCTCCATCTTTGCTCGGCATCGCCCGCCTCATGACGCATCATGGCCTGCTCTATGTCTTCCTCGCTTCCAGGGAGAGCAGCACGATGTTTCTCCAATTCGGTCTCGCTGGGCGGCTGTTTCGGCAGAGGCAGCACAGCTGCCAACATCCAGAACAACGGCATGACAAAGCCTAGCGTGAACAGCAACACCTGCCTATTGCATCGAGAGCGAATGAGCGTGTCGAGGCTCTCGGTGAAGCTAGGAGCTTGCCAGAAGGACAGACGGGTCTGAGACGTTCGTTTGCTGGGCGCCAGGTGCGGTTGTTGGCCGATCAGCGAGCCTCCAAATTCGGAGAGACGATCCTTGGTCATCGGTCTTGGAAACTCCATCTGATCCCACTGGCCTTGTTTGCTGTACTTTCGAAGAGGCTTGTGGCGGGGTATGCGCTGAGGCGGCGAGCTATCGGGGTCTTGTAACAATCCCCATCGCGGTTGGCCAGATGGGAGGACCTCGAAATCGGCGCCGTGTTCAGGCTGTGCAGGATCTGCTAGAATGGGCATTGAGTCTGGTCGGTCGTCATTCGAAGGTCGAGATCGATTTGTCTTGTTGCTCTTGTTACTCTTTTGGCTTCTGTGGCTCTTTTGAAGTTTGGATTTACGCGAAGCTTCATTAGGCCTCGTGCGAGGGCGAAAGATCGCAGGCAGGAAGTGGCTACTCGTCGGACTCACGTCTCCTTCTGTGCTGTACGTCTGCCCAAGGCGACTTGTTATACTGTGATCGGTCCACGTGCTGTCGCCTCTTCGATGCTGTTGTGGTGCCGTTCGCGCCCGATCTGAATTCGATAGGCTGCTCAGCGAGATCTTGCTGGACAACTGCGCGTTACCACTGTAGAAATTTCTCGCCCACACGGGAAAGATTCCGGCGCCCTGACTACTAATGTCGCTACCAACGTAGCTGACTTCGCTTTGTCCGCGCGAATGGCCCGGAGTCGTGTTGCTTCGACCTCGCAGAGAATAGCCAGATCTCTTTTGATGTAGCGAGGGCCGAGTCATTTCTGATAGTGTGTCGAATTGCTCGTCACTGTCACGACTCTGGGGGACTGGGGGCATAGGAGGAAGCGGACCATCGTACTTCCTCGTTCCAGCAGCATTACTCGGCCCTGCATTGTCCACAACTGTTGCGCTGTTTTGTGTCCGGAATAGTGGCTGCGGCACGGCCGACTCTTCTCGATAGATACCCAGTGTCATATCTCCCACATCCGTGCCTGTTCCATGCGTGGCCGGCGATGGCAAACTCGATGCGATTGAATCTACTGGAGCACTGCGACGCCGCGACCCATCGAAGGTCATGGAGAGCGGCGTCTGCTGGCCGGATGCTATTGTCAACACCCCACTACCAGCAGACCAGTAGCTGAAGTGGTGACTACCCGTCCTGCCATCGCTCTCGCTCGCGATCGTGCTCAGGTGATTGCTGAAAGGGCGTCTCGGGTATGGTAGCGTATCGATGTCCTCCTCTGCGTCCATCGTGTCATTTGAACCACACTGTGCTGTCCGTGTCCGATCCTCGCTCGCTTGCGAAGCTGCCTGAGAGGCCAGAGATGTCGACGCAGGCTTGTGTCGCACTCGTCGCCTAGGTATGTACAGTGGCGGAGGGGTGCCGCCGTTATCGAAAGATGCCCACGAGCTGTGGCTTGCTAAACGCGCACCAGGAGGCTGAACACTGTATAGCTCGAGCCGCGAATTGATCGAATCGATCGAGCTCGCTGGATGCAGTAGGCGTGGCCGCGAGACCGAGTGGCGGACCACGCTGCCCACACTCGGGCTGTACGCGACGAAATTGGGCGATGACGAGTGCGACTGAGGAGCCTCAGAGATCGAAGCCGGCTCCGAATCATACACTCGCACGACGGGAGATGAAGTTACGTCTTGAAGGTTAGGATTGCTTGGTAAAGTATGTATCGACCCTGTCGAATATGCGCTTCTCCAAGTCCGTGGTAACGATGTAGGCGAGTCCGAGTCGCTAGGAGATTCGGAGGGCGGTGCAGAGGGTCGTGAGGCTGCAACAGAGGCGTCCTGTAACGTCTCCGACCCTGGTCCCGGCTCGACCGGCGAGGATGTAGACGTCTCAGACTGCGGGACAGCGCGAATGGTCGTGCTCAAGTCTGGAGATGCTTCCTGCAGCGTCTGCAGCGACAACCTTGCCGAGGCATCGGCGTGCGCGCGAGCTTGATTCTCGTGCTCGTGCGGCGTGGGAGTTCCACGAAGAGTGGTGACCTGGCTGGAGCGATGACTTCGCGAGCTTTTGCTCCCCAAGGCAATTTCGCTACTGCTCTGCAATGTGGAACATTGCGAGAACCATCCTGAGGATGTGCTTCGGCGGTGGCCATCTGAGCTGGCAAGCGTGAGCTGCGACGATTCGGAATACAGGGTTGTCGACGGTGCTCGATCCTGTTCTTGATCTGTTCCCGACACCTCATTTGCTGAGGTGTGTGCTTCTGAAACATGCGAGACCCGGCCTGAATCCGGAAATCCTTGTTCTGAGTCGCTAGCTTGCGTCAAGCGAGGTATGGCGTCTGTCTCTTCCGCCGCCGCCCGCTGTGAATGCGTTGCAGGATCTTCTTGGCCGTCATCGTCACCGCTGTCTTGGGTGTCTCCGTCGGCGGAGTAGTCTGGCGAGGTGTAGAGTGCTGGTTCTGAGGTCGAGACCGAAGGCTGCACCAAGCGAACGGTCGGCTTGTCGGGAACGGAAGTGGAGCTCGGGTTCTGGCTTTGGCGCCTCAACTTGAGCTCGTTTGCGCTCTTCGCCGCTCTCTTGTCGTCGTGCGCGTCGCGGAGGTTGGTGAGGTCGCGTTGGGAAGCAAAGAACCCTCCGCCCCTCGCGTCTCTGGACTTCCGCTTGGCCAATCGCTCGTAGAGTTCTTTGCGTTCCCTCACCCGGCCGCCGGACGACATGGGCGTGATTATGGAATTAATACTGTGTTAGAGAGCGAAAGTGGGTAGGGATCGTGGGCGTTGGCATAATCAAAAGAGTGACAGGCGCGAGAGCAGATATGCTCTGCGCAACCGAAAGACGCCTCGCTCAAGCTCGCTCGCGATCCAGCGTGAAGTGTGCGCGGTGGGCGGTTGTTGAAGTATGTACAGCTTCAGGAGTCGCCGAAGCGGTCTGGTAGTCCGTTGACAGCCAATGCAATTGTCCGTGTATGCAGGCTGCAAGAAGAACGGGTCCCACCAACGGCGTGGGTTATCCTGGTCGCGCAGGCGCTCGTGGAGTGGCCGGGGTCGTGAAGACAGAGAGAGTGCGGCAGTGGAACCAACATGGAACAGGAAGAACAGCGAAGAGAGAGATTCGGCTGAGATACACTCACAAAGTCAAGCCTGCTGACCACGATACCGCCGTTAACAGTCTTGCGGCTTTCGCAATCGATAGGCAGGGATGCCACGAACCATCATGGAAATTGAAGCTGGCCATTTTGACGCGATCACGCGGAAATGACACGCCAGCTAGCAGCATCGTCTATGCCGCCGCCTATCCACCAATCAGCCACGCGCCGTGCCGACTTCACTGTCGCGCTGCGCGTCCAGAAGCTCCCGGTGGAGAGTCCGCGCGCTGAGTCGTGCCGTGAACACTTCCAGCGTGTGTCGAATCCTCGAAATGTGAAGCTGAAGATGGGAGTCGCCCAAAGGGGATCCCCGGGCGACACCGTGGTTGTTCTCAGCAATGCAGTGAGACCCCAGCGCCCCAGGATGCTCGAGTGATACAAGTGCACCAGGCTCGAGCCGCTTCCGAGTGTGGTTTGTGGTCTGCCGTTCTCTCATGTCATGCATACGTCGGCAGACACACGGTGGCAGTCAGTACCACGGCTCCCGAAACGTTTCTCCAGCTTGCATGAGCCATGTGTGATTGCGACAGTCCCGCCGCCCGTGGTTCGCGGCAGCCGATCGTGCTCTCGAAGCAGCTCTTCAGGAGCTCGCGTCGCGGTTCCTCGCGCTCTGCGCTTATGCAAGCTCTTAACCTTAAGTGACGACTGTCAATTTCCTGCATCCCTATCCTGCAGTTCTACTAGTGTACGGACAACTCATACTTGCAGCGGTGGGCGCTGCTGCAGTAGTGGACGTGGCAGCAGCAGCAGTATTGGCTGACGCAGCGGTTGCCGAGACTGGACGAAAGACGTTGCGATTAGAAATGAAAGCCGGTGGAGGCCACGATCACACTGCGCAAAACCAGGGACCTCTGAACAGCGAGACCATCAAACCACCACCCGCAAGATGCCTCCTCCACCAACGAAAGTGGGCAAGGCCTTGCAAGGCGGCTACCATCTACTCGGGCGCATGAAAGACTACTATTTCGGGCCACACGGCAAGTCGATACACCCCTGCTTGTAGAACAATATCAAGTTTCTGCATTTGACTTTCCATGCCTTGGCACCACCCACTCTTCACTCGATCATCAACTAACATGGCCTGGTTTACAGAAGCGCCGCCTGCCATCTCCGAGCGAACAGCCCTGCTCTGTGGCTTGCTCTTTACTGCAATCTTCATCGCGCCATTCTACCTCAGCCCAACACTCCGCGCCACACCACTAGCCTCACGAGATGCCCCAGCTGTCATCAAAGCACGAATTCGGGCAGTTGGCCTGACTTGTATTGCCTCGACCGTTATTGCCGTCTACGTTCTGGTGTCTCGGGGCCATGCAACACCACGAGACGTCCTCCGCCTGCTTGGTGTCTGGCCGGTAGACTTTCTCGATTGCGCCAGGACACTAGCGTTGCTATCGGTTCTCTTCATAGGACCCTTGTACGAAACCATCCTCGTCGATTCTGGATGGAGACTATGGAACCTCGCGACCTTCAGAGAAAAGTTCTTCACCGATCTGCGAGGTCTAAGGAACAATGTCGTGGCGCCATGGGCCGAAGAATGGGTGTTCAGATCGCTGGTCATATCACTGTACCTCCTGGCTAAGGTGTCGCCGCAACGAATCATATTCACGACACCTCTCATCTTTGGAGCGGCTCATGTTCATCACCTGATTGAGTTCGTCCGAAATGGGAATGCACCACTGGGACAGGTCATCCTGATAGGACTTGTGCGCAGTTTGTTTCAGCTGACATATACGACGATCTTCGGCTTCTTTGTTGCATTTGTGTATCTGCGCACTGGCAACGTATTCGCGGCAGTCACGGCGCATACCTTCTGCAATTTTATGGGATTCCCAAGAATGATGGGTAGAGTGGGACAAGTGGAATACGAGGGATACGAAGTGACACCCGATGTTGCGCAGGGAAAGCGGGATGATGGTGCGAATGAGGTGAAGTTGTCGAGCATTCACCAGCCGCAGAATGTGCGCAATATTGGGATTCAGTGGACAATAGTCTACTACATGCTACTCGTTGCGGGCTCGTATGGCTTTTATGAGCTGCTGTGGCAGTTGACGGAAAGTCCAAACGCTCTAGCCTCGATATAACCATCGAATTCATCTGTTACCCCTCGGCCATGCCGTCTGGGGGAGGAGCCGTGTTTCGATATTTTCCACTTTCAATACGTTACATTCTGATTGGATACTAGGACTTTTGGGCTGGTTCGTAGACTATACGTCGTCCTCGTTGCCACTGCCGTCTCGCCTGTGAGGTACTCAGTCAGCTTGCTCGCTGCGGCTGCCAGATGGAGATTCTTATTGCTAGGGACCGAAATGGAACTTACGGTATGTACTGAATGCCGGCGTTCTCTGCAGCCGCAACGTACTCTTCCGGCAACTGTGGCACGTATCAGTACAAACTCTGCTCGACGCCCATCTGAACGTTGCTGCTCCTCAATGCCATGTGAATAGTTGGAGTGATAGTCCTCCAGGAGCTGCATGATAGCATAATCGACTTACCACTCCGTTCACCTTCGTCGCATACACGCCTGGCACAAATCCTGAAATGCGCAGCCACCTGCTCACCCAGCCCGTGCTCGTGTCATTCACTGTCACAAGACCTTCAAAGGTTGGTCAGCCAAATTTGCCGACATGGTCGGCTCACCTGCCGTGAGGCTCACCTTCGAACACCTCAGAAGTGCAGTCGCCAATCGTATCGCTGCTGTTCTTCATCTCGAGGAAGTCTTCGCAGTTGGGACAGCCAGATCGACTCCACTTGGTATAGGGTTGTACGAACGCGCAGACCAAGCAAGCGCGAAGCCCACGAGGGACGCCCGACATTTCGACTTCAGCCCGTGGCGCAGAGTTCTGATCGTTGACAGAATTTGTATTTTGTGCTCGTCTGGTGCTATAATTCTTGTGTGGGTTGTAACTCTTGTGTCGTTGTTGGTAACTGAGTTGTTGATGTATTGAAGTTGAGCGTGAACGGAAATGTTGCCAGCATGCCTGCATAAGTGCAACCCGCATATGGTCTTGCAGGGGTCGGTGCTGACTCCGCTCCGAGCGCCTTGGCGGTGGAATCTTCTACCCATGTGTCTAGCCCATCTCGTCATGATCACCATCCAGCAACACTCCTCGGCATCCTGCGATCCGCACAGTCAGTCTCTACAGCGACCCGCGAATATCAGCGTTGGAATATCTGCGCTCCACAGAACACAGTCGAAGGAAGACAGACGATCATGGCGGGGGATGAAGAGCTGGACGCCGTTGCGCTGAAGAACAAGGGCAATGAAGCATTCAAGGCGCATGACTGGCCGGCTGCTGTCGACTACTACACCAAGGCTATCGAGAAGGATGGTACGCAGGTCGCCTTCTACACAAATCGCGCACAAGCCAACCTGAAGCTCGAGGCGTACGGCTACGCGATTGCCGATGCAACGAAAGCGATAGAGCTCGACCCAGAGTCCGTCAAAGCATACTATCGGAGAGCTGTGGCGAATACCGCCATACTGAAACACCAAGATGCCATACATGACTGGAAGATTGTTGTGCGCAAGAATCCGGGGGATAAGCTCGCAAGAGCGCAGTTTGATGCATGCAACAAAATGGTCAAGCGGGATGCGTTCCTCAAGGCCATTGAAGTCGCAGACGCCCCGTCCGCCGCCGAGGGGTTGGACTTGGAGAACATGGTTGTGGAGGAAGCATACGATGGCGTGCGCCTGAAGGACGAAATGACACAAGAGTTCATCGAGGACATGATACAGCGCTTCAAGGATGGCAAGAAGATTCACAAGAAGTATGTCTACCAGATCATCATCGCAGTCAAGGACATTGTGTACAACGAGCCTACCATGGTAGAGACACATGTGGATTCCGATGTCAAGTTGACAGTCTGCGGAGACACACATGGTCAGTACTTCGATCTTATCGAAATTTTCAGGCTCAACGGCTTCCCTTCGGACAAACACCACTACCTTTTCAACGGAGACTTCGTCGATCGAGGATCTTGGTCGTCAGAGATCGCACTTTTGTTGTACAGCTACAAGTGGCTGTATCCCAAGTCGTTCTTCTTGAACCGTGGCAACCACGAAACGGACGACATGAACCGAATGTACGGATTCGAAGGCGAGTGCAAACACAAGTATAACGAACGTGTGTTCAAGCTCTTCTCCGAATCTTTCTCTGCTCTGCCGCTCGCCACTTTGATCGGAGACAAGTATCTGGTTCTTCACGGCGGCCTGTTCTCAGATGATCAGATCACACTCGATGACATTCGAAAACTGAACAGACACAATCAACGCCAACCTGGCCAAGAAGGTCTGATGATGGAGATGTTGTGGACAGATCCGCAGACTTCGCCAGGCCGTGGACCATCCAAGCGCGGTGTTGGACTGCAATTTGGTCCGGATATCACCAAGCGCTTCTGTGAGAAGAACGGCCTGGAGGCCATCATCCGCAGTCACGAAGTCCGCATGGAGGGCTACGAGGTCGAACACGACGGCAGATGTATCACTGTCTTCTCGGCGCCAAAGTACTGTGACTCCACAGAGAACAAGGGCGCATACATCAACATCGGAAGCGACTATAAGTTGGACTTCCACAAATTCGACGCGGTGCCACATCCCGATATCAAGCCGATGGCTTACGCCGGAAATCAGATGCAGTCCATGATGGGGATGTGATGAGACGATGTATCTGCACTGTAAGATCATGACGAGTTCACTTCATTGGACAAGGATCAACATTTGGATCGTCCTGCCCTTTGCGATACTGGGCATTGATTGTATGCATGGCGATGGGATGTATGTAACCTCATGGCGGGGCGTTGCACGTGCAGCTACCGTATACATACGATGGGAGATGCAATTCTGACGAGTCACGACACGCGCTGCAGCCGCTTTCACGCAATTGGAGACTTGTCTGTAGGCCACGGGAGGATGAGAGTATACAGCCTCTTCGAAAAAGACCCGAGTGGGACAAATGAAAGTTCCAGTCAACGACTAGGGGGCGTATTCCTTTCTTACAAAAGACGACTAAAAGTGATGGCTGACATGATTCGCACTATACAATTTTGCCAAGATGGACTGAGCCTTGCAGTCAGTCTCTGTCGGTCTCTCGTCGTTGATCAGCTGAAGCGCAAATGTTACTATTTGTCGGATCGTGGCCCGAACAAGTATGTGCAACAATGGTTGACTTCGAACCTATTGACCCACATGTGCCGCGCACCACATATTTTCCATATCGAACACCAGCTTCGAAAAAAAAAAACATCAAAATCTCAATCAAAATGAGAACACCAGGAAGGAGACCAAGAAGACCTATCGATGGCGCACCAGAGACATATCAAAAGTCACTTCACCTCGAGAACTTCAGATCACTCGAGTCAAGCTCCGCTACTCAGACTGGACGACCATCCCAAGACGACTTATCCTCAGAATTCCTCGCACTAAAAATCCAATCTCTCCCACAAGAACTCCAAGACCATATCATCAACCTCACATTCTCGATCCCCCAGCACCAGATCATCCTAATCACATACTCCTACACTCCGCCCTCGATTCTCAACGTCAGCAAAGCAATCCGTGGAGAACTATGGCCTAAGTACTTTGGGAAAAACCAGTTCTTACTACAAGCACCGGGGGACTTTTGGCACATCTACGAAAAATGGAGTAGTTGTAAAAGTTTCTTTCCTGAGGGATATGAAGAAGCGGAGGGTATGGTGTCACGGCAGAGGGAGACAAGAATCAGCGACCTGGTAGCGGGTGAAGGGAACAAAACGTTTAGTGAAGAAGAGGAACGACCCTGTGCCATCCTACGAAAATATCGCTCGGGCATCACGCCTTGGACTGTGGTGTATCACGGGATATGATTTCACTTCAGCCTTTGTGTACCGAAAGCTGTAGTAGCATGTACTAGTCACAGAAACGTAAGATATGGAAGAGCACGAAAAGGTGGCGGAGAGGCAGCCACGCCGGCGATACCAGGATCACATTGGCGTCGGGGTTATCATACTTGGAAGTCGTGTCAGTGATCGTATCATGCGCACGGATCATATGTCCATTCTCATCTCTATCTTGGGTATCATAAACGCTCCTCATCATGTGTCCATTCGCGAGCGTTGCTCATATCAAGGCAATCGCAAATGCCGTCAGTGCTGCCACCACTATTGTCCTCATCAAGGATAGTTGCACGTTCGTTCCGTCACCCAAGTAATAGACTGCACCCAGATAGCTGCAAGTCAAGTCACCAGTTCGTTTCCCATATCCTCTTTCCAGCCCTCGGCCAGGATAGGGACAAGCGAATTGCATGGATGCAGGGCAGCTTTGCATCAGGCTGTAGCACAGGTCCTCGCAGGGCAGCACCTCTTTGTACGGCCCGGGTTTGATGGTTTCATCGATTGCGGAATTTCGCGACTGATTGGTGGCGAAGCTCGAAATGAGGGTCTGATCAAAAGCGATGGTGCCATCAACTGTAGGGGCGTCTTCCATATTAATATAATTCTCGTTCAGCTTCGTGTCGCTGAGCATCGAATTGTTGTTGTAGAAAGGTTGTCCAACATTACGTATTTGCAAGTGATCCGCCATGTTCGAGAAGTCCTCGCATCGAGGTATGGAAACAGCGCACAGCCACTCTTTGTACGCTGCTGCACAGTCATCGCAGCCTTTGGCCAGTGAGTATTTGGACTCAGAAGTCGTATTGCACGGGATTTGCGCCAAGGTGTAGTTGAAAGGCGCATACCACTTCAGAGTATAGTTTTCGTAAAATTCCTGCAGGGCTTCGAACGTCCCGACATCGGGATTATTTGGGTTCGCAGGAACGGCGTACGCCACTTCGTCGCAGAACGTCAAGTTGAAGAGCAGTTGACAATTGCCATCCGTCTTCGTCCTGAACGGAACAGCTTTCCAGACCTTGCCGCCACCACCTACAACGCCGTCGCCAGATGCCGTTGAATTGCCGTCAAGGGCAAGGTACGCATTGTATTCACTCGAACCATTGAGATTGTCGACATAGAACTGTTCCTTTGGCTTGCGTCCCAGACCGCGCGTGATCATACCCATGGATATGTTCGTCTCATTGCCTGACAAATCGTTCTGATCAGCCTTCAGCTGTTTGTTGGCGCGTATGAAGTTTTGCAGGCCGCAATATGAGTTCTCCATCCCGACCAAGCCGGTAAGATTTTTATTGCTGACGAACAGACTGAACGGCGCTGCTAGATCTAGCCACTCTTGATAGACAGGGTCATCGGGCGCAGCTTGCGTCAGGTTGTCCGTGACCAAGAGTGCGGAGTTGATGTCCGTATCGACCTGGTATAAGAATGGATCGTTGAACTCAGCAGCATGGAAGTAGTCGTCAATGGAGACTGCCAACTCGAGGTTCCAGAAGCCAGTAAAACCTTCTGGCAGACCGGGAGCATGCACGGCCATGTACCAGTCGCCGCTGGCATTGGGCACGGATGCGTTCACAAATCCACCTCTAAAAGGATGAACGGTCTGCGTGTTGTTGCGCCCGCCCGGTCCGGGAGCCTGGTTCTCAGAGGTGGTGGACACATAAAGTGTAAGCTGACCTGGGGACAGAGAGGCGACCTCTGTATTATTCGTTGGTTGCGAGCACACGTTTGCAGAGATATAGATAGTCCGGTCCGTATTGCTGTCTTGTCGCTTGCGCAGCTCCGCGTGCTGTGAATGGACATCCCGCTTTCCAGTCAAGTCATTTGGAAGCCCAGGTCCTTTCTCAGTGCGATTGGCCGCCAGAAAGCGGTTGGGGTACAAAAAGATAGTCGTGTTGCCTGGGTATACATTGTAAGGCGTGCCAATGTTGTTGCCGCTGATCTGCGCTGCCTCTGCACTTTGTCTCTTGGCTAGTGTCGACGCACCCTTCTTGCCAGTCGCTCGCTCTTCACCCTCATTGATGCCGTCTTCATTTTCCGACTCTCGTATCCGATGCCAGTTGTGGTCTTCGCCGCCCCTCAGCTGCCCGGTCCCATCATATGCCAACTCAGCGGCGTATGCGAAGTGCGGATTCGACAGTGACCAGTAGACCAGCACAATGAGCGCAAGTGCGCCCAGAGAGGCAACGAGACGGGTCTGGAGGGGCGTGAGTTTGGGGCATTGGCATAGCATCCTGGGGTGGACCGGCGGTAGTGGGAATGGTGGTACCGGCGCAGGGCGGTGGCCCCACGCTTAGGAAGTGAGCGCCAGCTCGGCGGATAGACAGTGAAATCACTGCGTCTGGAGATCCAATGCTGCCACAGTCGGGCGTTGGTACAAAAGTTGTCGCGAAGGGGACTGCCCGCGCGTCAGCAACCTGAAGGACGTGTTGAATCAGGGTCTTGCCTGCTGCTGGATCGTCTCGCCAAGCACTTCGGGACTTCTGCAGACCTCACCTTCAGCAACACATTCAGAAAATGTCAAGATGTGTGTTCATTCAGCATTTACCGTGAGCGACGGCACATCCTTTGAGCTTGTGTGTCTCATCCCTCTCAGCTCATCACTCACGACTACCATTTCGTCAGCAAGCATCAGAAAACGACCAGACCGTGCATGCTGGGGCGCAGTGGCCGGCAGCGTACAATTGATGATTTGAACGAAATCTGCGAATGCTCATGAACGCCTTACAAAACTTTCAACGTACTGTTAGACGACGCGGATCCGACTGCGAAGAGGCTGGCCGTTCTCCCTGAATGTTCTACACCTACTCTGATGCACAATCGCGCCTGCACTGCAACCACGAAGTTCGGCATGTCAGATAGCCAGTCCTGTATGAAAGAATATCTCCGCTCCGATTTGGGATCCTGTGCTCATGATGCGGGCAGGAATTATTCCTTGCTACATGTACCCGCGGTAGCGTTGCCGCCGTGCTCTCACTTCTTGCCTCACGCCGACAAGCCTGCTGCAGCATACCATTATGCTACCTGTCATGGCAACACATTGCCAGCTCATGTGACCAGTGACACCTGCCACCGAGCAAACACCTGCTCTCGCCTGCCTTTAAACCAGTAGAACTGAGTCACCGCCCCAACCACTGACAGCCACAACAGTGGATCCCAACGCAACGCACACCACTCCCAACAGGATTTTATTCACAACTCACTCCATCATGTGCTATTATCGCTACCGGAACTTCCCGTGCGGATGCCGGGAGAAATTCCTCACCTGGCGCTGCAGTTACGCAGATCAGCCACAAGTCGGCAAGGGCCACGCTTGGACACACCGCAAAGACCCAAAGAAGAAAGATATCGAGTGTGATGACCCTTGTCCGAACAATTGCCACAACTGGAAGTATGACGCGTGGACGAAGCCGGATTGGAAGACGAGTATTGTGATCCGATCGGAGGGATGGCACAAGCTGTTCTGGCGTTGACCTGCTGTCGAAACGTCGCGGCTTTGGAGACTTTCAGCAACCTTGTGATTTTGTAACAAACGGGATTCTTGCATGTGTCATGTTTCTTTCGGGATGGATCGGGTTGGCCGGCCAGCCCATTCAACGATCTACTCACTTATTCACCCAATATGGGGCGATTCCATCATATGCGAGCGTTTGTACAGCCACGATAATCAGCCGGGACTCGAGCCACAATCGATATCCCTGGAGCTTAGCATTTTCTTCAATTCTTACCAACAGCACTGCGACAAACCCCTGGGACATATACATACCTTCCCTCGCGGACACGCACCAAGACCGATCGAAGGGGCTGCTGCAGCAAGATGTGTTTCTATCGATACCGTCGATGGGACTGCGGTAAGTATACAAGTGTGCTGTGTCGAGTTCTCGCGGTCGCTGATCCAATCCAGGATGCAAAAAGAAGTATCTCACGTTTCGTTGCAGCTACGCCGATCGTCCCCAAGTCGGCAAGGGCCACGAAATGGTCTGGCAAAAGGATACCAGAGGCAAAGACATTCGCGAGAAGGGCGAGTGTCCGAACGGCTGTGTTGGTTTCAAGCACTCACCAGCTGATATGCATTGGCGTGAGAGGCTTTCTAGATTCTCCACGGGCTGGAGGGATTTCTTCTACCGATGAGAGTGCGGAGATTGTGCTTGTTTTCTTGGCAGTCCTAGAAAGAAAGCTCTGGCAATCATGAATCTTGATAAGTGGTTGTCGAATCGTACAACTATCGTTGGAGTGCGAGGCTGATTATGGCTTTAGATAGCCTTCTCTCTACCACGTCACTCAGTGTACTTGGGCGAGGCTTTACCTCGATGCTCGCGTTCGGCAAAGCAATCACTCGTCTGTCCTTTCAAGAGCCCAGACCGGGGGCTTCAACTCCAGGCTTGCTCTTCTAGGGGCCTTTGCAATGTGTTGCTGCTTGTCATTCCGTAGCCTTGAGGAATTTCATCATTGGTGCTTCTTTCACACTATACCGATGCATGAGTTGAAGACATCTCCAAATCAACACTCCATGTTGCTGCCTCCTTTCTGCTGACCGATGCTGCTCTTCCTGTCCAAGTTTTCAAGCCGAGTCTCCGCTCTGCTCCTTCTTCGCGCCTCCAAAGACTAGCTGAGTCCTCCTCTTCAGAGCATCGAGTGTCTGCTGCGTCGTCCTCCCCTTCTCCTTCTCTTCACGATTGATGCGAACAGCAGCGGCCGTAATGCCCACGCTCACGGCGAAGATGGGGTCAATCGCTCTGTGCAATGATCAGCACTAGCTCCCCACAAATATCAGCAGCACCCAACAATTCGCATACTTGGAGATGAGGTACGTAGTCGACATAATTTCATTCACCCACGAGACGCGTCGAATAGGTGAAGCGTGTAGCGCGAGCAGCTTTCGTGCATGTGAAGTTGTGCCAGCTCGGGCCGACTGTTCGGCGCCTAGATTAGATTAACTGGCGACGAGGATCATGACGCACTTGGGATCGCGTGCTGCGTGCTTCCCCGCCTATCAGAGGATGGTCAGCTGCTCTGCGGCGGTGAGCGAACAAGGCGCGTGGGATATGCGATGACTGATGGCAGGTGTGAGCCACTCTACCATGCGCAAGTCAGATGTCACATGCTGATGCTGATATCGCAACCCTTGCTGTCACCTGATGTGCACAGCAGCATCGATCACGTCATGCTAAGTGCCGAGGGAGCGTTGCTAAGCAGAAGCGGCTATGGTATGGCAGGGCTACGGACTGTTATTCTCAGCTATGCTATGTTGAAGCCAAGCTCAGTGACATCTGTTAAGACCAGAAGCGTCCGTGAATTATGCCGCAGCTTCCAGAGCCCTGTGGTCATGCCTGCCAACCTGCTGAGGCGTATGCTCTGCCGCTTCTTATCCATATCGTGTTGTGTTCATTGATGTCCTAGCAGAATCGCCTCCCAATAACGCCCTCTCCCAAAGAGAATCTTCCAGTCATGGGCATAGGGGACGTGGCTGAGTGTTGTCGTAAACGTAGTAGCTTCGTGGCGAGTGTGTCGTGATTGTAGGTGATGAGGCGGCAACTGCTTATGCGAGCTCACCGAATGTGTTCTCGCCCGAGTACCTGCACGTGGGTTAGCAAAACCGTCGCATAGTGTCCGAGCACAGAGAAAGACACATACGTGATGTAGAGGAAGCCATCCTCGTCCTTGTGTTCCTCGTAGATGGAGCTCATGAGCGCGGCGGTTGGTGGCAGCACCTCGTCCACGAAGATGAAGATGGCCTTCTCTGGGCTGAGCTTGATGCGCTTGCGGATCACGTACACGAACTGGCCGACAGTGAGATCGGCTGGTACGAGATACTTCTTCTTGTCGATGGTAGCGATGTCCGACTTCTCGACCTTCTCGCAGATGACCTGTCCGTTCTCGTTAGCACGGTTGCTCGCAGGATGCGCGGTTCGATGTCGCTGTTGCGCGTGTCGTCGTCTTTGCATTCCGAGGTGGCACTCACTGGGATTCTGTCGGCGTACTTCTGGCGGATGCGCTCAGCTTCGGCCTTGCGCTTCTCGAAGGGGTGCTCGTCCTTGAACTTGGAGCGCATGGCGGCGGTTGTGGTGGAGTTTGCGGTGCTGTTGTGGTAGATGTCTCGAAGTAGGACGGACGTGGAGAGCGTGGTGCGAGGTTCGTGGTGGTGAGTGTTCGGGAGAGGAAGACCAGGCAACGGCGGTGTCAAGTCGAGCTCAAGTTGCGCCCCGCTGGCTGACGGACGCTTCCGCTGATCATGTGAACGTGAACCGCAGAGTCACAGTCACGATGCTGATTCATTCCGTCACACGCTGTCAAGCAGGAGTTCATGCCGAGATCAGTCAAAGGCCGACGTGACGAAATGGCACAAAGAATGTTGGACGCGAAGCACAAAGAAGTTGAACCGCGTTGTGATCGTACAAACTACATAGGTATCAAATGAATCGTTCATAATGCCCCTCCTTTGCGTGACAAACCGCATGATAGACGCCCGCTCAAAAGCAAACTACAGCAATGAAATGTGACATCCCTCACAGAGTTGCTGTTGGGAAGTAGTACTGGTCCCAGAGAAACTCGTAGTCTTCGATGAAGTTCCCGACCATGTCCAAGATCGGCTTGCCTTTCAGCTTGTTCGCCGTGCCTTGGATGAACGTCCGGGTAATGTTCTCGTAGAAGGCGCCACGCATCGTCCACCATGCCAGTGACCAGCCTCGCTTTTTCATCTCCTCTCGCTCCAGCTGCGTCAGACCACGCGCCACACCACCGGGTCGCCTGTTGTCGAGGTCGCGTTTCGCGAGTGAACGTGCGCCGTACTCGATGCTCAATCCCAGCAGCCATGGCCTCCAATCCGCACTCGATCGTCCATCATCTCGTTGGCTCCAGTATGCCATCGCCGTGGCGTATATAACGGGTCGCAAGATGAACAAGACTTCGGCTATCTCGCCAAACCCTGATGTTCGATGGACGAGTTGTTTGGGTGGCTTGATGTCGTCGGCCGTGAGTACCTTGGAAAGCAAGTAAGATGAGATGTCGCTAGAATCCGGCAGTGGCGGCAGGGTCAGCGAGGTCCGCGGCATCGTCCATTGTTCGCTGCCTGGCTCTGAGGGCTCTGAAGGTGGAGTCGCAAGCTCCTCTTCTTCATGCGCTGGCTTCTCCTCGACGACTTCTCTTTCGGGCAGAGGTGGATTAAGTAGCGGTCTTGAGTTTGTCAAGCGCATCATGATCAATCTGCACACTGCCTTGATAGCCTCCAAGAACACCACGAGTCTCCATCTCGCCTTTTCACCCTTCCTCTTCGCCATCATCTCCAGCAGCAATTCCGTATATTGTACCACTGTCAAAGTAGTCGCCGTTCTTCGGTATGTTGGGCTCTTTTGGCAGTAGAATCTGGTGTAGCGATTGTGTGGACTCTGGTGTCGCGGTTGTGTTCGAAGGGAATGCGCCAGCGCACGCGAAAGCAGATTATCGTGGTATAGCGAAAGTAGTTGCACGCCCGAGTTCAGGCCCTCTGTTCCAACATCCGACATGCGCATGCCTCCGGGAGCGAGATATGTCAACGAACGCAGCGCGCCTTCGACCTGTCCAACTGCGCCCGCGTTCTTGGTGATGAAGTCGCCGTACATGTTGATCCATTTCGTCGGTAGGCTGACGACCACTTTGGTCTGCTCGGCTGCGTGCTTGAGGCTCTCCATGGCGCCGCTCATGCTCGCAGGATCATGCTCCGGACGTGAGCGAGCAATACGTCGAATGGACAGGAAGAGGAGTTCACAGCGTCAGACCAACACAGCGCCAGCACGTGCCGAGGCTAGTTTTGCGACGGCACGTGAAGAGCGCGTTGCACTTCGGCGCTGGAAACGGCAGACTGGCGCCACATGGCCGTCAACAGAATTGATTCTGACTCGAATCAAATATCGAGCGTTGTGTACGTGCATCCGACCTTATTCCCGTGCCGGGTCATCTTCCTCTCGACATAGCAAGCATGTCGCATCGCACTTGCTATATAGGCACTCGGAAGGAAACAACATGCAAAGATGATCCCTTCTCGGGGAATTTTGCTCCACACTTGTCGCGCGCCAAAACGCGCTGCACACCATGTACCGTGCTGATATGCTTTCCAGCGAGTCGTGTGCCGGATAGAACGACGAGTAACGGCGATGCGAGCAGGGTTGATGTGGTTGGAATACAGCAGAAAGGTTTCGCAACAGCCGTCACTGACACGATGGCGTTCTTCATCTCGCAGTCTTAACTCGATCGCATTGCCTTGTTCTGCCTTTCCTCTTGTTTCGTTCGAGGCTTTTACCAACCACCTCCACTATGGCTCTCGCATTGGATAAGGTTTCTGTGGTGCGCCAATATCTATACAGCAAGCAGCACCTACCCTCAGTACGGATAGCTGTTCTTGGATGTGAAGGGGTTGGAAAACGGAGTTTATTGCAACGAGTAAGTCGCTTCCGTGATCATTCTCGTTGCTGCAACTGACAGTCTTGCAGTTCTGCTATGGCAGTCTTATTGAGCAGACCCGGACCTCCATGATGGAGCTTGAATGGCACAAGCATGTTGCTGTCCAAGGAAGAGATGTTCACATCCAATTCGATCTCATGAACGATGGTTCACTTCAGCAGGCACAGTCCAATCTCTTGGAATACATTCAAAACAACGAGGCATTCATGCTAGTGTACGACGTCACGGACCAGGAATCATTCGACGTCCTTCGTCAGATTTGCCAGCTGTATTCTGAAATTCCTCACCAGCGACCATGGCACGCGGTACCATTCTTCATCGTGGCCGCGAAGATCGATCGATGGCGCGGCGGCTGGGCAGTGCCATATCGTGTAGGCGACGAATTCGCCAATAGTGTCGGTGCCACTTTTCTCCCCATGTCTGCGCTCAATGGCGAAGGCACTGGGGATGCGGTCATGGTCGACGTCGTGAGCAGAGTGTTGTTGAGCCGATTTCAGAACGACGGAGATCCAGAGCCACGATCGTTCCCAAAGATTCAAATACCTGCGTCTAAGGAATTACCGTCTCCTCCAAAGTAAGTCATACTGCGTGCCTACCAACAGAGTCAAACACTCACCAAGTCGTGAAGATATCCGCTCCAGGCTCCCACACTACGACCATCGATTTGGCAGCGCACAGGCATTCTCCGTCTCTTGCATCGGTCGGGCAGGTTACTCGACTGGCTGAAACCAAGACAAAATGTACACCACTGGGAAGCGACAACTCGACATCCAGAACGCCATCCGGAGAGAATGTGAGTCAGAAAATTGTGTCAGAATATAAGCATTCTAACATCAATAGGGACTCCCTTCACTGGCATCCCCCACAGTCGTCCTCTTCATCGCTGTCCAGCAGACACTCGAGAGCAAGGTCGACACCAAGAGTGAGCCTTAGCAGACATCGGAATATGGTGAACGCCGTGGAGCGATCCGATCCACCACCACTTCCTCCAAGCAGATTCGGCGACGGCGCGCGTATCAATCGCCCAGCACGACAGTCCAGGACGATGAGCTTGGAAAGAGCTCTCAGCCCAGAATTCTTCCAAGAAGTCCGCAGTCAGACCCCAGTAATGTGAACCTAATGTCTTTGGTCAGCACCACAGCTTTAATTAATGATCATAATTTCTTCTTTTCCGGAGAGGTGGAAGGCGTCTGAAATAGTTGGCCCAATTTGTGGGAGACATGCGTTCAGGTATAATGCAAGCGGATTCTTTTGCTGCCGTGCCACGTAGCAGTTATCTCATCATAACTTGTGTCGTTTCTCACCACTCGCGATCTTTCTGAACTCTTCTTGTGGCACGCCCTTCATGAAGACCTCCAGACCACTGAAGACTTCCTTGACTCCCATAGCATCATACAAGTCGCGCTCTGGGCCTCTCATCAATGCCTTAATCCTCAGCAGAGAATCAGGCACCAGGTGAGGTCCAAGCCTGTTGTTCACTTCTTCAAGCACCAGGCCCAAGAACTTTTCCCACTCTTCAGGCTTTGTATCGAAAGTCTTGTTCACGAAACCGCATTGCACTAGCTCTTCACAGGTGATTCGCTTCGACATCAAAAGGGCCTCTGGTCCTCGAGCGGGTCCAAGACGTGAAGACATCGCTCGACTTGCAAGTCCCTCTGCTACCAGGCCCAGTGAGGTGAATGGGCACAGCAGATATGCGTGAGGTGCGGCATACACAAAGTCTGCGTGTCCAACAAGTGCGGCTGCAATGCCCACCACAGGTCCATTGAGCGCTACCACGAGAATCTTACGGTGGGAGTAGAAAGCCTGGGTGATGTTCATGTTGAAAGCTGCGAAGCTCTGGAGCCATTGCTTGTACTGCTCGTCGGCCGGTCCCTTGTTCTGGCCAGCGACTGTGACATCCGCGCCACTATACTGGGTAAGCAATGCGTCTGGGGGCATGCGAACTATTACCTACGCGCTGAAGAATCGGCCTGTGCCCGCTAGGACGGTCACAAAAGTATCCTCCCGTGAATCCACATGTCGGAGCACTTGAGAAAGGTTGAAGAAAAGATCCTGGCTCAATGCTCCAAGCTTCTTGGGTTGGTTGATTCTGATGACTGCTACAGTGCCCTTGATCTCGAGCTGGACCTCGTCAACGGGCTTTGGTGCTTTATCCATGGTGACAAGCTTGTTGTGCTTGTGTCTATGAGGCTAGGAGAGATGTATGACAAGAGAAGTAGTAAAGAGGTGTTCGCAACTTGCCTATATCCGACCACTTCACTGATCGCGAATAGTAATCCTTGTGGCATCTCCGACGCACTGGACATGCTGGAAGAGAGTCAAAGTGAGCTGAAGCCGAGGCAAGCTCCACTCGCTGCTGCCAAGAGAGGTTCGCTTGCGTTTCCACGATCCTTGCGAACTTCTCATCCCACCTGCCTCTCAACCAATACACGCTACAATGGCTGCATCCACGAAGAACATCCTGATCTTCGGGGCCACCGGCTTAATCGGTACTCACATCATCAATGCCATTCTCAGCAGCAAGGACAAGTTCGGCAGGATTGCCGTCTTCACCTCGCAGAACACCATCTCCTCAAAAGCAGATGAGATCGAGAATCTGAAGAAGAGAGGCGCCGAAATCATCGTTGGAGATCTCACATCAGATTCTGATGTGGACCAAGCCTACAATGGGTTCGACACGATCGTGTCAGCTGTTGGTCGACCGGTCATTGATAAGCAGTTGAAGCTGATCGAGCTTGCCGAAAAGCATCCGGATGTCAAGCGTTTCTTCCCCAGCGAGTACGGCACAGATATCGAGTACGATGAGACTTCTGTAAATGAGAAGCCGCATCAATTGAAGCTCAAAGTGCGTGCATTGCTCAAGACTGTCAAGAATTTAGAGTACACGTACGTGGTTACTGGGCCTTATGCAGATGCCGACAGCTTGCTATATCTCTGTGCAAAAAAGCCAGAGAACGAAGCGCAGGGCACGTTTGACGTCCAGCGAAAGAGGGCAGTCCTGCTTGGCGACGGTGATGGCAAGATCTCGCTGACCACCATGCGTGATGTTGGTAAGCTTGTGGTGGCAGCTCTGTTGCAACCAGAAGCTGCAAAGAATCGCGCTCTCCGGGTCAACTCGTTTACGACCACGCCTCATGAGCTACTCAGAGAGTTTGAGAAACAGACTGGCCAGAAATGGGATGTTGGCTACACAAGTTTGGACGAGCTCAAGCAACTCGAAAGCGAGACGCCGTCAGTCACCTTGCGACGGATTTGGACCAGCGGGAAGACATTGTACGAAAAGCGCGACAATGGCTTGATTGAGATGGAGCAAGGTCTGGACGACTTGGAAAGTACCGTCCGACAGGCGATTGCAGTTCAGCAGAAGAGAATTGCAGAGGGCAGCTTGTACCAGTAGTCCTTGCATCTCTTTCCAACAAATGCAGCTGTTGCTCTGGAAAGGGGCACCTCTCGTATGCACGTCTATGCAAAGGATGGTCCGCCTCTTGCATCGCTCCTTTCGGCAATGGGGCCGTGTTCTGCAAAGAATAGGGAGGCGCTTGGCTGTTCAAACCGCGATGTTTCATGTTGAACTTCTCAGCCGAGACTTCTAGAACTAGGCACGCAGGAGAGCGTTCGTAACATGCCCGACTGTGGCGAAATGTCGCTGCCATCGGACTCGAAACCCTAGCGGACGCAATGCTCCGTGACGGAATACTGTGATCATGCGATATGAACAGGACTTCCCCATCCTTTCGCACTTAGCAAGTCACTGATTTTATAGAAATCTCTGGGTCCTAGAGTGCAGACGCACGTTCCGCAAGGCAGCATATTAGCCGCTGAAGCGGTGGTGTGATGTCGTACAACAGATTCTGAAGCGAAGGATTCCTCTTCGGCAAACCGTCGCGCGGGTGCATGGAGCGGATCGGTAGATGCGACAGTCGTCTCAGCCCGTGGAAAAGTGGAGACTCGTCTGAACAGTGTCTGAGCCATATCGCCACTGTGGAAATAGGAGAAGCCTCGAGACTTAGACAGACCCATGAGCAATGGTCAAGAGAATGGAGAAGAGAGTCTGATGCAAAATTTTTCTCCTCCTATCAACAACACTTGTACGTACAATGCGAAAACGAATGGAACGAACAACCGAACTCAACAATCCAAACGATCTCTCCTTTTCACCTATCCATCATTTGCGACAGCCACCATCTACTGGCAGAAGTCACGGGAGTGAGTGCGCTGAGGAAGGGCAGAGGTGGTGTTGCTTGGGGCGCTACCCTCAGTGCTGTTACCAGCGCCAGAGCCGCTGCCGGTGTTGCCGCCGGTGCTACCGCCAGTGCTGCCACCAGTGCTGCCAGAGCCGCTGCCGCCGTATGGGGCTGGGCCTGGGATCTCGTAGCTGTCGAGGGTCTGGTAGATGTTGATGGTGATGCCTGGGTCGGCAGCCTTGTAGAGGGCAGTAGCAGCAACACCAGCTGGCTTAGCGGAGCCGGAACCAGTGACCTCGATGTTGATGCCTGTTTTGATAGTGTCAGAAGTGTTTGTTCACGACAATCGAATATCATGCTTGAGCTTACACTGTGGGTAGTTCTGGGCGCCGTTCTCTTGACCAGCAGAGTGGAGAGCAATGATCTCGTGACGGAGGACGTAGTTGCCTGGGGCGATGTCGCTTGGGATGGTCACTTCACCAGTGAAGTTGTTGGCTATCGGGCCTTTGTTAGCGGTCTGATTCGTTGCGGATAGCTGCGCTAAACGTACCAAGGAGAGTGTCAGACTCCCATTTTCCTGGTGGAGTAGAGCCATCGATGAGACCACCAGATCCAATCTTGAAGAACTCAAGGTCACCAGCGGTAGCAGAGGTGAACTCGCCATCCACAGGGGCAAGGTAGTTGATGACTGGGCCGTGGTGGCTGTCTGGCCAGGTGTTCCACTGGAGCTCAATGGTGTCACCAGCGGTGACCGGAACGCTGTTGGTGCCAGGGGTGGCGCCCTTGTGGCAGGCAATGTCGGAAGAGCTGTAGGAAGCTGGCTCGACGAAGCCGTTGTCCTGGTTGTTGGCGTACCAACCAGCAGTGTTTGGCTTCGTCTGCTGGTAGAACCATTCTGGAGTGGTACCGGCATAATACTTTCCGCCGGAGATGATACCAGAAACGTGACCGTGGGCGCTGACCAGAGCTGGAGCGGCGGCAACCGCGAGAGCGGCGAGCTGTGCGAAGGCAGGCATTTTGGATGCGAAGATGCGGGAGTTGTTTGGTTTGGTTGATGTGTCGATTTGTTCAAAGATTGAATGGGAGCTCCGATCAACGGGCTGTGAATGCTAATGAAGGACTGGAAGTGAAGGTGGGTTGTGTTGTGATGAGTTGAAGAGAAGGGCAGAATGTCAGGTATTATATACAATCGTCGAGAGTCCCTACGGTGTTGCCCAGACGGATGTTCGTGTCCACCTTGGATTCACTTTGATAGTGACAATATGCGAAGGCGCCAGTGTGCTGCAGACGGGCGGATATTTTCCATCGACTCGGTTGTGGGTCATGCAGGCGAGTCTGAGAAGCCCGCCGCTTATGGCGTTGTAGTGACCGAAAGGGGCAATGAGTGGTGCTGTGCCTCTCAGGTACCCAAACGGCCTTTCGGCACGTGGTATTTCTCAAACACCTCGATGTCCACAAGCTTAGACCACCCTGCCTAGACATATCAGGCAATATCCAGTACGGGAGCGGTAAGTGAAGCAGGTGGGGCCCAGCTCGTAAAGACCATAAATTGCATAGCAAACACTATGGATCGACGACTAGATGTTCAATCGCTTCGATGATTGAGGCACAGCAAGTCGCGTCAAGACTTAGGCTGAGCAGAATTTACTGTGTGCCTCGCGAGTCCAAGTCGTTACTCACCAGCCAGCAGAATTGCTTCGTCCGGACTCCGGAAAACTGTGCAAGGCGGAGAGACGTTTCCTGTAGAATAGACGCCGTGAAGTCGACTGTCTCAGATATGCGGAGCATGGGCCGCTTTTCCAAGTTGCGATGTAGTGGTGTCCACTGCGTGTGAGCCATGTGGCGCACGCAAATCAAAGTGCTTCATAGGCGCTTCGGCAAGGCGCAAAAGGGCGGAGGCTCTCTGCACGTGCCATAGTTTCAGGTTACTCAAACCTGTGGTCATCCTAATCGGTAGCGAGTGTCACGGCTGCTGTTGTGACGCTGTGGAAAGTCGAAGTGTGCCAAGCGCTGCAAGTAGATTAAGCTCGCCTGTCGCTTAAGAAAGACTAGAAGATCTGAGACATGACAGGGCTTGGCGATGTAGCGCCCCGTGCAAACCTCAAGGAAGCTGGCGTTATAGCCCGTGTGCGGTGGGACAGGCACATGGACTGGCCGTGTAACGCAGTGGGTGGTCGCTTGTTGGATAATTTTTCTGAAAAGCTCCCACTGCACCAGAATGAGAGTATCTGCTGCGGCCTAGACGGAATAGCAATATCGGTCGGTATCGAGACGCATTCTTCGAGATTGTCCTTCTTGGCTTGTGGACGGTCCGTAGGACCGAGAGTGTGGGTCTTGACATATAGCCGCTCGACAAACGGAAAGGATTCTGACCGCCCAGGACGGTCACGCAACCAGATGTACCATTTGCGGAGGAAGGCCTCAAATCTAATATGCGTTTCGCTTCTTGCTCAAACGCGCGCATTCATGCGCTCTGTGCGAGGACCCAGCCGAGTCTATCCGTGGTACCGACAATGAGCGGCAATGTAGCGGAGTGCATCATCAGGTCAAACTTGTGCGGGCCGTGTCCCGATCTGTAGAAATGCAATATACAGTCCGCGCCGCAACACCTCGCTAAGTGCATCAATCGTAAAGGGCGCCGCCCTTCCACACCGAGACCCCTTTCATATCGCATCCAGTGGCCGGTTGAAACCTCCGACTCTGTTCATGTACTGCCTGTACTCCGACTTCTTCACCTTGTACACCGCGTAATTGCGGTCGTTGCCAGGTATTTTGGTATTCTTCGTCGACTTGAAATCGCCAAAGCCCATGACACGACGCATCTCAGCCTCGGAATCCTCGTCTTCTGCTCCGTTCTCCATTTTGACGTCCTTCTGCTCCTCTTTCTTCACGCCGTGGGAGTTTCCCCGAGGTCGTGTGCCGCCCAGCCTGCTATCCGCTGGTTCACGCTTGATCCGATCATCTGGTGCGCCACGAGGTCCACGGGTTTGGGGGACATTCGTGTCGCGACTGCGCTGATAGTCGCGATCGCGATCTGATCGCGCCGGCGGTCCATTTCTTGGCGGAGGGCCTCGTGGCGGTGAGCGGTCTCTTCGGCGGTCATCGCGACGATCTCGACGTGGTGGTGAACGCGAACGATCATGCTCTGAATGCAAGTTAGCAGATAAATTTGCATTTTGGAAGATGCGTGGCCCACCATAGCGCGGTGTGTGGTTGCGATTGTCGTCTCGCGGTGCGCGACGGTCGTCGCGTCGTCCGTGCCGGTCTGCCATGGTGAGGCGTGGTTGATGGGAAGATGTCGCGGTTGTAGAAGATTATGTCAATCCAACATGACTCGCGACGTTCACTTTTGCCCCACTATTCACGCTAGCTCATGCTTCTTGGCATGTTGGCCGTCTGCATGATCATCCCCTCGCAGACGATCAAAAATGCTGTCAGAGACCGTGAGTGATGATACTGGGCTAAAGCATGTATTGGTATTACCAAAGACTAATTACCTTTCGCTCATGCATCGATCATGAGGCCGTGACACTTTTATATTTCATCCTCTTCTTCATCAAAGTCGTCCTCCTCACCCATGTCATATAGAATTCTTCCTCCATTGCCGCCTCCATTCTGGGCGTCGTAGTAGGGCAACACAACTCCATCACGATCTCGCCTCTGCTTCTCTGTGAGTCCCAGCTCGAAGGTCGTGTCGGCAGCCTCTTCTTGTGCCGTGATCGCCTTTTCCTCTGGAGTTCGATACTCAGGGTGATCCTCGAGCAGTATTGCAATCTCTCTGCTTCTAGTCTGGGTAGCGGCTGCTCTGTCAAGAGGTAAGAAATACCACTCTCGAACCCCCCTGCCACTTTTCCTCCTATGCTCCATTTCGAGCACGAGACCTCTGTCATCATTGGCACCAAGGCTTTGCAAGACACCTTCAACACCTTGTTCCAACCCAAAAATTGGTTCAGCATGACTCCGTGATCTTGCTGCTTTTTGGGCCAGTATGTGGTTCAAGGAATGTGCTGTGAAGATGGTCGTTGCCAGATACCGTAAAAGCACCAATGCGGAAGGCGTGTACGCATCTTGGTGCGGTGCCTTTGAGACTGGGAGTGGAATGTCCGTATGATAGAGCGCCAGTAGAGAACTTGTGGGTCCAATGAATGAGGAGAGCAAGGCGGGAACGTTCGACGCTTGCAAGGCGCTGAGTTGGTTCAAACTGTCGAACACTAACAGCTTCTCTACATCACCTTTGTTAGCATCCGAATGTTAGACATCAGGGGAGATCACTAACTCTGCGTTGGCTCGTTCTTGAGATGTGTAACAACTTCTTTCTGCCAAGCTTGCACGCTCTGGCTCCAGGCTTTGACGAAAACGTCTGCAAGACGTGGTCTGCGCAGCGTTTCGAAGGAGACGAAGATGATCTGGACTTTGGAGGCCTGTGGTTGTTTAGTCCAGACATCAGGGATATCTGTGTCGCAACACTTACCGTGGCTCGTCTCATGTACTCGACCAACAGTGGTTTGCCTGATTGCTCGAGGCTGTCGAGAACCATTGTAAACGGAGAAGCGCCATCTCGTCCGTTCAGAAGTCGGGAAATCAACAGCAGGTTATGCGTCCTTCGGTGCTGGAGAGAAGAGGGTGGCATGTTGTGACGTTGTGACTGCACTTTTTAAATGCAGAAGTTAAATGTTGAAAGGGGAGCTGAATTGTCAATCAAATTTGATGATCTCAAATGAATCAGAAAGCTCGCTGCTCAACACAAGCGACCATACGGTACAACAACTTTTCAATATCGCTGGTGAGGTTGCCGCGTGGCGCCCAAAAGCGAATGAGTACCATGTCGTTTCATCACAAGTGCCAGTCTGCCTGCTAATTTGTAAAAGAGGCGTGCCATAACATCAACTAAGCGATCTTCCTCAGTTGCTTCAGGTTTTGCCAAAATCACTGAATCGTGCTGAATCCGGTTTCCATTGTGAGCATAAGACTACAAACAGCATACAGGCCCGTATGAGGACGCTGGTAAGTAGCATTGGTGCACAAGTCAAGAGAGCGGGAGCACAGCATAAGAGCCATATGATTTTGTGCGCCTTTCGTCCGCTCATGGGGACTCATCACCGTCAACCGCCCTCCACGCTCTCGGTTTAGCAGTGTAGCCTTTCTGGTACCTCTTCGCCCTCTCAACCTATTGAATCTTCGAAACTTTGGCACTGGTGTTGGCCGCGACTTTTGCCGCATCTCGAGCTTCTTCCTCCGTCACCCGCTCGATCTTCTTCTCCTCAGAGCCCTCACGCTTGCACCAATCGTCCTCACGTATCTTGTCTTGCCATTCTGCCCACACGCCACTGGCACGCTCCTGTCCGGCTTGTATAGCCTCTTCGCGCCACTTCTTCGTTTCCTTGCCATCGTTGAGATCGTCTTGATATGATCGGATCTCCTCTTCGATGTACGATCTCAAATCTGTCTTGAGAGGGTTGATGTTGATGTCGTAAGCTCCTGCGCCTGACTTCGGTGGAAGTAGGTCGTAAAGCTCTCTACGGGTCTCGACTGGCAGCGTCTCCCAGGCAGAATCCCTGCGCAGCACAGTCTGTGCTGGAGTCAGTCAATTGTGCATATGCGCCGAAGGTGGAGTCGAGCATACGGGAAGGTCAGCTGCCTTGCCAACCTTCGAGTTTGGCTGGGTCAGCCAGCGTTTCTGCGGTGGTGACATTTCGTCAATGGTTTCGTGAACTGAGCGTGCGGGCTCGTTCGGTTATCCTGAGCTGTTCGTCGTGAGATGTGGTTATGTTCAAGCAATGTCTCGATGTTTGATGTTTGTGGACTGCTCAAGGGCTCGGTCAAGCGCATGTGAGATGTAGCAAGCAAGAAGAGATGGTCATGCTTCCTACCGTTCTCTACCCATCGCAGCTGCGAGTTGTTGTCGTCCAGTCTTGCGCTTTCCCGCGGGCGGTCTCGCAGCCTGGCTCGCCCTGCTGACTGCGGACCAATGCTCAGTCCGACTTTCAGACGGGTTGCTAGTAGACTGAGGGCAATTGCGATGGTGAATGCACCGTATTCAGCTGTTCGTGACCTGTATTGTGTGTGTGTTGTTCGGGTTCGGGCGCTGGGACACCTTTCATCCCTCCATCGGCTCCACAGCACACGTCGTCGATGCGCTAGATCGTAGGCCCCATGCCATCGTACCAACGACACCTGTTCAACCTTGCCGCTATAACACCCACATGCGCCCTACGAGCTCGTCAGAACGCCCGTAGAACCCTCGCGCCGCTCTGCAATGATCTACACCACGCAGATCGTGAGGCTCGACGGTCAGTCGCATAATTGCAGTCCGCAATTCTTCGTAGCATCCACCACTGACTCCCGCGGTGATCGCAGGCCTCACGCTCGTGGCCTCTGTGGACGACTCCCAGATCCAGGAAGTCACAGAGCTCAAGCAGAACATCCGACAGGTCATCAAAAAGCTCACGCCCTCCTCCGAACCTCGCGCGTCCATCGAGAGCTCGAAGTACACCATTCAGTACGCCCACGACCCGCACCGATTCGCCCTCGCATACCACTGATCACGCCGACAGCTACGTCCTGAACGATGCGGTGGCATACCTTGCCATCACTGAGCGCTCTTACCCAAAGAAACTCGCCCTAACATACCTTGAGGACATCCGCGCAGAGTTCCAGACCTCGTACAAGCGCGACGAGATCCACGATCCGCAACTCCGGCCGTACCAGTACTCCGAATTCGACCGCTTCATTGAACGCTCGAAGAAGACCTACCAGGATTCGCGGGCGACGGACAACCTCAGCAGGCTGAACGACGAGCTGAAAGATGTCACACAGGTCATGACCAAGAACATTGAGGATTTGCTATACCGAGGAGACTCGCTGGAGAAAATGGGTGAGTCGATACACCACGAGAATTTGGCACATCACCTTCTGACAGCTTGTGTCAACAGGCGATATGTCGTCCCGGCTCCGAGACGACTCTCTCAAGTATAAGCGGGCCGCTGTCCGGATCAACTGGGAACTGCTGCTCAAACAATACGGCCCCTTCGCTGGGCTAGGACTTCTCATTTTGCTTCTTCTCATTTGGCGCTTTTGGTAAAAGTATACTCCCAGCTTGAGATTGTTTTCTCGATCAGAATTTAGGCATCGCGTGGCGTTCAGGATAAAAGCAGCCCGGCATAGACACCTGGAAAATTTGCATGATACCCGAGAGCGTACAGCATAGCTCTTCGAACAGCACAAGAGGCCTTTGGAGTCTGCATTGCCTCTCCGCTTGCTGCGACAATCTCCCATATGTGGTTTGTTGCCATTCTCTTTTATGTTTTCTTGTCTCCTAGTTTCGAATGAAGATAGCTCAAAGCAACCTACCAAGACGGGAATACGGACTGGGAAAATGAAAAAGAAAGAGACGAGAGAACGTCACTACGAGAAGCATGCCTGCCAAAGAGGACTTTGCTGGACTTACCTGTGGACAACGCAGTACTTATGGTTGTGAGTGCGTTCATCCGGATGTCGGAGCCCGCACACCCAAGCTGGTGATGCGTACAGTAGAGATCTCTCCACAAGCCAGTATGAAGCGGAGAGCACGGAGCTGGCCTTTGGGCGTTCTTCCACAGATTTGGAGCCTGCAATGTAGGCGCCACTTGCGTGATCCAAGCAACCCAGGAAACACAAGATGCTGCACGGCAACGCTGGTTCCTCAAACCCATTGTCGCACTGGGAGGTCAACTAGAGTACCAGTAGCAATCAGCTATGGTAGAGGAGCCATATGCCACATGGCTGCTACTTCGTTCAGCGAAGGTATATTGCAGCTTTGCGGTGCTTCTTGCTCGTGCTGGCACGAAGTATGAGACATCTGGTCTACTCCGATCTGTGAACTCTGGTGTCTGGTTTCCTGACGACCTGCTAGCGAGCCACCTCTTGCATTGGCGCCAGTTCCAATGCCCGGTGAAACAGTTCTGCCTGCCATATTCCGCTCAGACCATCGATGAGGCTCTTAGACTGATTGGCACCTGGTGCGCATCGAAGTGTCGCTTGTCGCAGAGCGGAGGTGGCGCGGCAAGCAGGTCAGCCTTGCTCAGCCATGGGATGGAGTGATCACTCATGTCCTGCTCCCTCTGTCTGCCTCGTGTCTCGCAACGCGGTTGCTACCCCAAGCCGCGTAGCCACCGCTAGAGGAGCCGAGAGTAAGGTTGCGGTCGCTGTGGTCCTGCTCCGCCGTGGCTTTCTCCGTCTGCTCGCTGGATTTGGCGTATGCTCGCTCGTCCCTCCCTGGTGGTATGGTGCTGGCTCGACTGGATAAAGAAACAGCTCGTGTTGCCGGGTGAGGACTGGGCCGTGTGATGGTGTCGCAGTCGTCGCATGGCGGATGTCCGCACCGGGCGCATGGGTCGTAGCCCGTATTGCAAGTTCCGCAAGAACAGCAAACATGCATTGTGGTTGGGCTCGTTCACAGCGTTGTCTCGAAGGCTCTGATGCTTTCTCCGGCGAGAAGCTTGTCGTCAAGAGGTCTTCGTGAGCATTGGATGGTGTGGTGTTTGGTTGTTCATCGACCTCGTCCCGCCAAGCCTCCGCCAGCCCGCGCAGCTCGCTGGTCCACCAGCCCTCCTCGGCCACAATATCTTCACCACAACATGGAAACACACAATATGGGTATGCGGAGGTTTGCATTGAAGTGCTGAACAAGCTCGTGCGTATATCTTGTTGTGGTGTTGCGGTTGTGGCGAGTTGCTACCATGGGAGGGAAACTGGCTGATGAAAGGATATATTTGCTAAGATTTTCTGCTTACTGTGCTCTACCACCAGGTCGCCATACGACATGGTACCTCTCACTCTCGGCTGAGAGGATTTGGCCTAGTGGTAGAGTAGCAAGAGGGGGAATTTCGCCGCCGCTAACGTGACGTCCATGTACAGCATAACATTCGCCCAGTGCGGGACTAACTCGGTCACAGATCGATCATCCATCCGCAAGTCATCGGTTCGAAACGGTGGCTTGTGTCCGAGAGCTTAGCTCTACGGTGCTCTGATTTTTTTTCTCCTCCTGTCCCATCTTCTCTGTGCGTCCACCACACAAGAGACGGGCCAATGCGAAGGATCGTTACTTTTTGTCTACTCGCTTGGCACCAACGGCAAGTACAGAGGCAGTTTGGCAGAGGGGACCAGCCAATTCAGGGCACGGCTGAACAGCAATACTTTTGCCTCGACATCGATTGCAATCTCCACAACACCGATGGAACATTTCGCATTGAAGGAAAAGCATCGCCAAGCTGATGGCATCTTCAGCACATGCGCATCGGCACTTGATACCTTGTATTGATGTTGTGGTGGAATTTTGCATGTTTTAGCGACTTCTATTCAGCTTGGCTGGACGTGGATTCGCGGCCACGAAGTGCTTAAACGCCGAACAATTTTGCCTCGAAGGCAGCACCACACGCAACAACACCCGCAGAATACTTTCCACCCGCTGGAAAAGTCTGGAAGAACCATGAGATGCACCTCCTATCTAGCTGAGCATAGCTGCGCGAGGTTGTGGGCGTGTAGAGAGCATTCGAACACTGGACGTTCGCTGTTCGAGCAGCTTAGCGGACGATATGACCGAGCGAGCAGCGACGAGCCTCTCGGTCTCCGCAGCTTTCACCTTTGATGCCACAACGACTCCGACAGTGCGTTACCCGCGGAGAATACTCACAGCACGAGCACTCTACATGAGCCGGCTACCTTATTCGGGCGCGCTCTACGACTTCGACGTCAGTACACACAGGGGAATCGCCTCAATGTCCAAGCCTACGATGGCATGACGATCGCAGACCCACGTTGCGCTCGAGCGCATCCACCGCGCTCTTCACAGCACTCTTCACAGCGCTCGGCTCATTCAGCAGCAGATTACCAAACAGAACTTGGCGTCGATCTTCGGCTCTGCTTGATCTCGAAGCGCACAGGGAGGTAATGGTCCAATGGACATACGAGACAACCACTGCGAAGGCGATAACGCTCATGGCTAAAGGCAGCCAACTCCAGCTCATCTTCGCGCTCAGCAGTCCAAGATTCGACTGCTCGCTCACGTCGAACTCAGAGCGTTCGACATCCAGTCGACTCCAGAGCCGCCACTGGCTTGACCGCGCACGAACTTCCGCCTCTCTTCATTTTGAGAGAAACGCCATACCGGATCCGACCTCCCCTGCCTAGCGCTCTGTTTCGGTCACCAGAATAGGATCACGCAGCGCTCGACGAAACACGACGGCGAAGGAAAATCCACAAGCGCGTCGCACACTACCAGCTGTTGGCTCTGAAGGCTGTCTCTATCAGCGTGAGATACCCACGCCATTCTGCAGACAGCCCCTTCGCGCTTGACGACGGAGGTGACACACAGAAGAATTCGCTGTGGCATTGGCCATCTTGTGCAAGTTAGAGGGCAACAGAGCCAGCGCTGAATGGGTGAAGAGCTTCAAGGCTGCGAGAAAAGGGAACATTCAGCGAAGGGATAAGGATACCCGTCTCTGACAAGTCACACGGCAGAAAGTAGCTTACGAAGTTGAATTCGGGGTATAGTGAAATCTATGGAGGAACAATTCTATAAAGAACAACAAACACATCACAGGAGCGCCGTGAGAACGCTTTCGCGCTTCGTCAGCATTTCCTCCCATTCCGCCTCTGGGTCACTCAGCGCGGTGATCGCGCCTCCAGCACCAACATGCCAATCATCACCCTCATCGTCCCATTTGAAGGCGGTACGTATTACGACCGAGAAGTCACCGCCACCGCCGACATCAAAGTAGCCGAGAACACCGCTGTACAGGCCTCGAGGCTTGCCGCCTTCAATCTCAGAGAGCAATTCGCAGGATCGCTTCTTTGGAGCACCAGTCATAGAGCCAGGTGGTAGCGAGGCAGCAAGAGCTGAGATTCCAGAACCTCCTTCGACAGTGCCCTCGATCACAGATACAAGTTGGAACACGGTCTGATACTCTTCAACCGACATGAGCTTCGGAACATCCACCTTAGCAATGCCTTTCACGCCTGCCAAATCATGGCGAATCAGATCGACAATCATGAGATTCTCAGCGCGCTCTTTCGGAGAAGCCAGAAGCTCTTCTGCTTTGGCGCGAGTCACGTCAGGAGTTTTCTTGACTGTTCCCTTGATCGGCCGAAACTGGCATTTACCGCTGCGAGACCATGACAGGAAACGCTCTGGACTACTGCCAACAATGGATATGCCAGGTCCTTCGTTCTGTTGCAAACGCATGAAGGTGCTGAAAGGAGCTGGGTTGCGGTCGCGGAGCTGTCGATACATGGTCCATGGTTCGGCAGAAGTGCGAAGTGTGGATTGATCGGTCAAGCACAGCTCGTAGGATTCGCCAGCTCTGAGGTTTGCTTGGCAGTCCAATACCTTTTGGCAGTACTCCTGTTTTTCAGGTCCGTCTGTCAAATGTGCTACCAGCTTCTCTCCTCGTGACCGGCCATTACTGGTTGGTATCTCGGTGAGTCGCACAATGAGAGACTGAGTAGCTCGCAGCCATTCGTCATCGGAGGTACGAACCGTCTGCAAGTAAGCCACATGTTCGACGTGGTCCAGAACGATGCTTCGCTCTGCCATCACAAACCAGAGATCAGGATGTGTGCGGTTGGCACCGACTGCTGATACGTCTATGCTCTGCAGGCCCGCCTCGTATGAAATGAAGCCAATCAGTCCGCCCCAGAACGGAGATTTAGGAGGGCCGCTCGTTGTCTTGTTTGACAGCATAATATCTTCGATACGTGCAAATGCATCTGTGACGCGTTGAAGCGGTATTTGTTCCACTTTTCCGTTGCTAGCCACTTCCATGTAGCGATCAAGAGTGGAAAATCGATACTGCTTGGAAGATGCTGAAGGAAGGCCAATGATACTGAAGCGTCCTGTCTCCGCATTCACTGGTTTGCCGTTGCGAGTGCCCGACTCGAGCAACAATGGTTGTTCGCAAACGCCTTGTTCCTGCAGCATCTCCATTATCAAGGCCAAATTTGGTAGCTGTTCGAAGTCCATTTGAGTCCACTGCACCGCTGGGGAAGACTGCAGAGGCTTTTCGTCATAAACTTTGGTTGAAGGTTCTGTGACAAGTTGTTGCACTGGCCTTACTGCGCGGTTCTGACTCCGCCATTCGCAAGCCTTGTCCCACCAGTTCTTCATCAATTTATGGCCTTCGCTATTGGTGCAGATGGACTCGGGATGATACTGAACGCCCCAGAATGGCTTACGCTCATGCCGTACACCCATCAGAGTAGGCCCATTTGGAAGACTCATCGAGGTCCAAGATAGTGGTACGAGTTCTGGGCATTTCTCCGACTTCTCCCACTGGCTCGACGATCCCCAATCGTCCACAGAACTCTTCTGTCCAAGCGTGACGTGCAGAGAGTGATACTGAGTGGCAACAACTCGACCGGTGTCAGCATATATGTCTTGGTGGCAGTGGCCTACCATAGTCATGATGCCATGTCTGGGCTCCTTGAGTCGCTCAACCTTGGCGCCAGATGCTAGGCAGAGGCTTTGGAAACCAAGGCATATTCCCAAGACGGGGAGCAGGTGCTCCTCAGGTAGACACCATAGCTTCCCAATCAAGCCAACGTCTTTGGCGTTGGCAGGATGACCGGGACCAGGACCTGCGACTACTGCGTCGAAGCCATCTAGATGATCGAAGAACGCTTCGTCGTTGAGGACAAAGCGAGCATCGTCGATCTTGATGCTTTCAACAGTGACCGGTAATTCGGCTTGAAGTAGTGCGACTATCGAGTTTGAGAACGAATCGTATGCGTCAATGAAGAGGATCCGGTGTCGTAGCATGTGTGGGGAATGAATCTGCTCGGAGGCCAATGCGATTGTTCGAGGAAGTGGCGCTGAATGTGACACTGCGAAAGGGAATCCACTACCGCCTGCACCGCGACCTCTCCAGAAGCATGTTAAGGAATGTGTTCATTCACAGCGATCGTGAGGCAGAAGCGTGGTGGTTCGCGATAGAGTGACATCGGAGAAAGAAAATTGCCCGGAGCGGTCCCCATGGCTGGCAGGCCGGAAGCCGAAAGCGACCGAGAAGTCAATTGAGAAAGAAAGACTGCGGGCTGGTTGGCTGCTTTGCCGACCGCTGCAGCAACCACATCCTTTCCACTTGCCACCGCTCCGCTCCGCCCTCTCACACCACCACCACCACCACCACCGCGGGCGATGACAGCATGTCGTGCATATGCGCACGATCACGACGTCCGCTGTAATCTCGCGGTCGCACAAGCAACGACCAAGATCTGCAAAGCGTAGGCTAATCTTACTTTTAGTCGAGCGCTAATCCTGGTGAGCAGGCTGTCATGTGCAGGGCATGTGCAGCACACCACCAATAAAGTATTCCTGTACCATCACGCGGTGTGAAGCCGGCTGACGGGGATGATAAGAGAAGGGGGCAGCAGACACCCAAGTCAATCTGCGTCGCGTGCCTGCTAACTTAGCGACGTACCAGGCAAGGCAAGCTATTCCGTCAGTGCTGCTGCTTTCCTTGCTCTTCTCTTCCTTCTTCCTCTCATCACTCTTGCATATCGTCGCCAGAAAATTGTTGAGCACGCAAAGACCCAAGAAAAAACACTCCAGAATCCCTCTCAAGCACCTCCAAAATGGCAGACACCAAGCCCGCAGAGACCACTCCAGCTGTCGCAGGTAGGTTCCGCGTTCCCCTGATATGTCTCCTCACAGTGACCAGGAGCAAAATGTGCTGACGACAAAAATAGCTCCAGTCGACAACACGACCGCGCTGCCCACCATCGAGAACGAGGCGCCAAAGACCGACGCAGCTACCACTGACGGTAAGAAGGAAACCCACAAGATGGCATTCAGCGCATCCTCTAATGAATCCCCACAGGCGCCGCCCCAGAAGCCGCAGCTCCAGCCGATCAATCCACTGCAGCACCAGCAGCCGCCGCAGAGCCAGCCAAGGCAGAGCAACCAGCCGGCGAGACCACCCAGACATCCAAGGCCGACAAGAGGAAGAGCCGAGTCGGCGATTTGGCCAAGAAGCTCCAGTTCTGGAAGAAGGACAAGAAGGAGGATGCTGCCAACTAGGCGCAAGAAAACTTGTCCAACAGAAAGAAGAACAAGCAAACCTTGTGGGCATGAAGTTTTTATTTGCGCGGCGCTGTTTCCTCAAGAGATATCCTATGATACCCTTCCATGTTTGATATTATGGCATGGCTAATTAAGCAGACGAGACTGATCATCAGGTCTGAAATCTAAAGTTGATTTTTTGTTGTTTTGTTGGAATTTTCATACTTTTTCATTATTTCATTGTCCTCTCGCTATCTATCGTATCCATCGTACTCATACTTGAAAAGGGGTCGGTTGAATTGGCTTGATCATTGCCGTAGTTTTGGCGCAAGACTCATTTCTCGGCCAATATGGCCTTATCGGCACTTCTGACTAGCTTCGAGCGAGTGATCCACAATCGTCACCGCGTCACTTCACCTCTTACTAGTCATCTAGTTCAGCTAGCTGCTTCTCAATAGCCTTCTGTTGCAACGCGAACTCGGCCTCAGCATCGATTCTTGCCAGAGCAGCTTTCTGCTTGATCAAGCTCGTCTCCAGCTCAAGCTGTAACTTGGCCCTTTTGCGTTGCTTCGAGCTTGCAGAAGAGATCTGTGTCTGGGCAGCAGTTCTGCCTTGAATTTGGTGGGCGGAAACACCATGACTGATGACTGATGGCGTAGGCCTCGGAGTGACGGGGCCATTCTGTGTTACAGCGCGGGCTTCGATGAATCTGCAATCGTCGTCGCTGTCTCTGGGCTCAGGCTTGATTCGGGTGCCTCTGCGTTGCTGTCCAATGCTAGTAGTCTTGTTGTGATCGATTGTGGGAGTGGCTGAAGCTTCACGCTGATCTCTGTGGCGAGATGAGCCGCAAGCATGTTCCGCCGGCGGAGATTCTGAATGCACTATTCGAGTGTGCTTTCTGCGACCCAATGTACGACGAGTCCGAGTCCGCTCTGGAGACGCGGAGCCCGAACAATCGCTTAAAGCATAGTTCAGACTACGCTTTGAGCGCCTGGGACGATCTCTTTGTGCGGGATTGCCTTCGGACGGCACAGGAGGGCCTTGAGCTCTGTGGTACTCTGCCAGGGGGTCTTCATTGTCCGTAAGTGCGACAGAGGTGTCGAGCTCGTGCGTCAGGGAATCGTCTGAGCCATCATCTGCGCCAGGTACCATTGGGTCTGTGTCCACGATGTCCGTTTTGCGCTCGATAACTTCGACGTTCTTGAATTCCGCGAACAGAACAGGACAATTCTCGCTGTTCAGGTGCTGAAACCATGTCTCGTCAATGGCAAAAGGTTGTGTTTCGAATATATTTCTAGGGTCGTCTGGTCAGCTTCTGTCGATCATAAATCCTGTTCGTAGACTTACTCTGGCGGTATGGCAGGCACCAACGGGTTCTGCACACCATAATCCGTTCCCACGCGGGCCAGACTGAGCTTCCCGCGTATGATATTGATGACGATAGAGCCTTGGTTGGCAACTCCGTAGTCACGGGTCCACTCATCGCCCGCGCACGACGTTTCATCCTTGTCTGCACACTTAGCAAGCTTTCAAAAATCAAGCGATGAATACTTACTCATCGGCACCGGCAAAATGTAAGCGATCTCGGAGCAACCAAGCTCAGGTAACGACTCTGAGTGGATCCAGCGAATCCACTTGTCGAATGTGATATGGCACCCGCCATGCTTCTTCGACAGTGGTATCGCATAGCATTGAGAGGTCGTTGTGCTGTCGTCTCCAGCCGAATTGCAGACGATTTCCACTTTCAGCGCGTTCGCTGTATACTGTCGGAACTCTGGGTCAAATTCCAGGCAGACCTTGAATGCCTTCCCGGAGGCGCCGGATATCAGTCGACTGGTTGTCACCCCGCCTGGGAACTGGAAGTGATGATTCGTGTGCTCTTCCATAATTGCGTCGTCCGCCACGGACCTAAGCTCTACCCGAACGCCTTGCTCGCTCCACATGATGGCAGAACTCTTCAAGTTGTGGTGTTTCTGTAGCGTTGGCGGTGGTATCAGTGGAACGGCACGCAAGATGTGTGGGTGTTCAGGTGAAGTGAAACCAATGAGCCTCACAATTCTTTCCCTGTCCACTCAGACCCGATTCAAGATGAGCCGCGCTCACTTCGACTGCTCAGATGGCCCTTGAGAGTAACAGTGCGGAGGATGCTGAAATGTGTACACGTTTGAGTCGTATATTCGTAAAGCGCTCGCACGCTGTTTGCACCAGATGCCCTCGTTTCATGCAATCGTCCCTCGTAAAACATAACCTGCACAACAGATGTTTCAGTACTTCGCTCACATTGGCCCAACTTGCAACCAAGGTTGAAGCATGCCGAGCTCATCTTCTGCCAGCGGCCTCACACTGGGTCTCCTCTGTTGGTCCCAGCCACCGTCTTCCATCACTGCGATGTTTGGCATTCCGAGATTGCCGCACATGCTCAGTGTTCGGAGCATGCTGACGCTTTGCCTCATGCTCCATTGCGGACTCGTTCTGCCGTCGACGTTTGTGCTGAAGATGCTTGGCAGCTGGGCATTTGAGTTGTTTCCCGGCGCGAATATTTGTCGCTGCTCGTCAGGTGGCGGCAGTGTAACGCTCTGCATCTCAAACCCAGCTAAACCCTCCACTTTCGCCATCAGAGGCTTCAGATAGCGTGATTCTTTGCCGCGCATGGAAGATAGACGATTCAACAGCACATGAAGATAGTGCTTGCCTTCAAGAAACGTTGCCGATGTATCACCGGCAGTACAGCGCAAGACGTCTGCAAGGCATCCGGCGATATCAGATATCTTCTGCTCCTATTCAAGTGTCAATAGTCCGCCGGCATAAAATAGTACTTGACACAACTTACCATGCCAATGCCGTGAGAGTCCAAAGCAAGCGCACTTGCTCCGGAAGTGATCTCTACGACTTTCCGTGCCAGCTCAACTGGATAGTCTAGTCTCATACCGGCTTCGCCCTGCAAGAAGGGATACGGAGTTAGCTGATGTGCAAGACGTAGCAATACTTTCGAGACGGGCAAGATCTTACCTGACCCCAGATCAGGCCGTTGCTCACTCCCATTTGCCAAGCCAGCACGTGTAACCATTCGCGCGTGATACTAATGTCAAGTTGTTGCGTTTCGCTGAGCGCACCGACCAGATTCGCGTTCACGCTTTCGTCAAGCTGCTTTTGCGTGCGCACGAGCCAAGCTTCATCACACAGACTGGCTCTCCGAGTGCCACGCCACGCACTCACGAAGCTATCATCGACAGCACTAAACAGATTCGCCAGATTCACAAAGCCATTCAGTAGCTGCGGATCCTCGCTTTCGAATACAGCTGGTAGCGAAACGGATGCGCTGAGTCGAGTTCGTTTTCTCCGCTGGACTGCATAGGCTCTCTCGGTGATGAGCAGTAGCCAGTACAAACGTCGTCGCCATTGCGCATCTATCGGGTCAAGCTTGTCGTATTCCTCTTCATCGTCCATGCACATGTTTTCCGAGAAGGTAATGCTTTCTTGCAAAAAGTACCAGGCCTGATTGTGCTTTTCGTGATTACCGTAGAAGCAGAACAGGAAGAAGCTGGTCATCACATTCAAAGTCGTAGCTTGCTCGGGATAGTCGAAATTCTTTCGCTCGCGGAGACATTCCTCGGCAAAGACTGCGTCGTTTCTCTTGACCGGGTGTATTGATGGCGGCTGCGGTATCGAGGTGTCCAGCTGAATAACTGTGGTTGCGCACAACGCACACAAGAAAGCATACATTTCAGAACTCATATTGTGATTGGAATAAACGCCTGAATCCAGGAACACTGATCGATCCAGAATAGGCATTATCGCGAACATGTGCTCGAAGAAGAGCTGTACGAACGGTAGGAACGTCTCTGGGGGTAGCGCACGGTGGCTGTGATGCTCTGAAGCACTGGGCGAGTATACGCGCGAGTGTCCATCGCTTCCGACAGCCGATGCGGTCTGCTGTGTATTGCCTGTCCAGCTGCGCTGTGGTGGTGTGGGAGGTAGTGGCCGTTGCGTCTGTGGCTCCGGTTTGACCGCGTGCACATGTGGCTGTGGCATTGAAGTCGGCATGGGCTGGTAATATGTCGGCTGGTCCGGTGCTACGCTCGTGGGCTGCGCATAGATGGCATCTCGACCGTGTTGTCCTTGATATGGTGTCGCACCTGGCGGCACGCTGCCATTCGTCCCCCATCCCCAATTACTGCCAAAAGCCTGACGAGGAGAGGGCGGACTGGCCGAGCTGTGTGTGTTCGACGATGCATCGTCGTCTATACGCCTCAGTGCATGTAGCACTCGCGCACTCCTTAGGCCCTTCGGCCCCTTCTTCTTAGGTATGGCCAAATAAGCACAGCGGATGCTGGCTTTCTTGCACGGTGTGCATGGGTCCTGTCCGTCGCATCGCACCTTGCGCTTACGGCAGCAATCGCATGCCCTCTTCAGCGGTTGCTTTGGTGCGCTGCCACCACTGCTACCATTCTTCTCGGGCGGTGACGCCGTGGGCGCAACTTGCGCCGGTTGTGTCTCTGAAGCCATTTCTACCAATCACGCCGCGCCCCGCTCGCCCCTAAAGCCGACGCGGTCCTTCTCACTCGTAACTCTTGTCATGCCAGCATGTGCCTCGAACGGTAGCGGATGTGCAGCCACGCGATGATGGCTCTCGAAGGTATCGTGAATCGTGTTTTGGTCAAGTCGGCGTCAGCGGGAGCGAAGGTTCTCAGTGACGACTCGCAAGAAAGGCGATGGTGTAAAGCGTCTACACTTAGGGCGGCGCTAATGCTGGTTGTGGGGTACTTCCGCCCACGCTTCTCCTTCTCCACGCGGCGACTTTGTTACTCCATCAAACACCGAGAGCACATGCGCGGCTTTGCCAATGACCAACAAACGCACATCGCCACCGCAGGCAGTGTGGCGAAGCTGCGTTGGCCATGGCAGTATCTGCGCATCGGCTGCAGTGGTCAGCGCTTGCTTCCAGTCTGGGTCGCGTGCATCGGAGGATTGCATGCTCGGCATACCATTCACACGCAAGCATCCGAGCTCTGAACCAGGTACATGCTCGCATGCAGTTTGTGCAAAATGCCGGTCACGGCCAGCATAGAACGCCCATTCGCTGGCAACAATGTGCTTCTCCGAATGCGCCTCAGCCTGGTGTGGGAATGTCGCCGTTCCTATCAATGTCAGCGGCGCATGAACACTCGACGAAGTCCTCTAGTTCTTCGCTGACAGTCTTGAGTTTCTCTTTTACAGCTGTGACGCCTTCGACGCCCACAATATGCCGAGCGGGCGGATTGTCGTGGCCGCCGATGGCTGCGACTGCGTGCACAGTCTCGGCCACGAGTCGCTCCTTCATACCTCTGCTGAGCGGGGCGTAGAGGCTCTTGACCTCGCTCGAATACAGCTGATCACCAGTAGTTGGCTCAGCTGAGCCTTCGATCTTGTCCAGTAGAGAGGAGAGAATGTTTCGCGACAGCGGTGCTGGATTGTTCTCGTCGGTATAGCAGACCATCGGAGGTGCTGAGGTAATGCGGTGGGTAAGAACATTGACCTCCATGTTTGGCTGCACGATGGTCATTCGGATATTGAATGGAGCAATCTCATACGCCAGACTGTCGCAGTAGCCTTCGATAGCCCACTGGCTCGCGCAGTACATGCTCAGACCAGGAGTACCTAGATGTCCTGTAACAGCTGTCATCAGCACAATATGGCCGTTCTTCTTCTCTCGGAAGACAGGCAGCGTCGCCTTGATGATATTTACGGGTCCAAAGAAGTTCATCTCGAATTGATCCTTGACCAAGCTCAGAGTCCTAGGGCTCTGCGAAAGCTCCTCTACCGTGCCCACCACGATCTCAGAATGGCAGCAGAATAAGATGTCGACTCGTCCGAAGCAGCGCACAGCTTCTGCTACTGCAGACTGGCACTGACCCATAATCTTGACATCCAGCGCTACAACACGCAGTCTACTCTTCCACAGCTCTCGTTCGCGCTGCTCTTTCTCCAATCTCTCTTTTCCCTTTTCCCTTCTCGACGTCTTTCCCTGCTCATCGGGCTCATCATCGTCATCCTGGCCATCTCTGGCGGCAGGAGGGGCGCTCAGCTCTTCCAAGAAGTCCTTGAAGTCTCTGCTCCTCTCTTCTTCTCTTTCAAACTCTGTGGGCTGCACGCCCGCCGTGACATAATCGCCGTGTGCCAGCAAGTGTCTGCAGAGGGAGATGCCAATGGGGCTGTTGGCGCATGTCAAGAACCATACGCGCGGAGCATTATGCGTGGGAAACTTGGGTATTCGCGGTAGCTTGATCTCACTGGGAGCAGACATGTCGTCGCTTTCTCCCGCGGCGTGGAGCTCGGGAGCAAATCAGACGACCATGCTACTCTTGCCCTTGTTCACGGGAGAGCGATGCTACGATGGGGAGTCTCTGTGATGCATCCGATATTGAGACCGTGAGAGCGAATCAAAAGGCCGCCGCGACATGCAAGGGTCGCTGTCGCAGAAGCGATTGAGTTTCGGTTAACTAGCAGAAAGCTTGGACGACATCGACGCGGCTAAGCAGGCACGCCAGCTCGCACGTTCGTCGTCCCTCTCTGACTTTCACATGACAGCGACTGTTTGCTTGAGCTTGATCGCATGCCGGCAAAACCACATCGCTCCTGGTGAATGCACTGCTGTGAGGGAAGCACTAGTGATTCTCGTGGTGCTGGTGGGGATCGATTCGCGCGTCAGCAGGCCGCGCACAGTAGGACTGGCTGAGCTCGCACTTCGACAACCGTCCAACTTGCTCTACGCCTCGCGGCCACTGATTTGCCCAACATGGCGACCACATCTGCCACACAACTGGATGAACAGGTCTACACCTTCCCACCGCTCATTGAGTGGTGGGTAAACACCATGGGCCAGAAGGCTATGGACGAGAACATGATCCATCGTTACATGAGCGAGTCGCCCTTCTTCGAGTGGAGCAGCAAGAACGGGCTGCTCTTCGAGCAAGGCAAGTTTCATAGCCCGACTCACGACATGTGCAACAACCGCAAGGCGCTGGAGGACAACTTGAGGGGAAGAGTAGGTCTCGAGTACATGATTGTCCAAGACCCACAGCCGGTAGCAGACAAGGAACTCGCTGCGCAAGGGGTCACCACGGGCGTCTATGTGATTCGCAAGCAAGATCGCCAGCGAGCTCCATCTGGAGCGCGAGTACGACCTCCTGGTGTGATACTCGAAGGCAATTGGGAGTTGACCGTACTGGGCACATATTATACCATGGGTCAGAATGTATATCAAGCGCCGAACATGTTTGATGTAGTGGAAAACCGACTCCTCTCTGCTGCAAGCAGCCTCAACAAATTCATTGATACTACATCAATACTGCCCAGGTACGCACCTGCGACCGGCTACACTTATCTGCCACCTAGCCAACCATCGAAGCGAATCGGGACAGGCTCTATAGCTGGGTCGCCGGCTGGGTCGCGAGAAGGCAGCGTCGTACCGGGCCTAGACTCGCAATCGTTCCGTTCAGGATCTCTGCTTCCGGACTCAAACGTGTCAACCTCCAAGGCAACTTCAGACCATGATCAAACTCGGCTCTTGGCAAGCTCATTAGCCATGTCCATCAAGTATGCGCACGACTACACTGATGAAAATCCGCTCGTGGGTGAGCCTGGGAATTTCAAATTTGCTATGACAGAAGCTGCAGTGAAGAAGCGCGGGGCAGAGGAAGAAGCTGCAGCAGCAGAAGCTCGTGCGAAAAAAGAACTGGCGTCAAATAGTCGCGGTGTCTCTCCGAGACAAGACAGTGCGTCTCCCAAGGCAGACAAGGCTGTTGCACCGGCTGCCTTTTCCACTGAGACCAAGCTGAAGGCCGAAGAAAAGCGCAAGAACAGCGCATCCGGAGGGAAAAGGAAGAAAGACCGAAAGAAGGGCATGAGCAGTGCGGGTCCTTCGCCCACCACTCCTGGTCCCAGTACTGCACCGACGCCGAAAGCCAGCTGAGCCAACAGACTTGCCGATCATCTCGACTTCTGTTGGGTATTGTCTTGACATCTGGCCTACCAAGAATGTGTATTTCGGCATCATCACACAAGCGGTCAAGGTCACCATACACATGAGCACAACGACCTGAACAGCAACTGAGCGCTGCGAACGCTATGTTCCGTATGAACCCTCCCGTTGTTGGCTTAAGATCATCACCGACACTTTTGGCGAGGGTCCGACGACATCGTCTCCCGTCAGCAAGCGAGCAGAGTGTTGAGCATCTATGCCGCCGCTCTTATTTACCAATGTCGAAGGTTACCGACAAAGGTGGCACTCGGCAAGTGGGGAAAGATCTTGCGATCTGAGTCGCTGGCAATTGGAAGGAAGCAGACCGAGCTTACACAACAGCCAGCTGAGATAGGATTGATTAGGGTTTCGTCATGTTAGCTCTTGGCGCAATATGAGGATCAGAGCTATAGGAGCCGTAAGCCTCGAGCAACAGCCGAATCTCAGCTCCATTACAAAGCAATAGCCCAGAAGTATCCCTTCTCCGAGTAGATAGGGAAGACCAGCTGTTGGCGTATTCAAGCCGTCAAACTCTCACCCAGAATGAGTAGGTCTTGCCAACAAATTATGGGATTGCCAGCACTGTTCGAGTCTTTCCAGAATGGTCCTGTTGCGATATTTGTGTCCCTCTTCGTTGTATTACTCGCATCCTACACAATATACCAGCGGCAATTCCATCCTCTCGCAAAGTACGCGGGTCCACTGATTTGCTCGCTGACGGACTTGTACAAAATGTGGGCAACATGGAACGATCGCATTCCAGAGGAGATGATTCGTTTGCACGAAAAGTACGGAGACGTGGTCCGCATCGCGCCAAACGATCTACACTTCAATCGGCTGGAGGCAGTCAATGATATCTATAAAAGGGGTTGGCAGAAGGGAGAATTCTACAAAGGCTTTGATCAAAGAAATCCGGGGCTCTTCGCCGAGCCCGATGAAGGAATTCATGCCAGACGTAAACGAAGATTCGGCGCTAATTTCTCGGAGAAGTCGATCAGGGAGTATGAGTCTATCATTGACTCTCGCTATGCCGTTCTCCGAAAGCAGCTGGACCGCTTTGCAGAGTCGCAGGAAGTCTCCGACCTGAGGAGATACATCACATATGCCATCGTTGACATTCTAGGATGTCTTGCATTCTCTCAGCCGTTGGGCAATCAGCATGCAGAAGACCCTAAAAAGATCCCTCGCGTCTCGGAGTTCCTGTGGGCAAACTGCGTTGCAGGCTCGGCTCCCTGGCTCGCTCCCTTCTTAGAATGGATAAGGGACCATGTACCGCCATCCGCAGAGATGGCGGAACTGCTCGAGGGGCGCAACACAGTCATAAGAATGGCAAGCGAAAACATCCAGAGAAGATCAGCAATGCCAACAGAGGAGCCAGACATTCTTGGCAGAATTATCGCGGCAACAGAAGAAGGATCGGGCAAGAAGTTGTCACACGACCAAATCATGGCAGAATGCATCGATCTCATCGTGGGTGGGACACATACCACGGGCAACACATTACATTTGCTGTTCGCCAATCTCGCCCGGCATCCAGAGTACCTTCAGCAATGTGTTGAGGAGATAGATCGGAATCTACCAGCGCTCAGCGCAGAAGAGCCTTGTTACAAAATCATGGGACTCGAGGAAAAGCTCGAATTCGTTAACATCTGCATTCTGGAGAACTTTCGCAAGGACCCTGTGGGAACATTCAACATGCCTCGCGTTGTTCCTATTGGGGGCGCAACGATCGCGGGACACTTTGTTCCAGCTGGTACACAGGTGAGCATGAATATCCACGCTTTCCATCACAACAAAGCAGTCTGGGGTGAAGATCATGGCGATTTCGATCCAGCAAGATGGTATGATGAGAAGAGAGCCAAGGGATTGGAAAGTCTTGTGATACCCTTTTCTGTCGGGAAGAGAGCCTGTGTGGGTCAGAATCTGGCGAATGCGAATATTTTGAAGATGTTCACGACGTTGTTGAGGTGTTACGAGTTCGAATTTGTGAACAGTGATGAGCCTATGGTGGTAGTTAGTCATGGTGATTCGGATCTGAGAACTCCGGTGTTGGTGAAAGTCAAGATGAGAGGATCAGAGTATACAGGTGCTGTGCCGGAGGAGTGAGCTTGTTGTTTGTAATGCCACAGAAACAGTCTTCGCTCATCAGCTAGACTTTTGTTCGTATCATGGGTCCGATCCAGTATTCATCCTTTCTCCATACTTACTTCACCCTCAATGCAACTCTGATTCGATGGCTTGGCAGAAAGTAATGTTCAGAATGTGGTGATGGAGCACGTGGACTCGGTGGAGAGTGCAGAGAAACAGGGGTCCTTGCTGAAGCTTCGGCGCATGGGCAGTTTCCGACTCGGACAAAATTATCTGAGCTCTTGCGTGCTGCTCGACTTTCTTCACTACTCTCGCACGGCCGACACTCAAGCATCAATCAGCCAGGTTATCAAGACCACACATTCGCTATGTCGCCGTCGCTTCCATCGCCCAAGGCCGGCGCTGGCCAGGTTGAGAAGGAATCCGGTGTCGCGCGAGTCCTCGGCGCTGGTACGATGCCGACATGCACTCGACTACTCGAGTAATATGCACTGACACGCCATTGTAGGTTCTGCTGGTATCGCCGAACTCGCTGTCTTCCACCCCGTCGATACGATAGCCAAGCGATTGATGTCCAACCAGGGCAAAATCTCAGGAGCCGGACAGCTCAACGAGGTCATTTTCCGCAAACACGCCGGCGAACCTTTCGTGCGACGATTCTTCACCCTCTTCCCCGGTCTCGGATACGCGGCAGCATATAAAATCTTGCAGAGAGTGTACAAGTATGGAGGACAACCATTTGTCCGCGATTACTTGTCGAAGAACCACGGCGCGGCATTCGAGAACACATTTGGCAAGGGTAATGGAAAGGCTATCATGCACGCGACTGCTGGATCGATCATTGGAATTGGAGAGATTGTCCTGCTCCCGTTGGATGTATTGAAAATCAAGAGACAGACAAATCCGGAGGCTTTCCGTGGACGAGGCGTGTTGAGAATTGTCGCTGACGAGGGTTTCGCGCTTTACCGGGGATGGGGATGGACAGCTGCTCGAAACGCGCCTGGCTCTTTTGCGCTCTTCGGTGGTTCAGCGGCCGCGAAACAATATCTGTACAAGCTCGAGGACTACAACAAGGCCACATGGTTGCAAAACTTCGTCGCGTCGGTCGCAGGTTCAAGCGCGTCGCTCATCGTCTCTGCGCCCTTGGATGTTGTCAAGACAAGAATCCAGAACCAGAACTTCGAAGTCAAGAAGTCCGGCTTAAAGATTGTTTCCGACATGGCTCGACATGAAGGACCATCGTCCTTCTTCAAGGGCCTGGTGCCCAAGCTGCTGATGACTGGACCTAAACTCACATTCTCTTTCTGGCTGGCACAGACACTTATCCCGCTCATCAACAACAAATTGTGAGACCTGCAGCAAGCAAGGCGTTTTGGCGCAATGGATCACCACGTTGCCTACGATAGAGCATGAATGGGGCATTTGTTGATGAGTAGAAGGGTACGTCTGACATGCAGCACAGACGAGTTTGTATGAGCGTTTTGTAATTTCACTTGATTGCATTCTTATGAAGTTGTACATAGACCTACAACGCAAGATGCTAATTGTATAGCTCACGAATCATCTCAACTCAGTGCCGAAGCAGCCGAGCAATGCGAGCAATCACTTCTGTCATAGTTGGTGCAGCGTCAACAACGTCAACAAGGCAAACAACACACGAAGCTTGGCAGCGACCAGTTCTGCACTCATCTGGAGACATGTCGAAAAGACTTCTGCGGAGCGCACCGCGATGCCTTGGTTGTGGTGATGATCTCAGAGGCAGATGGATGTGCCTCGTGACGGGAGCCGATCCCAAATCTCATCCAAAAGAAAACAGAAAGGCTGGACCACCGGAGCGATGCGTAAAGTACCCCTCAATTCTGGCTGCGAGATCAACAAGATCTAAAGCATGTCCTTATCGCAGAATTCTGAAGAGGCCAGAAGTATGCCCTTCGGTCAATACAGCGATGGACGGCCAGACAAACGGAGTTGGAGTTGCGGGCAAAGGCGTTCAGCCATCGATGGTCAAGGAGCTCTTTGGGATACCTCATGAACGCGGAGGTCTCACTTGGCTTGACGAGTGCCCGGAATACCTTAGCAAGACAGCAAGCAAAACACCAGACCACGCTTTGGTAAGCCTCTGCGAAGTTCTCATGCCAGACACGAAAAGGGCATAAATCCTGGTATAAATACTGGAATCACTTTCATACAGAGCTTTTTGGGGTCATACTAACCTCACGGCTTGCGCTAGGTGACAAGATATCAGGGTAGGAGATCAGAAGGCGTCAGAGCAACATTGGAGCTATTCCTGGCAGCAATCAATGTGCAAAGTCCATCATTGAGGCAGCTGGTGCGTGGCCTGCTTGGAAACTATCCGGGCGAGAATATCGATGCACAAGATCTTGAATTCAAGAGTCCGTTCCATCCATTTTTCCATCATTGGGCATCTCTGGTATCGGCCAACGACAAGGCCCACCAGAATCACAGCGAGCAGGCAGAACAAATCAATGCTTTGGTAGAAGTACTTGGGGATGAGTTCAAGGACTCTATAGCGGACGCCCAAAGTCTTGCGAATAATGGAAACACGACTTTCAGCCTGCTCTGGACTCTGTTTCCTCCTGGGTGTCCTGTGTTTTCCGACATCAATGGCAAGACGCATTGCTTTCTAGTCGACAGCTACAAATACTTGATGGCCGAGCACCCTCCAACTCTCGCTGTCCACCTTCTTAGTCTGGACTACGATGGTTCAAGATACGGCTGGCAGAAATCAGCAAGATTTATGTCTGCCTTTTCTGGAAGCACGAAAATTCTCGCGTTGCCTGTCATACCATTCCACTATTACGAAAATGCAGGGACCGTCTTGGACACTCTTTACGAGCGTGGCAGTGTAGCCGTTGATTTGACGAGTCAGGCACCAGCCTACAGATCCTACGATGGATCGGTGCGACTCAACAAGAGCGGTGACTACGATTTCGAGGACGTCGAAGTCTTCGTGAATGAGCGCTTGATGATCGAACCTAAAGTGCACTCGCAGCAGGCCAGTCAGTATAGTCCGACAGTCTACACCTCTCCGCATAAACTCGAATTTTTGCTGCAGCGAGATCCGCATACGAAAATAGCCCGAGAAGCGGATAACAACAAGGAAGAGACGGGGCTTCTTTCAATAATGCACATCCTGAATATGCACATCGTGCTCAGCCTGGGTCCAAACAAATTGAGCCCTCTGGAACCGAATGAAACTGATGATGATTCATTACTCAAGAACCATCGGTGGACCGAAGCTCTTTTTGGCCTCCGACCAGAAGTCTTCTGTCGATCTGTCGTTCGCGGGTACTTGCTTGGTTCAAAATGCTGGGCTGAATTCGAAGTCGATAACATTTCGCCTATCCGATGGAACGACAATGCATTCGAGTCTCTTGTCGTGCCGCCGGCCAGGAAGCGTCTACTGGAAGCACTAGTCCGACAACAGAAACTTCACAAGCAAGACTTCGACGATGTGGTGCAAGGCAAGGGGCAGGGGCTCATCATGCTTCTCAGTGGCCCTCCTGGAACGGGCAAAACTCTGACAGCAGAATCTGTGGCAGACCACCTGAGGATCCCACTATACGCAGTCAGCGCGAACGAGCTTGGCGATAGCGCGAAAGACATAGAACACCAATTTCCATCCGTGCTTCGGTTAGCTGCCTCCTGGGATGCAGTCTTGCTGCTGGATGAGGCGGATGCATTTCTCGAGAAACGAGCTCCTCAAGACACGCCTGGCGCTCGAGAACGCAATAAGCGTGTAGCAGGTGAGCATCCATCAACATCACACAAGAACATGCACTGTAAAATCCATACTGACAATGGCATAGCCTTCCTCCGCATCCTCGAATACTACCGCGGAATCCTCATCCTCACAACCAACCGCGCAGTAAATTTCGACGATGCATTCTATTCCCGAATCCATCTAAGTCTGCCCTTCAAACCCCTCGACCATCAATTTCGAGAGGACATCTGGAAGAATTTCCTTCGTGGCTCTGAAGTTTCTGATTCCGAGATCTCAGAATTTGCGAAAGAAGAGATCAACGGGAGGCAGATCAAAAACGTCGTGAAAATGTCGCGGTTGTTGGCGCAAGATAATGGTGGTATGCCACTGCAAGCGAGTCATGTGCGGGATGTATTGAGTATCACGAGGGAGGATGTAGAAGGGCAATAGTTGCGTAGACACGGTTGGCATCGGGCGTTCGTAGACGACTGAAGAGGGGCGTCTCTCTCATGAGTCTCAGAGGTCAGTGGTATTCATGGCCAGACCCTACAGTTATGTATATCTTTCACCTCGTCAGAAAAAGCAAGGCGGTCTGCCCATCAATTCAAAGATGAGAGGAACAATTCTCGTGTTGCAAACATTTCTCCTGGGTATCATCTTACATGCATTACATTATATTTGCGAGCAATTGGGTCTCAGCCATCAGCTACCAGTCATAGCAAGCATACACGGCTCGAAGGCCGTCTGAACAGAACGATCTTGAACACATGCCCGCTGACAATCAATTCGTCTTCCCTTTTTGGAACGCGTCTCGCAGGTTCGGTGGCAGGTTTGCCATGAGCTGTTGGGCATCCTGTCTCATCTCCTCGGCCTGTCCCAATTGTCCGCTCAGCTCAAGCGTATCAGCGTACATTCGAGTTCCCACGGCTCTCCACAACTTATTGTTATTCTTGCCAGCGAGTCCGCGCGCTGATTTACCAGAGCTGACGGCTTGCTGTCCGACAATGTTCTTGAACCATGCGTCGGTCATAATGTTCATGACACACATCAGAAGTTGATCGTTCCCAACAGCCTGAGCAGCTTTGACGCTGCGTTGCAGAATAGACTTGGTGTCAATGATCAATCCTCCCGCTCGCTGCGAGGCCACAGCCTTGAGCATACAAAAGAGTGACTCCATTGCTCTGCTGCCGTGCTCGCCGCCATCACTATTCCTAGTCACGACGCAGTAAGGTTCGGTCCAGTCTAACAACAGGCCAGCCTCTTTACTCTTGCCCTGTGAATGAAGAATTTCCACGCTATTCAGTGCCGAAAGGACTTTGATTGGGTTCATCGGAGCCATCCCGCTTTCTGTGCTGCCGAGTAAGGGTACCTGCAGCGCAGGGGAGCGGTACAGTCGCAACGCCTCTTCAAGATCCCCTGAGCCGTGCTTGACGACAGCATCGAGGTATGTGGCCAGTGTTGTAAAAGCAGCATCGGGTGCGCCTTCGAGCTGTGGAACGTCCTTCTCACGATAAGCCTGCAGTGCATTAATTGCGTGAGGCCAGTCCGAGATGCCACAAAAAGCGAATGCAATATAGAGCCTCGCTGTCGCCCGTAGTGAGACTTGCATGTGCCATCTCGACGTCGCAGCACTCAAGGAGAGTGACATATCCTTTGGTACCGTCCTACTCATAGTAACGACGTGGCTCAGATATTTTGCTGCCTCTGGTCCTGTACTGCCGTCAAGTTTTGACAAACCACTGATCAAATAGCCAACAGCGTATGCCTGCTGTTTCGTGAGCCATGAGAATGCGAGACACACATCACCATTCGGACCCTGCTGGAAAACTCCGCCTGAGTCGGCCTCCAACTCAGCATCTTTGCTGTGACCAAGACTGATGTGAAGCGCGCAACCATCTCTATTGGTCCATGCTTCATCGTGCGTGCCTTGATCGAGCTCCAATTGCATCGCTTGCACTTTTGAGTCAGCCACCTTGCGGTTGAAACGAGTGAGGGAACATCCGACGTCGAGGTAATTCAAAAGAGCTTTGACCTGCGGCATTGCTTGCATTTCAGGTGTCAACTGATGCATTCGCGCGGAAGCCATCGCCCGGTTCGCAAGATCGATGCTATCAGACGTGCGAGCCCTTAGATGTACCAGCGCTTCAATGGTATGAGCAACGATCTGCACAGAGACGTGATAGTGTCTGGTCGCCACGGCCGACAGTGCGCTCAAGTAACGGACCAGTGAGACTGTTTCGTGGTGGTTGTCTGGAATCTGAAGTCCAAAAGATACACGCAGGAAGTGGAATGCGTACACCCAATGCAGGAGCTGCAATTTCTCAACTTCGGCTGTCATCCTCTCCACGGTCTTCATGGCCGTCTTGAATTTGCGGCTTTTGAACCAAATCCTCGCTGTCAAGTGATGCATGGCATATTTGAGGTCTGTTAACCGCGCACGCTCGCACAAAGAAATTCCTTTACTGAGGCACTCTTCCGCGTCAGTCAAGTTTTCTGTCTCTTCATAGAGAAGGCTAGCATATCTCAGCCGGATGCGTGCCTCTTTGCGCGGGTCAGAGATGCGGTAGTTTTTGAGCACTGAGTCAAGACAGCCTAGCCCTGTTGACAGCAAATTCTGGTATTGGTCCAATAACTCGTCAGATGCCTCCTTCCCGGACAGAGGGCCAGTCATGCTATACGCAGCACTGATGTATTCGTCAGAGAGAGCAAGCAGAGCGGCTTGGTAATCGACGCTTGTCAACGGCGTGGGCGTAGGTGGCAGTTGGGAAGATGCTAGCTCCGTTAGTGGCGAAGAAGCAGGGACCGGCTTGGACTGGAGCATTTGTCGGGACGACTTTGACTCCGGCTCGTGCTTGACGGATGCGGCATGCCGCTCAGGCTGATTATCGATCGGAAGAGCAGTGCCGTCATTGGATCTTCTACGCTTTGGGGAACGGACTTCTGGTCGCTCAAGCTTGATCGACGGGCGTTGAGGCTGGGCCTTGATCGTGGAATTTGGTCGCTGCAGCATAGAGGGATCAACCGTGATGGTTGACGGAGTAGACTGGACCTGACGGGACGATGATGGTGGTCTGAAATTGTTCTGTGGCACCGATGGTCGCTTGGCTTGTGTGGGCGTGTTGACTTCATGGAAGCTGTGAGCCACGCTAGGATCCACCTGCTGGAGATTGTTGTGTTGTACAAATTGTCCGACAGTAGGTTGACTGGGCCTGTCATTCATGACCCGGTTCTGCACAACAGGAGATGGTCGCTGCTGCGAGCTCCCGCTTTGCTTGTGGGGTTGCGAGGGCATAGCTTGCGAAGGCATTCGCGCTTGACTGTGCTGTTGACTCGGCATTGGCCTGTTCTTTTGCCCCTGGGCCATCTGCGAGGACGGTTGTCCAGGATGAGAGACTTGTTGATGAGATCGCTGCGGCGGCGGCGGCTGCTGCTGTTGCTGAGCTTGCTGTGCCGTTGCATAGGGACTGTTGCTTGTTGGTGCCCTGCTAGATGGCCCTGATGTCTCATACGGTGACGGCGAGGAGGGATATTGGGTCCATTGAGGTGATGCCACTGGCTGCCTGTGAGATCCTTGTGGACGGGGCGTCTGCTGAGTTTGAGACGACTGAGACAGCGGTCTCTGAGCTTGCTTGGCCTGTTGCTGTGCGTAGAAAGCCTGTTGCTGCTGTTGTCTCGGCTGAGGTGGCGGCTGGAAGTGATGCAGCGGGTCCGGTGAGTATTGCACGTTTTGCTGTATGAGGGCAGGCTGAGATGGTGGCGACAAGTACTGTTGTTGGCGTGCAGGCTGGTTCGGCGTTTGGTAGAATGATGCCTGGCCTTGGCTCGGATCGAAGGCCTGAGGCGTGGCGTACGGAGTGTGCCAGTTTTGTTGGTAGGTGTGTTGCTGAGGCGGTCGCTGCTGCTGCGGTTGCTGCTGCTGCTGCTGTTGCTGGAATCCATATTGTGCTTGCCCATATTGTCCTGAGTGATTGCTATAATTATATTCCGGCACGTAGCCGTCTTGGTACGGCATCTTGCACCGTCCGCCGCCTCATATGCTATACTGTGAGCATCGTCTATTCTTCTTGTCCATTCCCTCCGCCGACGTCTCGGTCGAAGTCAGAGTGGAGTGGAGGTCGCGCTTGTGCCCACGCGATCGCGTCTGACAGGGGTCGGACTTGTCTCCGCCCACCCGCAACCTTATTCCGCTCAAGCCCAAATTTCCTTCGTCCTCGCAAGAGCTGCACTGTCTAACGCGACAACTCACAATGGCACCCAAACAAAATCGAGTGACGAAGCCTAGCAATGGCCCAAAACGTTCCGCATCGAAGACGTCCTCGAGCGGGCCTTCAAAATCGAAGAAACCTTCCAAACCACTTCCTGCAGTCAAGACGGTCAAGACGAAGCAGGGTACTGCGAAGTCCAAACTCCCGCCTCATAAGCGATATAAGGAGTCTGAGCTCAAGGTGCCTCAACTGAACGGAATCGTACCCGCCGGTGTGTCGAAGCCGCCAAATCAAAAGAAGGGCAAAAAGTTCGTGGACGACAAGGAAAGCATGAACACAATTCTAGCCATGGTCATGGCCGAGAAGGAAGGCAATCTGGAGAGTAAGATGATGAAGGCGCGGCAATTGGAAGAAGTCAGAGAAGCAAGGAGGATCGAGGCCGAGAAGAGGGTGGCTGGCAAGAAGAGCGAGATGGAAGAGAGAAAGGCGAACATCAAAACTGAAGGCAAGAAGAGCAAAAGGCGGCGCAGCGCAGGAGATGTGGACGGTGATGCGCCAACAAAGAGCAGCAGATCTGGCGATGATGGGACCAAGAAGGTCAAGTTACGGAAACGGGTCAGCTTTGGTTGAGCCTTTGCTCGATCTATGCTTCAACTGTACAAGTCTATGGTCTCTGTGGCGTCCTGTAGCGCTACTTGGATCTGTCGGTTCTTGTGCCTTCTCATTGCTCCTGCTCAGGACGATGTGACTTTCTCCTCATCGGATCGAAGGCGAATGGCGTTTCGTGTCCTCCGTGCGGCCCCTGCCTCCCAAATACTGGCACTTCGATCTTATCGAATTCGACGTTCCTCATGGCCTCCAGGAATCCGACAGCAGGCTTCATATGCCATCGCCCACCTCCAAGCTCGAACCAAGCCAGGTGACCGCCAGAGCTGGTTGCGCACATCACAGCGTATGGGTTTTGACGGATCTCGGCGTACGGCACGGCTTGATCGCAAGCGATCGGATCGTCCACCGCGTGTATGCATAGCAACGGAATGCGCACCGATAGCACACTATCAGAGCTGCTGGCGTCCCGGTAATATGCACCCTCTGTCGGGTAGCCCCACTGTCATCAGGTCAGCATCTTTGGAGCCAAATTTTGCAGGCTCGCCTTGGTAATGACAAGGAAGGCGTAAGACGACCGGATTGGAAGCTCGCAGGCTCACTTACCGTAGCACACTGCACGACTCGATCAAAATCGTGCAAATACTTGCACTTATGAATATCCTCAGTCTTAATCGATGTGTTCTTGGTAACCTGATCCTTGTGGGCTTCGAATAGACGTAGCATGTTGCTGCCCATCGTTTTCGAGTAAACGTTGAGGCCGATATAGGTGCTCTTGAGGAAAGCATTGCTCACTTCGAGCTTCCATGGATTGGAGACTACCACAGCAGCATTGAGGAGGCATTTATCTCCTTCCTCACCGAGATACTATTCAAAAGAAATTGTTCAGCACGAGCACTCCTTCCAACCATGATTTTGTCAAGGCTACCTACGTTTGTAAGTATGTTTGCGCCGAGCGAGTAGCCGATGCCATAAAGCGGCCTGTTTGGCCAAGTTTTACGTGCCCATTTGACGGTTTGGCGAACGTCCCAGGTCGCGCGAGCGTTGTACAAAATGCTTGTGGTGATCTTCGAACCAGCACATCCGCGGCTGTTCACGACTAAGGCTTCCCAGTTGCCGCCTGAAATGCCGCCAGCCTTCTCACCTTCTGGCGTAGCCTTGACGAGTGGTTCAAGGACATGGCGCAGATACGTCTCGTAAGACCCACCACTCAGACCGTGCAGGGTGATCAGCAATGGCTTGGTGTCATCGCTAGGCAGACTCTCGAACTCCTTGTCCGTGAAGTACGTCGTCCTAGGTGGCAGCGAGTTGTGTCCTACACCGACAGGGTCTTCCCTCAAACCCGCGTCCTCAGGCCCTCCATCTTTGGCTTGCCCGGAAGTGGCGGGCGCAGAGGTCACAAAGTCGACAGAGAAATGGCCCTTGAAACCTGCATCCTCTTGCTCGAACACTCGTCGCTTGTAGTGAATCGCTGGGCCATCGTACTTCATTGCAGTCCATGCTGTTTGAAGATGTCCGTTGAAAAGGAATGGGTTGAGGTTGCATGGTGGAATCACATCTTTGCAGATTTCAGAGAGAGCACGCACTGGGCCGTTCTTGGTCGGTAGCTTGATTGATTCCTCTGCGTGCGTGTATGTTGTGGTGCAGGCACCGGGAAACCAGGAGAAGGCCATATTTTGATCGATGCTAACGAGAAGATGCAATGTACATGAATAGTAGCGGATGGTTAGAAGTATACGTGAAAAGTTGTTGTGAATGATGCCTGTGCTCTTTGGCTTACGGACGTATGGCCGGCGGACGTATAGCCATAGAGAGACAGAAATCGCATGTGAAAGTTGCCAAGTGTAACGAGAAGATGACGAAGTGAAAGATTCGGTCTACGGTGAACTTCGGCGCAACGCTGCCGGAGTCTCAACCTTAGTTAGCCTCCAATTCTCATCGCTGGCGTGTGTTGCTTGATCTCGCCAGAACTGTTCTGTGAGTTGAGCTGCGCTGGTTTCGCACAGTCAATGGTTTCGTTGCCATCAAAGGCAGTGTTGGATGACACAGATAAGGCCATGCGACATTGCGAGTCCTGCAGGGATCGTTGTCAAGTGAAAGATTCGGGCAGTGACTTGACTTGGCGAGGCGAGTGCGCACGAGCCCGTCCGCGGCTGCCGCCTCGTCATGCCCGCGCAGCTGCAGCTCTACCGCAAGCTGCCTCGACAACTCGCCAGGACTGCGAACTCATATACCGACGCCAAACTGGCAGACTCCCAGCAACTATCGGCATCTAAGCTGCACACGATACCCTCATTACCACTTCCCGGCTGACTTGAGACTGGCCCAGCCCCGTCTCTGCCACCCACGCAGACTCTCACAGAAGCACGACCAAGGCAGGCCCGAACGTGTCCACCAAAAGCTCAGCTGGCATTGCAACGTTCTGTTGGGACCCCGTGAGATAGGCTACAAAGCTCGACTCCAGACCAAGATCAACACTCTACGCCATCGTCGCCGCGCGCACTCGAGAGACTTCAGAAGACAGTGCAGAGAGGCTCGCGCCAGACGTACCAACGAGAAGAAGCGGAAGCTGAAGCGCAAGGTTTCCAAGGTTGCGTCGAGCCTTTGAAAATAGCAAAGACACTGGGAATACGACGGAAGCTGAAGGGCTAGGAGCTTCTTCTCAAGATCTGGGTGGGCAAGCAAAAAGAGCTACTGCGCCTACGAAGCAACCGAAGTTCGGCTCGACTGAAATCGTACGGACAACGTGCAAAGGGCAAATCTGCAAAACTCCATTCAAAACTGCTCAAATCACTCTGAGCTCGACATCCTCATATCACCATGGAGGACCGCCTTTTCCGATATCGCTTCCCGCGCCCACAGTGGCTGAACAGCGCCAATACGAGAACGGCTGGTGTTTATACCTCAGGGGCGTTGGTATGGGAGAGCGATGCCGTTGTTGAATACACATATACTAACCAGCATACAGTTCGCCATTGCGCTTTTCGTGCTCATTGATGCATCCGTCTACAGCAACGGCAATCAGAATGGATCAGATCTGCACCTCAATTTCGTGGACTGGATCCCAGGCATTTTCTCCTTCCTCGGCATGGTCGTCATCAATAGTATTGACAAGACACGCCTCTCTGGTGATACATTTGCTTACTCTGGCGATGGCGTAGCATGGAAGGCTAGAGTAGTTCTGTTCATGGGTTTCGCCGCCATGGCCGGAGGTCTGGCAGGTGGGGTAACCATCATGGTCATCAAGTATGTCACTCAGGACGCCAAGGGCATGCAGTTGTGGTTTGGCGTGTCCAACCTGGTTGCGAATGCGCTGGTTATGCTGAGGTAAGTCTGTTCAGCTCTGTACTCGCCTTCATCTAGATGCTGATATCGCCATTCAGTTCTGCGGTGCTCTGGGTCAGTCAGAATATGGAAGACGACTACACATACAACCTGGCCCTATAGCCTCAACGGCTCTTTGCTTCCCGAAATTAGTATCTGGTGCTTGTACCTATATCCAATTTATCTACCTGTAACGTTCAAATGCTACTCACGTGCATGATTTACAGCTCCGAGTGAAGTGAGGTGAGCTTTGTGGCCTTATGAGCTGACTGTCGCCAGGTCACGAGGTGCTACGAAGTACCTAGCTTCACTTACGCCCTCACTCCAGCTATGCTTGCGGCCGTCTCGAACTGCCTGCTTGCCTTGTATAAAATTCATGCGGCCACCCTCCACTTTCTTTCAGACTTGCAAACTTTGCATCGATTTTTTCAACTTCGCATCCGCAACCACAACTAGCATCGCGAACACCGCGACATCTCATCAAAATGCATGATACCAACGCACTTCGTCAAGCGGATTCTGATCTAGCAGCTCTCGTTCGCCGTGTCCAGGAACAAGCTGCCACACTTACAGATCAGGCCCAGCGGGACATTGACCAACTTCAAACCGAGAATGCTAACCTCAAACGTGAGGTCAAATTGCTGAAGGAGCTGACAACGGACTCTAAGCCTCTCATCAAACAAGAACTATCAGAAGCAGCACCAATCGTCGCCCAGGTAATCAAGGAGAAAGATGCCGATATCAAAGAGCTGGTCACTGCACTAGAAGAAGAAAAGGCGCTGGTGTGCAGTCTCCGTGTTCAGGTCGACTGCCAGAAGGGGGCTACACAGGGCGTTAAGCAGCAGGCTGTCAGCGCTCGTGCGAAGCTTGGGAGCACGGAGAAGAAACTAGCCGCATCCCAGAAGAAGACTGCCAAGCTGGAGCGCGAGATTAAGAAGCTGCAGAAGAACCAGGTACCATACCCGGCAAGTACAGCTTCGTTTTCTTGAGCCGTTCGACTAACCGCTCAGTAGTAAGAATGCGGCAGCTCCGTCTGGCCTATGTCAAGGTATCTCAGCCGTTAAGAAGTCCTCGGCCCACGCAGGCATTGTCAGCCTGAAGAGAGTCGCAGCGGACGAGGACGATGAAGACGACGTCCCAATTGCGCAGTTGAGGAATCCGAAGCAGAGGATGGATCTCGACGACATTCCATTGAGGTTGCGGAGCATAGCTATGAAGGTGGAAGTGGCCTTCGGGGGTCCTGGCACGAAGTCAACGCCCATTGAGCTCGATTGATCGAAAGCACGACAATGCGAATTGCAGGAGGATGAGGTGGTTTCACAGCTCGGGCTTGGTTTGATGGTAGACGACAGCACCGCAACTCAGCATTGGGCTTGGGTTTGGGGTATGCGGCATGAATACCGCACGCATTCGTAGCATTGGAGAGCAAAGAGATGGCACGGATGGATCAATCGCAGGCTCCGTAGCCCAGCTTGAAGATTGTACAATAGCATAGGGAATCTTGCCAGTACGGGTCAGAATGCGAGAATCCTTGGCCCCTCGTTCTCGCTCTCGTCTTGCACTGTCATCCGGCTTCACGGATGATTTGGCAATTATGTATGCATGTTGCACACCCTGCACACCCTGCACACCGGGCCCTGGATTGGTCCCGTGTCGTGGGCCTGCGAAGTGGCCAATGAAGAGAACTGAAAACGCCTCGGCTGGATTTTTAGCACGCGATCACAAGCAAGACTTCAAGACGCGACAAGGCCGTGTTGTCATTGCTGCGAGCGTTATATCAGCGTCGCTCTTTCTTTGATTCATGCTTCTAGATTTCTTCGGCGGTGTTCTTGTGATCGGTGGCTGATCTTGCACTTTACCACTCCGACTTTCATCACATTCACGACAGGAGCATGTCGGCGGCGACACGATTACCTGCGGTAGCAGGCGCCCTAACTGCCGCCGGCGGAGCTATTGCTTTCTTTTCGCATCCAGCCGTTCAGGCCTTCTTCACTGAACATTTTGGAGCAAGTGCAGGCAGCAAAATGCTCAAAGTCCTCGCCGGCGCATTCGCATTGGCCAACCTCAAGAACCTCCCAGGTTTCTGGCACATCCGAGTACTTCGTGGCATCATCTACCAGATCTACTTCCAGAAGCGAGCGATACCGCCCAAACACATTTTCGCCCCATTGATCACACAGTCGAGGAATACGATATGGGACTGCGACTACAACATCCACAAGAGCAACAGCACTTATTTCGCCGACCTTGACGTAGGACGAGCACACGCTGTCGGTGCTATTATCAGAACTGGGCTTGCTCGCTTGAATGCAGGTGATCAAGAGGGACTCCCGAGGTCCAACGTGGAAGCAAAGGGAAAATATGTCGTGGCTTTGGGAGCCGTGTCGTGCTTCTTCCAACGACAAATCGAGCCGTTCCAGGCCTTTGAGGTGTACACCCGAGTACTGAGCTGGGATCGCAAATGGTTGTATACTGTTTCACACATTGTACAAAAGGGCAAGATCAAGCCAGATAGCTATGTGTTGCAGCCTTGGAAGAACAGCAAGATAAGGAAACAGAAGCAAGAGCAGAACGGAGAAGAGGACTTGACAAAATACATTTTCGCGACAAGCTTGGCGAGATACGTGTTCAAGAAGGGAAGGCTGACGATTAACCCGGAAATCGTGCTGGAGAGGTCTCGGTTACTGCCACCGAGACCCGCCGGTGTTGGTTTCCCACCAAGAGCAGAGGCCGGTGATTCACTCGATCCTACTGCCACACCTTTCACACCTGCCACCCCGGCGACCAATATGGGAGAGAGCGCAGTGATTGTAGGCGAGGAGGTGGACAGCAAGCTGGAAGGTTTTAAAAGTAAAGAGGGCGACGACGACTGGACTTGGGACGACATGGAAAAGGAACGACTCAGAGGCTTGGAGCTTGCCAGTCATTTTGATGCTTTGAACGCTTGCCATGGCGAGCTTCGGGCAGGCGATGTGCTTGGAAAATATGGCGATTACTGGTGAGCGGTTTTGCGGACACAAGGACACAGCCAGCGAGTATACAAGTAGACGAGATACCCGGCAGCGGAATGCCATGTACCAATAAATATTGAGAAGACCATAGTGCCGCAAAGGCTGTCTGAAGCTGGAAATATCCGATTGACTGCTCTTCTCCACATCGGCTTGCATAACATATCCTCGAGCCACGTTTAATTACATACCTCTCCCAAGATGTTGTGACGAAGTTCTCAGAACATTTGACAAGGTACATGCGCTAGCGTGCATTCATTATGATTGGTCAGTCGAACTCACAGCCAAATCACTATTGCCTTCGTCCAACGTTCAACCTCCGAGTTACACACCAATATCGCGTTGTGCACAAATTGATTGCCAGAACATGGAGCGCGTTATAAGCAGAGCAGATTTGCTCGCTGAAGAGCCTTCGCCCCCATCATCACCTGATCTTCCAGCGATCAAAAGTCTCCAAGAATTCGATTTCGTACACCACGAAACTCTACCGGATGCACATGATCAAGAACAAGAAAATGACGCCGAAGACGGTCTTGAGTTCCAACTATTTGCTCCACCCGCTGGGAAAACCGAAAATGCCTCCGGCATAGCAAAAATCCGCCTCGACTCTCCCGATCTCACAAATGCAGAACCAGGACTGGTCAATCCTAATCGTGATCCGAGATATTATTTCACTTCCGGGTCCAGTCCAGAGGAGCAGCAGAACTTTGAAGCTGCAGCGATGTCTGGTCAAGATATCCTCAACCAGTCTCGAAGGTCGTGGCCCGGGATGGCCTATCCTTGGAAAGTCCTGCATCTGCCCAAAACCAAAAAGCAACAGAAAATTTTGGCGCCATCGGATGCTCTCTACACGAAGCTAATCGGACATCAATCTGTGCAAAAGCGCACTCGACCTGGCAAGAAAGCTCGTGTAGCTGTGCGCACGAAGCTCGTCGCAGCCAAGACGAAGCAGGAGGAGAAGCAGAAAGCCGCGGAATTGAAGGAAGCGGAGGAGCGAGAGAAGCGCACTCGTCGCAATCGTGAGAAGAAAGTCAAGAAGAAGAATCGCGAGAAGGCAAAAAAGGCGGAGGCGAATGGTACGACTGATGAAGTTGAAGCCGAAGAGAACGACCAGCATGATGAAGACTGAAGCTATGAATGCTCTGGCCGTTCAGGACCTCTGAACCCCGGTTCTCGCCCAAGCTGACAGCCTGTTGCTGTCGATCGACCCCATCGATGATGCATGGCTCCCTCTTCAACGATGCGCTGCTCTTGACCACCATCGCTCGCATCGGGCCATCCTTGGTGACTGCTGACAAAAAGACTGTCTCTTTTCGCATTAACTGTCCCAAGATGCAATGCAGCAGGAAGAGGATGCTGTGGTTCAAGGGATGTTTGCGGATGCGGTCTGCGAACCAGACCGGGCGGTGGTTGGGGCCAGTTGGTAATCAGCGGCCGCTTTCGATGCACCTGCTCACGGCATGTGGGACATATCAATCCCGAAAATTCGATCAGCCAGGTCGAAATGCAGTCCTGGGAGGAAAAGGTCAGCTCTCGAAGCACTGAGCACAGTGAGATAGCTTACTCTGCAGAAGCTGTGACGTCCTGGACAAGGTAATCGAACAGGTACCACGATTCGGTCAAGACAAATGGAGCACTCTGTCTCGTCTTCATTCAGGACAGTTGGTGAGGGTCTTTTGATGAAAGTCCTGCGGAATTTGGCCCGGTCGAATTGGCAGTCTCGTGGAATGTCCCTATGAGGTGATGTCGCGATGTGGAAAGCCATTGTACGTGAGTGAAGGCTAAGTAAATAGCGCAAGGCTTGACGATGGGCGTATAGATGCTGGGTCAGCTGAATGGATGTGTTTGACCAATGCTGAGTTGCTGGAAGCCAGAGGTCTGCTTGTAAACACGCAAACATCTGCTGTACCTACAGGTACCAAGTACGTTCGACAACCATCGCTACTCCTTCAAATCAGTTTACACATATGCGTGCAAGGGCAACCACAAGTAGCTTGGCCCCATTGCGACTGACGAAGTATGTTATTGATGGTGATGAAAGTGATTCCATCTTCAATTTTGGTGCAATTGACATGGCCCTCTCGAAGCAGCAATGCTGCTCTCTCTCGGATCATGCGTCAATAGTACATTGTAGGCTTGTGAAGATGCAATTCATTTGTATGTGCTCATTCATGGTAATGGCGTGCACGTGCCTTGTCGGCGGGTGATAGTCGGGTCTCCAGAGCTTGAGGAGGCATGTGGAGCAAAAGTTGCGTCTGATGGAGCAATGGATGCGCATCGTCGGTTCTCGTCGTTTGCGCTCTTCACTCCGACCGATCTTCACGTTTGCATGCCGTGCTGGGAAATCTTCTCGACGACACCCGCAAAGCTTCCAATGCGCACCCTCACCGCGCGCGCTGACGGTTCCGATGGAGGATGAACGCGCCTTGGATGCGGCATTGACGGACGGCGCGCCGACTTCCCACGTAGCACCATCAGCACACGGGCCTTCTGATGCAGCCGGTCACGAGGCTGCGAACAACCAGCACGCCAGCGTCGCCAGTGCCAGCGCCAGCGCCAGCCGCCGCCGTGGCAGCAGCAACCACCACCACCGCCCCCAGTCCGCAAGTGATGCGCCCGCGCCGCCTCCCGCCGGCCATGCAGCAGCCCACCTGCCCTTCGTAGCCCCCGCCGACCTGCTCCGTCCCCATTTCCGGCCCATCAGCAGCCAAGCCTCCCGCACTCGAGCTGGCACCGCGAACAGCGCTCCGGAGCCCTCACCCATGCATCCTCAAGACCGCGAGCAGATCGAGGGCTTGCGCGCTGTGCGAGCCTTTCTCAAGGTCCGCACGAGCTACGATGTGCTGCCGCTCAGCTATCGTCTCATCATCTTCGACACCAGTCTGCTGGTGAAGAAGAGCCTCAACATCCTCACACAATGCGGTAGGTGACAGCAGTGATCGGTTCTGCTGTCCTTGACTGACAGCCATCTAGCCATCGTTTCTGCGCCGTTATGGGATTCGAAGACGTCGGCCTTTGCCGGCATGCTGACAGTGTCCGATTACATCAACGTTGTGCAATACTACTGGCAGCACCAAGAAGAACTGTCTCGTATTGACAAGTTCAAGCTCAGCAGTCTCCGCGATATTGAACGAGCCATCGGTGTGGACCCTATTGAGACTGTCTCGATCCATCCACTAGAGCCTCTCTACGAAGCCTGCCGCCGAATGCTCGCGTCGCGCGCTCGCCGAATACCTCTGATCGACATCGATGACGAGACACAGCGAGAGATGGTGGTCAGCGTGGTCACCCAATACCGCATCCTCAAATTTATTTCCGTGAACGTGAAGGAGACGCAAATGTTGAGAAAGCCATTGCGGGATCTGAAAGTGGGGACGAGAGAGAATCTGGCAACTGCCACAATGGACACTCCAGTGATGGACTGCATCCAGATGCTGGTCAAGAGGAACATCTCCACTATTCCCATCCTGGACAAGGATGGCACTGTGCTGAACGTCTTCGAATCTGTAGACGTCATCGCGCTCATCAAAGGCGGAGACTATGAGAACCTCAACTTGACCGCCGGACAGGCATTGGATAAGAGGTCGGACGATTTCCCAGGCATCTACACATGCACGCTGAACGATCGCATGGATACGATATATGACACGGTTCGCAAGTCGAGAGTCCACAGATTGGTCATCATCGACGAACACACGAAATTAAAGGGCCTTTTGTCTCTGAGTGATATTCTGGATTATACACTCAACAGTCCGCTTGGTGATGGCGACGACTAGGAGACGTTCCCACCACCGGCGGGCACGACAGGAGCTCCAGGAAGCAATTCTCGCAGACGGTTGCAGGCGAGGTCGGAAGATGAGAGGTCTGCGGAGGAGATAGCGCAGGAAGTTGTGAAGACGAGCATCCCGCAGAACAAGCTGTTGGAGAAAGTCAGAAACAGACATGATTCATTGCAGCAAACAGCGACGACAATAACGACGAAGGTGGAGGAGGCCACGACTAGCAGCAGCGGCTTTGGCACAACAGCCACAGATGCGAGATGATGAGACGATGGATGTAACGCCATGATATACCCCGCATGCCGCATTTTTGGGAGATGACCTGGTTGTTGTCGTTGTTGCTCCATGTTTTGCATGCGTCGCGAGTGGCTGGGCCTGCGAGGTTATAGATCCCGGCTGGAACTGTGGCTAGCTTACCATAGAGGGTGCAAAGAGCATGATAGAGCGGTACGAAAGCATACGAGCAACCGAGTCCCTGTCTTCCGTACGGTTCAACACGTCGACAGTGAGCACACATGGACTTGCCAATATGTGAGATCATTAGGAATGTCAATAAGGAAAGGGCCCGTGAACGTGAGCTTGGAAACTGCGTGGTCATGATTATTTCACCGACCAGGTTCTTTTTCGTTGACAAGTTTGCTTCTCTCACGCCTTCCACGCCTTCTTGACCCATGCCTCGATATCGCCAAGTAGCTCTTTCGGTTTCTCTAGAGCCTAAATCGAAGAAGATATGTCAGATCTGGTACCATAAAGAAGCTTTGCGCAAGACTGCATTGAAAACTTACAGCAAAATGTCCTCCTCCCTCATGCACATTCGAAAATACGAGGTTCGCGCTCGTGGCAACCCAGCTAACCGGCATCGGGGCCAATTCTTTCGGGAAGAAAGAGTAACCAGAAGGTTTCTCAACGTATTGAACTCCACGTCCTCTACCGCTGACGGAGGAGATGCGTGGCCTTTCGTCTCCACCGTTCAGACCGCGGTAGGGGTAGATACATCTTGGAAATGTGTCTGTGAACCAGTACAATGAGACGCCATCGAGAATTGTATCGAGGGAAGGATCCTCGTCTGTCCATTCGAGAAATTTCTCGCCGATCCAGGCGAGGTGGGCCAGTGGGGAGGCCGCGAGGGCGTGACCGATGGTGGCGGTTCGGGTGCCGTGTTCGAGGGCGTAAGCGAAACCTGTTTCACGGAAACGAGCTGCTCGCGGAAGGGCTCCGGCTTCGATGTCGGACATGTGCAGCTCGTCGGCGTTCTTTGGACGAGGGACGGGAGACATGTTCAAGTGCATCCCTTTGCATGGGGAACAGTTGGCGGCTTGGTAGCGGGAGATCATCTGAAATAAGTCAGTGAAAGGTACCTGAATGCGTCGGAAGAGGCGTCCATGATTTGAAGATGCCTCTCAGCAAGTTACACTTACCGAGCCAAGGTCACCACCTTGGGCAAGGTAGCCTTGTGGAAAGAGAGCGGAGGCCAGGTTGTTGAGCGCTTCGGCAGCATTTTCCAGGCCGTAGTCCACGTCAGTTGGCGGCCCGGAGGAGTAGGCGTAGCCTGGAATACTGGGGACTATGACGTGGTAAGGGAGGTCTTTAGGAGAGTAGGTTTTGCGGAGGATATCGAGGATTTGGAGGAATTCGAGGAAACTTCCTGGCCAGCCATGGTAGAGCGCTAGAGGGACAGCGTCTTCTCTCTCGCTGAAGAGGGCAACGAAGTGGATTGTATGAGAGTAGCCTAAGTCATCCTTGGCTTCGGCTGTGAAGTTGGGGAAGCTGTTGATGTAGTCTTCAGTCTTTCGCCAGTCGTACTTGTTAAGCCAGTAGTCTTTGGCATTGATCAGCCAGTCTCGTGGAACACCGTAGCGACGTGGTCCAGCTACGGAAGGATCAGAATTCTCATAGTTCGCATTGGCGACCGGTGAGAGCTTGAGAAGGGTCTTGAAGTCGTCGATCTTTTGCTGGTCGACGTGAGCTTTGAACGGCTTGATATCAGCCTTGGAGCCTGCTGGTGCTTTGCTAAAGTCTGCCATTGTTGTTTGGGGTGGAAGCTGTTTGGAGAATGAGAGAAGACGTCGTAGTGGTTGCATGATTCAGCTCGGTGCTATTGGCATATATAAGCTGACATGTGTGGAGCTGATGATGCGAAGCTCCTTTGGTGGATGCAGTTATGCAGTTCAGATATCGTGCTACAAGACCCGCCATTACCATAGGTCAAGTCATGCTGCACTGTTCAAAGCTAGTCTTTTGCCGCGGCTATGAGTGATGATGTTGATCACAAAGCAATAATGCACAGCTGCTGCTGTGTCCAAGCGAAGAGTGGGCGGGGTGTGAAGGATGCAGTCCCCGCGTGCGTTTCGAAAGCAAAATCTGGGCCTTTCGCTGCTGACTGTTGTCGAAGGCGCAAGTTGTGATGCATGTTCGCAGTCGGAGGAAGCGGCCGCATGCAAGAATGGTCATTCTTGGCATGGTGTTGCTGCCAGCTTTGTGCCGACTTTATGCAGCATTTGTGGAATAACATCACGTTGTACTCAAACACTAGCCTCCCGATCGCTGCCCTTGGAACTGTTGCAGTCCTCGGAGCGATCAATCGTGTTATCCAAGCCTTGCACAGCATCCACAGAACTCCTGCAAGACGCTCATGACGCCACTTCCAAAAACGTCGTCCACGTCTCATCTCTTTGGAAAGACTGCCGTAGCCAACTATCGCTCTGAACAAAATGGTGTGGGCAATTGGCCCGCGACTTGACCTCCAAGTGAACCGAACAATACATTGATCTGAGCGAGTGGATAACGGTGGGGCAATAACGACATGCTTTTGATTGTCCTGGTTGCTGATCTACCAGCCGGTAAAATACGAAGCTCGCTGATAATCGAGTAGTCCTGGTCCGCCATGGACGACTTCTCTTTCTGGCTCATCTTCCTCCGGCTCGCTCTCATGTTCAACGATCTCCCTACCTATGTACCCATCTTCGTCTTCGTCGCCTCGAGCGCATTGCTCAATCCGTAACGGGAGACGAGCACCCAACTTGCCACCTAGGAACTGCTCGAGGTCCCACTTGGGGCATCCGTTGTCATGAGATGATACCTCGCAATCTGGGTCAAGGTTAACATGCGATTGACAAATTCTTCACATTTGGCATGTGCCGGATCGTGGGTTCTCGTTTCGGGAGCCACTGCGAGGCAGAACTTACCATCGATTTTGGAGGACTTCAGCCAGACGTACGCCCATATAGCTCGGCGCTCGAGATGATACCGGCCATCTTCTCCCACACGGACTTCAAGCTCGACTGGAAACCGATGGCGATGAGCAAAGCGGCCATAATAGGCTCTCAGGACGTCCCGAGCTTCTTTGCCCAGACCGAACACCAGCATGCCCTGCACAAAATCTTCTGGTCGTGGCGATTGAACGAGAACTGGTTGTTTCGTGTCCAAATCGATATGCGCGTGGACACCAGGTAATATGCCTGGAGTCATTCTCGGTATTATGTCCTCTGCCGACCCCTGCGACAGCCTGCTGTTAGCACAACTGCTATAGGAACACCACCAGGCGTTGTTAGATACCTTTCCAAGAAGAAGCTGAGCCAGTGATCCTGGCAGCGCGAGAGTATCGTGCACGAACGTCGGTTTGTAGGTTGAAGCATCGTATTTAGCTCCTGGTGCCAGTCTTGACGCGGGCATCCGATTGAGCAGTGCTCGTTGATGGCCAAAGGTAGTTACTGGAGCGCCAGTGACGGAGATTCTGAAGTGTGATAGTTCCAATACGGACGTTTCTGTGTAGGTCTTCTTCGCCACAACCTGGGCAGCTTCATCGGGATAGCCCTCGGAAAGAAAGGTGTGCTCGCCTGGTTCGAGCGCGCTGGTAAGCTGCTCATCAGCCGTTAACGACGTTGCTTCGCTTGCCATGTTGCAGCAATGGTCTAGAGGCCTCACGAGGGGCGATTGCAAGAGAAGGATTCAGTGTCGATGCGTTGGAGAGACCGCTGGAACCCTCTGCCAACGTGCATGGAAGTCCGACCCTTCCACTCGCGCCTACCTGTATTCACTTGCAATATCATGTTCACCTCCAGTCCAGTGACAATCCCTGTGCACAGCACAATGTGGCGTGGCTTCATTCACCTTCTACTGTCTTATCTTCCCGAAATCTCACTTGATGCACGATGTTTGGCGAATGGCCAGCAATATTTCGCTCGCATGTGTGTTCTTAAGGTCGTTGCACGGCATGCATTTGCTGATCTCGACCGTGTCCCGACCAGTACTCGTGAAAACCTTGCCAAGGGACAATTGCGGATACCTATGTGATGTATACGTCGACGACGTGGGACAAGCGCGTACATGCGACTTGATGCAATCGCCGACTTGAACGCGAAGTCAGACCGGAGAAGCTCATGTGGCGGCGGCCTGGCGCGTCAGGACTGAGTCGTAGAATAGGCGCCTCTGGCCTCACGTGCAAGCGCGCGCGCAAGTGAATGTCGACGAGTGAATGGGCGCCAGGCAGCCAGTGAACGCGCGGTAGGTTTGCCGCTTTCTACGGCCTTCTGCGGTGGTTATCAAGAAAAGCCAGGTGTGCATCATCGCGCGTGCACAGACTAAATCCAGAGCCGAGCCGACAACCTTCAAGCTCACCATCAGCTCTTAACTCTCTCTTGCACCACGCACCACCACTCTCTACACCCACCACCCTCTCCATCACACCTGCCCGCCTCCATCACAGGCGCTCCTTCCACATCAACGGCGCCTTTCCTGCCGTCTCGCTCGCCTGTCGCCTCGCCGGCCGACAGCATCTCCAACTCGCCCGTCGGACTTCGGTGACTGACATAGCAACAACAAGCGAGACACCGCTCATCACACAACACCGCAATCATGTCTGCAGAGCCAGACCACTCCGCCAGCAAGGGCAAGGTCAAGCTCGACAATGACCCATCGGGCGCCGAGAAGCGCGATGAGAATGAGGTCGCCACAGCAATCCTCAAGAAGAAGAAGAAGCCCAACAGCTTGATCGTCACAGACGCCACCACTGATGACAACTCGATTCTCGCCCTTTCCAACAACACTATGGAGACGCTACAGCTCTTCCGTGGTGACACAGTGCTCGTCAAGGGCAAGAAGCGAAAGGACACCGTCCTCATCGTGTTGGCCGATGACGACCTCGATGACGGGTCAGTGCGCATGAACCGCGTCGTGAGACACAACCTCCGCGTCAAGCTCGGCGACGTTGTCACAGTCAACCCATGCCCCGATATCAAGTACGCCAAGCGCATCGCTGTCCTGCCCATGGCCGACACCATCGAGGGCCTCACAGGCTCTCTCTTCGATGTGTTCCTCGCACCATACTTCCGCGAAGCCTACCGACCGCTTCGACAAGGCGATCTCTTCACAGCTCGCGCGGCTATGCGCACAGTGGAGTTCAAGGTCGTCGAGATCGACCCGCCCGAGTACGGTATTGTGGCACAAGACACAGTCATCCACTGTGAAGGCGAGCCGATCCAGCGAGAAGACGAGGAGGGTAACCTCAATGAGGTTGGGTACGATGACATTGGTGGCTGCCGCAAGCAGATGGCACAGGTGCGAGAGCTGGTCGAGCTGCCTCTTCGGCATCCACAACTCTTCAAGTCCATCGGTATCAAGCCTCCGCGTGGTATCCTGATGTACGGACCTCCGGGTACTGGTAAGACTCTGATGGCGCGAGCCGTCGCTAACGAGACCGGTGCCTTTTTCTTCCTGATCAACGGACCTGAAATCATGTCGAAGATGGCTGGTGAGTCCGAGTCGAATCTGCGAAAAGCTTTCGAGGAGGCCGAGAAGAACAGCCCGGCCATCATCTTCATTGACGAAATCGACTCTATCGCGCCCAAGCGTGAGAAGACCAACGGCGAAGTCGAGCGTCGTGTCGTTTCTCAGCTGCTCACCCTCATGGACGGTATGAAGGCCCGCTCAAATGTGGTCGTCATGGCCGCCACCAACCGCCCTAACTCGATCGACCCTGCCCTTCGCCGCTTCGGCCGCTTCGATCGCGAGGTCGACATTGGCATTCCTGACCCAACCGGTCGTCTCGAGATTCTGCAAATCCACACCAAGAACATGAAACTCGCCGACGAGGTCGACCTCGAAACGATCGCCGCCGAAACGCACGGTTACGTTGGTTCCGATATCGCCTCGCTCTGTTCAGAAGCAGCCATGCAGCAGATTCGTGAGAAGATGGACTTGATCGATCTTGATGAGGACACAATTGATGCTGAGGTTCTTGACAGCCTTGGTGTCACACAAGAGAACTTCCGCTTCGCCCTGGGCGTCAGCAACCCAAGCGCTCTTCGCGAGGTCGCTGTTGTCGAGGTGCCAAACGTGCGGTGGGAGGACATTGGTGGCCTGGAGGACGTCAAGCGCGAGCTCGTCGAGAGCGTGCAATATCCAGTCGACCACCCAGAGAAGTTCCTCAAGTTCGGTCTCAGCCCATCTCGCGGTGTGCTATTCTATGGTCCACCAGGTACTGGTAAGACGCTTCTTGCTAAGGCGGTTGCCAACGAGTGCGCCGCCAACTTCATCTCTGTCAAGGGTCCAGAGCTGCTCTCCATGTGGTTCGGAGAGTCCGAGTCCAACATTCGAGACATCTTCGACAAGGCTCGCGCTGCCGCACCATGTGTGGTCTTCCTCGATGAGCTGGACTCCATCGCCAAATCTCGAGGCGGCTCTCAGGGCGATGCCGGCGGTGCTAGCGATCGTGTCGTCAACCAGCTTCTCACTGAGATGGACGGTATGACCAGCAAGAAGAACGTGTTCGTTATCGGTGCCACCAACCGACCCGAGCAACTCGACAACGCTCTGTGCCGTCCTGGTCGTCTCGATACTCTTGTGTACGTGCCGCTTCCTGACCAGCCAGGCCGTGAGAGTATCCTCAAGGCTCAGCTACGCAAGACCCCAGTCGCCAAGGATGTCGATCTCTCGTACATTGCCTCCAAGACACATGGCTTCTCCGGTGCCGATCTCGGCTTCATCACCCAGCGTGCTGTCAAGCTGGCCATCAAGGAGAGCATTTCGCTGGCCATTGAGAAGCAGAAGGAGCGTGAGGCCGCAGAGGGCGATGACACCAAGATGGACGAGGACGTCGATGAGGAGGACCCAGTGCCAGAGCTCACGAAGCGCCACTTCGAGGAGGCCATGAGCATGGCTCGTCGCTCAGTCACAGACACTGAGATTAGGCGGTACGAGGCCTTCGCGCAGAGCATGAAGAATAGCGCTGGCGGCAGTGCTTTCTTCCGCTTCCCTGAAGGTGGTGCCGAGGGTGCTGCAGCCGAGGCCCAGCAGAATGGTACGTTGTCCCATCATTTATGACTACAGGCTCTTGATACTAACATTGTCACAGGTGCTGGCGAAGAGGATCTCTACGATTAAGTACGACAAGTTGAGGTATACAGGCATGGGGACGGAAACTGGTTGGCCGCGGCGGATTCTAGTTTTGCGTCGATGTATGCTTATGATACAGATGATGCGGGTGGCTTGGCCAGTCGTTGCATGAACGAGGCGTTGCGCCTCACCAGGAGCTGGCCGTTACGATAGAGTGTCTCAATAGTTCGCGCCCTCTGCTGGCGAAATGGAGCATTTGCACGATACTCATGTTCCATGATCCCTACGACCAGTAATGAGATGTAGAAAGTGTCTGTCTCTCTAGCTATAGTCCTCGAAGCTTTATCTGTGTAAAGTGAAAGCAGTGACCCAGCCCAGACGACAACACATGTAAGTGGAATCTCGCTGAAAAGCATCACCTCCAACGCCACGCTTCCTGCTTACATCCTCGCATCCAGCCATCTGTTCGTTTGTCACCCCAAGCCACCCACTTGCTCATATATCCGGCCCACATCACTCACTATCCGCGTTCCTGGTGATGAGATACTCCAGAATCACATCCTTGTGCTTCTCAGCAAGCGCGGACGTGGATTTACTTCTGCCATGATGAAACTCCTGCACTGTCTGCAATGAAGCGAGGGAACGTCTCAAGTCCACGGATCCCTAACCACGTGGCTGGAGAGTCTCGCCTAGTGTAGCAGAAGGTCGGATGGGTAAGGCGCCGCTTTCTCTGCCTGCGGTCTCTGGTGTAGCGATACCGGCAGGAGTTCCGAGGCCGCCGTTGAGTGGGCTGACGGCGCCGGAAGGTGGAACGGGGATTTGAATGTCCTGCGGACTGCTGGGGATCATACTGGGAGGGAGGCCATCGATGTGAATGCGTTTGGCGCTGTTGTTATATGATGCAGGAATGACTTCGATGATTTCGTCGCGGGGGAACTCGAGCGTGGGGATGTCGTGGGCTGAGCAGGCCATGAGGTAGCCATAGAGGACGCGGAGCACGGATTCGTGGGCGATGATGAGAAGGTCGTTCTGCTCGCGCTCCAGCTCGAGAATGATAGGCTCGAGACGGACTGCGAGGTCGTGGTATGACTACTGGAGTGTCAGCATGAGCCTTCGTGGAGACTGAGATGAACATACCTCTGCTCGTGGATAGCGGTGATGGTAGGGATCTTGCTCGTGTTTGTCCACTTCCTCTGGGAAAAGCTCACGGATCCTCCGCTCACTCAGCTTCTCGCACACGCCAGGATTCAGCTGGCTCATCTGACTCCTCTGTCGGACTCGGTAACCAAGCTTTTCGAAGAACGTCGCGGTTTCAACTGTCCTCTTGCGCGTTGACGTCCAGACCTGTAGTGGCTTCGACGCTGTTGACTCGGGTGCGCCATTTTTGATGAGCATCTCCCTCTCCGTTTCCCTGTGCGCGACAATGGCATCCGTCATTCTTTTTGCATAATCCCAACCCTCAGCACTGAGGCTCGCGTCACCTTTGAATGTCTCCTCCTCTCGCGTTGTGCCGGCCCGCACAAAGTACATTTGTCGGCTCTTGATATGCAAATTGAGGAGGTAGAAGACGATACGCTGTGAGAGATAGCCAAAGGCACAGCTATTCACAATCACTCGCTCTCCCGCGTTGATCATCTTCACGTAATGGAGATCGCGTTCCTCGACGCCCTCGTAATCCGGTATTCGTGCGTTGATTCTGCGCAGGTAGTCTTGGACAGCATCCTCTGGCTTCCAACCAACATAGTCGGGCGAGCTGATCTTCACTGCACGGACGTTCTCCTCGATAATACGCGGATCGGAACATGTGCACTCAATGAACATGGTTTGCACGCCATGTTTTTCAAATTCCTTGGCAAGAGCGCGTCGTCCTGTGGCCAGAGGGTTGACAGCATCGTAAATGGCTATCTGGCCATTCTCATGGTTGAGAAAATTGAAAATGTCCTCTCTGCATCTCTTGAGAATCTTGTTACGCAGGAGAACAGAGGACGTGCTTGCATTGATGTGAAAGTAATCTTCGGGCACTTCTCCTTTGGCTCCGACGAAGGCTCTTCGATAGTCGCCGAGATGGAAAATGTGCGTCTTCACACCGAGCCATCGCAGGTACCGGGCAAGGGCAACACTGATATGTGTCTTGCCTCTGGCCGGCAGACCTACCGTGGCAATTACGATTCGGCCAGAGTGGAAAAGCCGTCCGGATTCGGTGGAATACAGTTGAGCTGGGGCCATCGAGGCCTTTTCTGGCAAGTCATGAATGGCGTCGACATATGTGCTCGATCGACGCCTGAAGTTGGGCGCCGAGCCTGCCACGTCGGCGGTGCTGGCCATGTCGTCTTAGCAGTGATCAGGGCATGATGACTCGACTGATGAAGTGGCAATGTCTCGCACAAGTTGTACGCTTGCTTGCATTGGGTGTACGACGGACTTACAGTAGAGTGTCCATGTCGGACGAAGAAGCGTTGGCGAACGCAGTTGGGGGCAGTTGCAACTGCACGTCGGCTTCCCTTTCACTTGTCCCGCGCTTGTGCTCGTATAAACCCTGGAACTTCCCAAACGGGCCCGCGAGCAACAAGGGTCGTCTCAGCTGCGCGTGTCTTGGTGGCTATTCCAAAGGTGTAGGGCCTGGTAAATTTCTACGTCGTTGCGAGCTGTACCCAGTCTTTCTATGGTGGCGGCGGCACGCCGGAGCCCTTATCGAGATAGTCCTCAAAAGCAAGTTTGGGTGAATGTTGACTTGGGGCGAACCGCTTCTAAGAGAGTTTGTGACCGACCGGGCGCAGACACGTGGTGCGGTGAGCATGCAGCACAGCTGTGCGCGGACTCGGTTGGCGGTGCAGATGTATGGCTCGGGGCCGTGAGCGTGTGCTGTTGTGTCAGAGCGGGCGTGATAAGTCCAAGTCCGAACGCCCACTACGGCGCGCGATACGCGAAATCGGAACATTAAAGGCACGTCGTCATCGCTCGATCACCTGCCCGCTTGTCTCTGCGCCCTCCAACTTCCGCTTGCGCTGTCGACATGCTGTCCTGGACTCCCCTTCACAGATCACGATCACAGCAGTCATGCCAGGTTTGGCCAGGAAGCTGCTCATCTTCGCTGCAGTTGATGGCCTGATCATCCAGTCCGCTGGTCAGCGCGGCAGCGGGGGCACGCGCATGGAATATGGAACGAACAACATCACGGCAGCGAGCGAGAAGGACCGTGGACCAGAAGGAGGCGGCTCCCTGGAAGCTCACGGGCTCGTTGGTGCGACCAGACGTCTTTCAACAACGCGTCCATGCCTCTGCTGATGTGCGGTAGGTGTGCTCAATCTCGTTTCTTCTTCCTATCTCATAGCAATCACGAGGCGTTCAGAGGTCGCCAACATTCGAGAGAGGCCGGTATTTCGAATCACTGATGTTACACTCATTCCGCTGGCATCAAGAGGAGAGGCTTCGAACGCAATCTCACACGCGGAGCAGCTGCTGCACCAGAACTCTTCAGGAGCAGAGCAGGATACTGACGAGAGCGACGTGGGGGAGGATGTCGAGACAGGCAGTGTCGTGACAGACTCTGGAGAAAATGTCCCGGCACGGAACCCAGAGGACGAGTCTACGGCTTTGGAGGCTCCGAAGCCAGGCACAATCAAGCAGAGCACAACGTTTGTGAAGGATGTAGTCCAGCAGAAGGGCACCTTTGGGCGCTTCGCTACAAGTTGGTTCAGCAAAAAGGGGACTCAGACTGACTCACAGCCAAAGAGTGATGCAGAGCCGGATCAAAAGTTGAATATGGAGCAGAAGAAGCAAGAGATGGGAGCATTGCCAGACACGGACAAGGATCAGTCAGAAAAAGCCAATGAAGCACAAGAGGAGCCAAAAGGGAGGTCAAGTACGGAGAAACGAAGGCAGAGCGCTATCGACTACCTGGCACTCAGAATTGTGAAGAGCGCAAGGCTCTATTTCAGCACGAGCGGTTTCTATTTCTCCTACGATCACGATCTGTCACATTCGCTTGGCAGAAAAGCGACATCATCGTCTGCAGTGCCACTGTGGAAGCGCTTCGATAGCCTCTTTTTCTGGAACCGGCACTTGTGCAGTCCGCTTGCGGATGCGGGACAAGACAGCCTGGTCCTTCCCCTGATTCAAGGCTTCGTCGGCCAGCGAGCGTTCTCCATTGCTCAAGCTGACGATCGTGCCATTGTAGCTGAGCCGGGCGATACTGAGCTGACAGACTTCAACGAGAGAGAAGCATCCAAGAACGCACAGCAGCACAACTTCCACGTCACTTTGATCAGCCGCAGATCGGTCAAGCGAGCTGGACTTCGATATCTACGACGTGGTGTAGATGATCAAGGAAATGTTGCGAATAGTGTCGAGACTGAGCAGATCTTGTCCACGCAAGTCGATGACTCCAAGCAGAAGATTTTCTCCCTGCTGCAGTATCGTGGGTCGATGCCGCTGTTCTTCTCGCAAAGCCCATACAGTTTCAAGCCCACGCCAATCATGTTTGGCAGCGAAGCGACCAACCAGGCGGCCTTCCAGAAACACTTCAAGTCCCTCGCGGCGCGCTATGGCGATATCCAAGCAGCATCTCTTATCGACAAACACGGGACTGAGCTCAACATCGGAACGGCCTATGAGGAGGCTGCAAAGAAGCTCAATGAGAGTGATGGTATTGATGGCAAACCTCTTGGCTTCCAGTGGTTTGACTTCCACGGAGAGTGTAAAGGTATGAGGTTTGACAAGGTCAATCTCCTGATCGACAGCCTGAAGTCATTCCTCAAGTCATCTGCCTTCACGGTCGAGCAAGATGGCGAGCTGAAGCAGAAACAATCCGGCATCCTACGAACCAATTGTATGGACTGTCTGGACCGGACCAACGTCACACAATCCGCAGTCGGAGGTTGGGCGTTGCAACAGCAGTTGCAGGAGCTGGGGTTGGACATTGATCTGCAGAGCGACCCGAAGACACAGTGGTTCAATGTCCTCTGGGCCGACAATGGCGATGCTATCTCCAAGCAGTACGCAGGTACCGCCGCTCTGAAAGGTGACTTTACGCGCACGCGAAAGCGCAATTGGGCAGGTGCACTTACCGACTTCAGCTTGACGCTGAACCGATATTACAACAACATCTTTGGAGACTACTTCTTGCAGACCAATATCGACTATTTCCTCGGTGCGCCACCGACCGTATTTGACGAGTTCGAAACAAATATGACCTCTCAAGACTATGCACTCGATATGGGAGTCGTTCGTCAGAACGCAATCGACACTTGCGTCAAATTGGTACTGGAGGATCCGAACGAGGATCTCATATCAGCTTGGGCTCTGAGCTGTCCTCGGATGTCGAACACTCTTAGGAGCCTGCCCTTCGAGGACTGTGTGATCCTTTTGACCGCAAAAGCTTTCTACTTATGCCGTTTCGATTGGGACACGGACAAGGTCGGTTCCTTTGAGCGTGTGGACCTTCTCGATGTTCAAAAGATCTGGCGCGGCGCATACATTACTTCAGCTCTGGGCGCTACTCATTTGGATGAGACGAAAAATTATGGTTTTGCGCTGGAATACACGAACCAAGGACCCTCTACTGTACGGACCAATACACGCAGTATGAGTGTAGCGCCTGTTCCTGATGAGGAGGAGGCGGCGACGCAAGCCAGAGCTGACAGCGGGGGCGAGAGAATTGAAAGCAGTGATATGCAACCGGACAGCAATCGGAGAAATCACGCTTCTCCTGGCAAGGGAGAAAGTCGCACACTGGCGTTCAAGGCCCTACCGCCGAAGCCATCGAAGACCGGCTCTGCTGAGAATGATCTTTCCAGTCTGGGAGAAGTGGATGCAACGAAACGAATTACGAGCGAGTTAGAGAAAGCTGTGAATAAAGCCAGACAACAGGATTACGGCGCCAGTTTTGATGAGACCAAAAATGGAATGAAGGTACAAGACCACGATATTATCTCTGTGGCCGAGGCCAGGAAGAGCACAGGCTATGTGGAGAGTTTGGGGTATTCTTTGAAGAAGTTGGTCTGGTCTTAATTATGCGACGACTGATCTCGGACGTCGATGTCTGGAGGCCTTCATCGCCTTCTTCGAATCCGCTAGCTCCACGCTACCCGCACGACGATGTCAGCGTCACGATAGCTACATGCATACATTGATCAAAGCCTCAAATTCCCCCATGATCCAGCAACGACGCTATCCTCTCTCCCACTATCCACCATCTCGACATCTTCTTCTACCTTGATATTCTCCTTCCCATCCTCGTCATCCATCACCCTACTACTCTCAGCTTTCTCTTCTCCTTCCTCCTCCTTGATCTCGCCGTCTTCACTAAAATCATAATCCTCATCGTAGGCATCATACCGCCCCATCTCTCCCGGCTCCGGCGTCCGACTCCTCGCTCTCCTCTCCGCTGACTCCGCGTCATCCGTATCGTCCAACATTTCGTCCTCGTCGTCATCTTCCCTCACTTTCACCACATCGTCCTCCACATATGGAACCAACGCATGGCTGATGTTCTGTTTACGAGGTGTCGGTCGGTAATAGAAACGTCTTCGAAGTTTTTGTTGGATGAGTTTCTGCGCGTTGTCGAGATGGAGTTCGAGACGGCGAGTTTCGTTTTTGACCCAGGCAATTTCCTCGCGGGCCTCTCCGAGGTAGCGCATTGTGGTGGCGCGGTCGAGGGCTCGGATTCCGTGTTCGCGGATTTCTTCCTGAGAGATGAGGTTAGATGGAAGTGTCCTTTGTCAGATGTGAGGGGAAAAGTAGAGCGGTCGCTTACGAAGAGTTCGATGCTGAAGGTTCGATCTGACAGGAAAGCGTCTGGATCGAATTCCATTCCGTATTGCTCTTCTGTGGCGCTGTTGACGACACATTCGAGTTGCGGATCGAGTTGGATTTTGATCTCCATGACGGCGCACATGAGACCGGAGTGCAGGTCTGTAAGCTTTGGTGGTGGATTGGAGAAGAAGTCTTGCTTGTAGTTGAAACCGTCGAGCCAGATGCGGACAGCATCGAGTCCTTTTTCCGCGAAGATGTTGGTTGGTTCGAGGTATGAGCGCGACATGGCTGAGCGCTTCTTCTTGGTCCTCGTCGTGGGTTCTTGGAGATCGGAGAAGATGTTGCCCATGGGTGAAAATTATAGTTGCGGCGGTGGTGGTGAAGAAGTGAGGTGGCGAGGAGATGAAGTGAAGCCGCGTGAGCAAGCGAGTGACACTCGAGCGTTCACGGTGCAGCTGTCTACTCACTGCTACAACGGCAACTCGACGACCCAAGGCGCGTTCTTCGGCTGGTAGTCCTAGTCCTCATTCATGATCGCTGCATTGACCATGAGCGTCGCTTCGCCTTTCGTCACTTGCGCCTGCTGCACCGGCCTGTTCGTTCCTGCCTGACTGATCTTGACGTCTCTTCCAGCAGCGTCGTTCCAATGCGACCAAGTATGCACCTTCCAGCCATAGCCACCATGAATATGACCGAAGCAATGCATGAGCGGCTTCACCCTCTTCACCTCCTCGAGCAGAGTCTCGCAACCCAGCCTCTTGTTGCCCTGCTCCGCGACTGAGTCCAGTGATCCGTAAGGCGGCCCATGTGTCATAACAATATCAACATCGTCAGGAATCTTCCACCTCAAATTGCCTCTCTTGTAACCAAAAGCCCAATTGCAGAACTCTGGCTGGTGAGGAGAAGCAAAGATCTTGAAACTTCTCCCATCCTTCAACGTGAAGCCGTACGTTCCTTCCGGGAGATACGTCACATTTGCAGCCTTTGCGAGTGGTCCGGTCATGACTTTGATGCTGGCTTGATGTTCAGATTCTTCGCGATCCTTTGGCTTGTTTGTGCGCCAGTATTCTTCATCGAGATCGAGATCATGATTTCCAGCGATGACCAGTTTCAGCTCGGCGTCGAAGTGTCCAAGCATTTCGAGAGCTTTCTTGTAATTTTCCGCGCCACCGACGGAAGTGAGATCGCCGCAGTGAAGTACGACGTCGACTTTTGGTAGGGGTTTCTTGAGCGGACAGAGATCTGCTTCTTCTCTGTCGAAATTGTGTGTATCCGATAGGATGAGGAATTTGATCACTCGTGTTTTCGCCATTATCGATTGTGTTTGCCTGTTGATGGTATTGTGGATGGAGGTTCTGCGTGATACTTATTAGTGCCGAGCGGCATTTTGTCCTTAAACTATTTTGCTGTAAGTTGAAGCTACCACATGTACACGCTCGAGCGGTAGGCCTGACCCACAGGAGAGCTGTGAACCACGTCCACTGTGCACTCTCGCTGTCGTGTACAATCACGGTGGCACCTGTCATACAGCAACTCCGCTCACAACCTGCGTGTTAATTAGAGAGGGACTCCTCTCTTCTCACTCTAGGAAAACCTGACTATAGTGATGATGGACTGCCTGAATTGTGAGGCAACAGCACTTCTTGTGGACATTGATCATATGACACATTTCCTAGTTTGTCCAATGCTATCAAAGTTGACAGATCCGGATGTCAAGCACTTCAACCATTATGAGTCTCGTGACATGTGAGAGTTCGCTCAAGGTGGCTGACAGAGGGCTGCTTGGGCAGATGGCCAGGCACAGCATCGCGCTGGCGTGCCGTTCGTTGCTAAACGGCTGATCATTAATCTGGTACCCGAGCGCCTCCCAAGGGAGCCAGAGGACAAATTGTTGGTTACACAGGACCTCACATCCAAGCTCATGGGAGGCAAGCATCACAAGCTTTCGGCATACCGTCATCAAAGTTCGATAAGCGCGCCATACACATGGCTTGCCAGTCGAGAAAGAACCACCCTGGAGGGCAGGCCAAGAAGACAGACTTTGCAATGGCCTGTGAATCTTATCGTTCCTGAAGGGGCCCTGAACCTGACATCCGCGTCTCAATTGACTTTGCAGCGAGGGTAGCTATGGGTCTGGTAACAGGGATTTCCACGGGGAGAAATTTTTTGTGAGCTGCCAGTCAGACAAATCTTGACAACTGCCCTGGAGAGGTGATCGCGATCGTCGTGGTGTTCGGCATCAAGCCCGCATACAGTCAAGGTCAGGCCTTTCATGTGAGGCGGTCGCAATGCATCTACAGCACTCTTCCTTCCTCACTGCAATTGTGGCCCTAATGCTCAGCTGGAGACGTGCGAAAAGTGCACGACTTCTCCGAGCGAAAGGATTAGGCATATGGACGTGTAAATGCAGAGAGAAAGTCTGCATAAACTTCGGCCATCGATGGAGCGAAGATGATATTTATGTATCCTTGAATCGGGAAGAGTAGGGCTCGATGGAGTGGTTCTAGACCTCACGCAGACAAGAGTCTCATTTGTCGACTCGAATCGAGCACTGTTGGCATTCGCGAGTGATGGTGATGAGATATTGAGGATTCTAGACTCCATGGCCCAGGAGCAACCTCGCGCAATGGACGCATGAAGAAGCCATAACCGTTCGATGCGAGCCGGTCGTATTCAGCGTCGGATATGTGTTTCGTCCGCTCGGTATGGGATGTCACTTTTCGGGATTATCTGCCAATTCTTGAGTTCCGTTTTGCGCATATGCCTTGCTGGCAGCCTCCTTCGCAGCCAATACATCTTCGCAAGGATAGCCGTCTGGACGTAGATCCTCCACTTGATGCCCTGCGCGTTGCGAGAGCACATCGAGCCCGTTACGGCGTTGTTGTTCGCGTCGCAGGGGATCTGGCAGTGCCTTCACGTCCTTCTTACTAGCGCCTCTCTTCTCCTTGCCCACAAGTGACCTGGCAGTGGGGCAAAGCCAGATCTTGGGCCAGACAGCGTCATCAAGATCTTCGCACTTTTCGAGTTCGTTCTCTACCTGTTTGACAACGACTCTGTTGCTGGTTATTGTCGTATTCCCGCTGGTCCAGCCGTAGCCAAACACCGACGAGTTGATCTTGGACATGGAGTCAAGTATTTGCACGGCTATAGGATGCATTTCCTTCTGGCAGTCGTCATCGTTCCTATTCACAACTCGGATCGGCAACTGCCAGTCAGAAGGTACTGGATACGCCGACCATTGTTGCATGTCTTCAATAAGCTGGCCGTGGGTCTTTGAAGTATCGTCGCCCATCATAATCGCAGTACGAGCCTTCTCTGATGGCGTGCCGATAGTGTCCACGATCTCGCGCATCCGTTTAGCGGCTTCGCTCGTGCAGACAAGTTCCCGTTTCGCAAGTGCTGGGTACAGGAGCGAAGGAAGTAGATTCTCATTATCTTCGATCTCGACTTGCCGCTGCAGCGATTTGTGGAACCATGGCTCTTTCGAAACGCTGGCGTGCGAGAACTCGGACACAAGCGCAAGTAGAATGGTGCAGTCGATGTTGAGTGTATTCGTGAAGGAATTTATCGGATCCGGTGCCATGGTCTGAAGCGCTTCTTGTATGGCCGGAACATGGCCAACACTTTCGCCGCAGAAGAGTGTAACGCCCGCTGCTCTGCATCGTTCAATCACAGCATCGACCTCTTTCGTTTCGCCAAGCTGTATTCGAGGAAGTACGAGATTGACCTTGGGCTTTTGTGTCCGGACTCTGTACGACTCTGAAGCCTGACAAAGCTCCTTTGCATTCTTGACGAGTGGCATATCGGCATCGTCATCGTCCATGCGTGGGGGCAAATCGTCGTCCTCTTCGTCTTCGGAGCCCCCAGAGTCCCAGCCTTGCTTAGCTAGGTCCATCAGAATACGATGATTGGTGACGAGCGACACTTTCGTCCAAGTAAGTCCCTGGTCTGCAATCAAGTCAACAGTGACTGCGGCATTTCGAGAACCCTTTTCGCTGGGACGCTTGATGCCGAGATTGATGTGGTGCATGGCTGAGGATAGTGATTTCGATGGACTATTGTAGTAGACTCGCTTCTGGAGAGCGCCGACGTGACTCGACTTTTTGGCCGTTTTCCAGACTGTCTCAAGGAAAGGCAGATTCGACGACTTGGCCACATGAGTCGTCGAATCGGTCTCGGGTTTACTGTGCAGCTTCTCTAGCATGCTCAATTCTGATTGTATTGTTCCACGAAAGTGCGCGAGCTCAATGTGCTGTTCTTGCCGGATGATGCGGAGATGCTGTCGAAATTGCTCAAGCTCGGCGAGCAATGCTTTTGCTCGACTGATGAGGTTGGCGAGCAGCAGATGGGCCTCGCCGCCATGACCCTCATCGTTATCCTCGCCACCTTCATGGGTCTCAGTCATGATCGAAACTTTGGAAAGACCTCAGGGTCAAATCTTGTGGCCTTCAATTGTTGAATAAGCCTGTCCCTTCCAGTTCGATAAGTCCGCGCGAATGCTACTGAGGCCAAATCTCACTGCTCATGCATATGTGCTGAGCGTAGTCGTTCCTGATGTTTCATACACGAATCATTGAAGTGAATTTGACTTGGAAAGTGGAGCCGACTCGTTCTTGGCAGCACAAGCGCGAGCATTCTCCGCTCTTGCTCAAGACCTAGTGGACAAGTTGACACCACCGACGGTTTTCTCGCGATCAGAAGATGGTTCTCCTAAGCTCGAGTGAAGAATGGCAGCAGCAGACCTCGCTGTTGCTGAAGGCACGGCCGACCACGGTGCGTAGGTGCGCCCACATCGAAATGCCATCCGCCCGCTTCTAATGCGATCCAGGCCCGGATCACGACGAAATACAACATACCGAACCTCGAATCGCCTAAATATCAGCAGAAGCTGAAGAAGAGGAAAAGAGAAGCGGATAGCGAGGAGAAGGAAAGCGGCAATGCAGCACCTCTTGTCCCACGCGCGACTTTGACACTCAAGACCTACGACCCGGAGTCCGGCGTGACTCTGAAATTCAAGACAGACAGAGCTGCAGAAGTAGCGCGTCTGATCAATGGCCTGGGCCGGGTTGGGCGACACATGGCAGCACTTCCGGAGAAAGAAGGTGGTACGAAGTTGGTATAATACGGATACACAATCCTGTGCTAATATACTCCCAGCTCAAGATGCAATCATGGAGGATGCTCCAGGACCAGAACAGGCCTCTGAGGACGTGAAGACTTCTGTGCCGGCCCCAAGCGAAACGAAAACCCAGCCGCAACAAACGGGAGGCGGTGGAAAGAAGAAAAAGAAGAACAAGAAGTGATTCTGCAGCATACCGCTCGCTCCTGGACGGTGTCTTGCTGCCTTCGCCCGCCGGCATCAGCTGATTCGGGCAGCGCGATGGACTGCGAAGACGGCGTGGAAGAACGGCAACTGCAATCCACCCAACCTCACTCCGCAATGTCGCCGAGCATGGCCCCAGACCAGCATTCTGTGGAGTATATGGGGATATGGGGGCTGCTCAACAGCATGAATGGCTCCCGCAGCCGACCACGGCATCCCCCAACGACCTCATCCACCCGTCCAAGATCCATGGGAAATTCTCAGCTCACACCATCGCTGCTCTCCGGGATGCCGGGCAACTCTCGCGAACATGGTCTGCGCCTTCATCGGCTTGGAGTCCTCTCCACTTAGCGAAGAGTGCAATTTGTACACGACCAAAAATACGATCAATGAACAACACAACTGTGGGTTTCTAAGACATCAAAGAGGTAAGCCGAAGCCCAGAGGTTGTGGCGGAAATAATGTGGGCTCAGGCATGCGACCCACTCGAATTGTTAAGCAGTGCCACGCTGCTTTCGAGGACCCGATATGGCGGATTTTCACGCGAATGCTTCCGATATCCATTCTCCACAATCTTCCTTCCACGCTGTGTTAAGCGACAAATTGGCGGAAAACGCCCGCTCTGACTTGAGCGTGCATTGCTATCCATACCAAAGTCTTTTGCGAAAGTTTGACAGATCTCAGTGCTGCACAGCTTCCGAGCGACAGATCCGATCAGCTATTCTGAATCAACACTCATGCATGCATAAGCCGTGCGACACCAACCTGAATGCAGCGAATGCGAAAGAGTTGCGGAGCCGGCAGCGGCCACAAAACTTGTCTGCAGGTTGTCGAACTATACCTGGCCTTACGAGCGTCGAGCGACAGGCCCTTCCGCCCTCACGAGCCTGGGCCGACCCCAGGATCGGAGCTTAAGCTCTGAGCTCTCTGATGGTGGGGCGCCACGCCGCATAATTCCTGAGCAAATCGAGGGCCATGAAAAGCATCGGGACCTCACGCCAATGTCCAACCGCGCTGGAGCATTGCAATTAATTGTCACACTGCAGCAAATGACGCTGCTTCGTCTTGAGCTCGCCCGCCATCGTCCCCAGAGGCGCTGTCGCTGCAGAAGAAATGCTGCGAGCTGCTGCTCTCCATGGTTACGTGCATACAGTCTGCCTTAAGCCGTGACATCGTCGATGACGACCGCCACCGACCGACGTGCTGCTGATATTTGATATTGACTCTACTGCAGACGTTGATCCTCCAAGCCTACTGCTTGTGCGGCTCCCGTGTATAGCGCGGCTCCCTCACTCACACTACTGCACGGCTATGGCTCACCACAATCACGTGTGGTCACTGACCTGGCCTCTCTTGCCTTTCCACGAGTGGTAACAAGTCCGATCTCTGCCTGGCTAGATTTTGCTGTTCGATCACCAAAGCCTGGTCGTCATCGCTTGGAAAGATCCTCGCCAATAGCCGTTGCAGCATACCACACCTTCACAAGTAGCGCAGGACGAACTATCTCCGAGGATAGCAGTGACTGAGAGTGGCCATGAACCCGGGCTTGCATGTCAGAGACACATTACTTTGCCTTCAGTCATCGGAGTTCATCGCGGCGAGCTGCTGCAATGAGTCCAGACGGTGGAGCAGCATAATAATATCGCAACTGCAGCGAGCCGAGTTTGGAGACAGGCGCAGCAACAGCATGAATCCTGCGCATAGTTCGCGTACTGGGCTGTCATCGCCAGTAGTAGATGTGATTCGAGATGAGCACTTGTGGTGAGGTTGAGACCATGCCTGCCAGGCCTGCATGCTGGCAGACCTGCCCTGTCTGCATCCCTCCCCAGGTCCTTGACCTACAACGCCTGTGTCACACTGTTACGACGGACTCCATGAAATTCCCAGACCCGCGTGCATCAAGTGTCCAAGCGAGGCCACTGCAGGCCTGCGCTGCATCGGATAATCTGACGACAGCACTCGTTGCTCCAGAACGAGGCGCACGAGCTAAATGCTTTCCTGCAGGACAATCCTTGGCCCTTCTCCAGACACTTCCACCATTTTGAGGCAAGCGCGGCTGCGGCGAGGTCAGAGTCATGGACGCCGAGCCGCTTGTATGCGTGCTCCGATGGACCCGTGCGAACTGAGATGATCCAGGCCACTTCCCCGTAGCCTCTATTCGGCCTGTAGACAGGCGTGAGAGCCCGCGAAGCTGAAGTTGCGTTGCAAGTTTCGAGAGCGAGGGCACTAGAGTAGATTGCAAAAGGGCCAATCAATGTTAGAGCAGCTTGCCGCGGAATTTCACGTATTTGCCGCGTGACATTTGGTGTTTCCGGGCGAGCAGCCGACTTCTGCGCCTTCGGATGCGATGACAGCATTGGCAGCCGAATGCTGATGAGCTCTGTGGCTCTCATCAGATGTGTGGACCAGCGTGGCAGCGGTAGAGTACCACAGATGTCGGACGGCGCGCGCCCAAACCACATTGACACACTGACTCGTGGGTCTCACGGGCATACCCACTTCACGTCGCTGCTGGTCCAGCACTTGTGGCCACTGTATCCACTGGCATTGCTATCCTACGCCGTGGCGAGTTGCTGTCTGCGAGGCCGTTCGCTGGGCAGCACATGCGACGGCCATGCTGCCGTCGAAGGGTCCGCGCTAGACAGCGCTGCTAGTGCGAGCGGCCGCAAGCATGCTGTGTGAACCTGCAGCGCACAAAAACAAGGGCTCGGATGGCGGGTTGCTTCGACGATCGAGGTCCGCTGCAAGGAGATGGGCCTCGCCAAGGGTTCATGCAGACGTTTGCACAGGTGACCTCTGATCCTAAGCCACTTCCACGCCCGCTATACCCGGGGCTCCATAAGATCCGTCGTCGACGGGAAGGCAAAGCAAATGAGCGAGCCTCTTCGGCGCGACGCCCACATGGCGAGTGCGATAGTCATCGTCGTCGCCCCATCGATGGCGACGGCGAAGCGAGTGCGCCGCTGGCTATGCGAGTGATGGGAAGGAAGCACGCGGCGCTGGCTATGGAACGTTGCGGCTAGCGGACAAGTGATCTTCGGCGCTGCGCGGTTTGGCGAAAGTGTGCGAAATGACCTAGCGCGCGGCGAGCAGCAAGTCTCGTTGCTCGTGATGACGGGCGCGCGAGAGAGAGGCGCGGCTCCGTTGGCCAACCTGCCTGCGCGAAGCAGGTCGCGGGCGGGACGAGGACGTGGTGCTAGCATTGGAAGAGGCAAAGCGGCAGAGGCCAGCAGCTGGCAGGGTCCGCTGGGCTCGGAGTTTGCGCGCACTGCGTTCCACCCTCATCTGTTTTGCTTTGCAGGCTGGCTCGCTGTGCTGCTGCTGCTGCTGCTGCTGCAGGCTGCATGGAATCCACCGTCGTATGTACGGCGTGCGATCCTCAGGCGGGCACGCGCAGACTGCTGCATTGACACAGCTGCCGGCGCATCGCTGCTCCATGACACGGCGAGTGGGCAGGTGATGTACATGGCAGCTCAGAAGGCCCCAACCTTGTGCGCAGCAGCAGCAGCGTCCTGCCTGGATCACGTCTGCCGGCAGCAGCAGAGCTCAGACACCAGTGAGAAGTATAGCTGAAACTAGCTAGCCGACTGCTCTTAGCAGACGGCAGCATCGGAGCACCTGCTGGCGTGTGTGGCCTTGGATCGCAGGACGGACGGCAACCTACTCCAGCTTTTCTCCAGATTTTATGATTCGGTGCACGCCAGCATCCGCCGCCGAGCTCTTTCATCGCCTGCCTGCCCGTCCGCCCAGTCGAGCGTGTGCACTGTCTTTGAATTGCCCGCCGACCCAGACACTCGCCGCGAGCAGCCAACGCATCTGGACCTGGCATCCAAGGTCCAGCCTCGCATCGCGGACGAGCCAAACGTAAAACGAACATCCACTTCGGGCAGCTGTGGCCCGCTGGTGAATAGAGTTAGACGCTTGCTTTTACTGGCTTCGTGTAGGTCTACCTAGAAGGGAGTAGCAGAACTCTAATGCTAGCCTGGCTCTCGGATGCCAGCTGACGAACGCAGTTCCATCTCGCCTCTTTGCTCTTCGACCTCGTCGGGCATGCGACTCGAGTGAGAGCTTCTGCGACGACCAATTCCCCAGGACCGCCCGTATACTCGACCACCGCCGACTGTCCTGGAGTTGCCGGCGAGAGAGGACCGCACCTGCGCATTGTTGGGGCACCCACACGTCTCCACACTCCGCCTCAGCCACCCCGGTGAACTTCGACCGGGGCTTCAGCGGTTCGAGAGCAATAGATCTGCTCGCTGAGCTTTTGCAACCAGATTCTACGCGAGACACTCGCTGTCATTCCCTGCGACACCGCCTGGACCCGTGGAGCACAACCTTTCAACGTCCTACACGAGCATAACGTCGCTCGTTCAGCGGCCGTCCCACTGTTTGCGAGATCGGCTTCCTGCTTGGCACCATTTCCGGCATACCAGGCTGCTGACCACGATCATTCTTTCCACGACAGCTGCCTGAGGAAAGATCGCATCATTGGAGGAAGCTGCAGGTTGGACCTCTGAATTACTTATTGTCAAAAGATTGGAGCATGCACGCAGAGGATGTCGCGAAACAAGAGCCGGAGAGTGACTCGCCGGGATTGAGCGCGAGCGCCGCGAGTCCTGCTCTGACGAACGGTACGTCGGCACTTTGTCGCATACCTCTCTCGCTGCATTGCATGGAGCGCAGTGAACAGCAAGCTGACCATCAATGCCACAGTCTCGAAAACGAGCAATGGCACCGCCACCACGACCCCCACGACCACAACCAATGCCAATGGCACTGTAAAGCCCGCATTCCCACCGCCCAAGACGGATAAGCCACGGCCGCACGTGTGCCAAACATGCACTCGGTCGTTCGCCCGCTTGGAACATCTCAAGCGACATGAACGATCTCACACGAAAGAAAAGCCGTTCGAGTGTCCGGAGTGTACACGATGTTTCGCACGTCGAGATCTGCTGCTTCGCCATCAGCAAAAGCTCCACATGACCAACACTACTACGCGACCACGCACTGGCCGACGCGAGAGTGTGGCGGGCGGGAATGGCAATGGCAGAGTGCGCAAGAATTCGGTCGCGAATATCAATGTGAATGGCATTAACGGCGCAGCTTCGAATCAGATTCGTCCACGAGCGAACACGATCAGCCACATCGATCTCTCTTCCCTGGGCCTGATGGATGGCCACGCTCAGATGGACCGCATGAATGCACTGGGCTTGGGTATGAACGGCGCCGGCATGATGGGTACGCATCCAGGCCTTGGACACTTCGACTATCGTGGCATGTCTACTGCGATGGGCCAGCACGGAAACCTGCATGGTCTTCCCAAGCTAGACACGGCTCACGCCAATCATATGGATATGACGAACTCGCTCCGAACGGCACCTCCTCAGGCAAGCTTTGGCGGGTTCGACATTGATCAACTTTTCACTCCACATACGACGATAAATCCAGCCGCCTTGCATTTTGGCTCGGCTGGGCAAATCTCATCAACTAATATTCCTTTTGGCCTTGAGGCTGGCACAAATCAGCAAGTCCCCATAGATGATGACTTTGGCTGGATGAGGAACTGGGGTATGAACATGGCTGGCAATGATCACGAGAATGCCATCGAAGAGTCCTCACCATCGCGCATGAGCAGTGGCGACAGTCCTGGGGATTTTTCGGAGAGCATGACAAACAGTCAAGCTGCCATCCCGATCCAGAACAACTTTCAGTGGCATCCGCAAGACCTTTCCCTCCAGCAGACTCTCTCGCATTCATCCACTGGCCCCTTCCAGCTTGATGGACTCTGCAATGGCCTGCCTTCATTGGACCAACAGAATGGAACATTGTCACCATCCAGCCTACATGATCCCACGCCTACTGGCGATACTTACTTCCACCAAGCGATGATGCAACACAATAATGCCTCATTGCAGAGACACCCATCTCAGGCGGACATCATGCAGAATCAGGGCGCCAATTTCTTTGGTGCTCCGGTTTCGAACATTGACTCTGACAGCCCTGGCATGTCTTCGCCGTCCATGACGAGCAGCACAAGCGCTAGACAGAGCTCCATGACATCGATGTCAACAGATTCGATAACCGAGTCTACCAGGCAAGCGCTTCTGAACAGCTTGTCGCAGCCTTCCCTTTTGGTTGGTCACAATCAACGCAAGTACTCACAGCCTACAGTGAGCTCTCCCCTATCTGGCGGAGCAGGCGCGCGAAACGCAACTCCCGAAGGTGTCACGCTACCCAGCCGCGCGGACTTGCAACGGTACATCGAAGCGTTCATGCAGTATGCCCATCCACATCTGCCAATCACCCATATTGCAACTGTGACATTCAATCCTGTGGACCTTGTCGCGCCTCAAAAGGGATCACCGCCAGCATCGTCTTCCCCGTTCGTCACCGCCAACGGTCCACAATGTCTTATTCTTGGTATGGCCGCTATCGGTGCTCTCTACGAGTACGACCATCCGGCATCGAAGAACCTGTTTGAGGCTGCGAAGAAGATGATTTCCCTGTATTTGGAAGACAGGCGCAAGGCCGACATGGCATCTGCAATCAACCGGGAAGCTTCGCATAGCACAACACCGCTGTGGCTTGTGCAAGCCATGCTCCTCAACGTCATCTATGGCCACCACTGTGGAGATCGTCTGGCCGCAGAGATCTCTAGCAACCACATTGCCGCACTCGTGAGCCTGGCACGAAGTGCCGATCTGCAGACGCTTGACGAGCCACGGTCCGCCAACGGCGACACCGCGATGGGCAATGGCGATAACAGTGACTTGCACGCCACTTGGATCAAATGGAAGACTGCGGAAGAACAGAAGCGCTGCTTCTTCGGAATTTTCATCTTGTCGAGCTTGCTGACCACTGCGTACAATCAAACGCCGTCCATCATGAACTCCGAGATTCTGCTCGATTTGCCGTGCGAGGAAGAGCTTTACGAAGCTCCTTCTGCTGAAGAGTGGCACGCACGTGGAGGCCTGGCGAGAGTTGAGGAGAACTCGCTCTCTTTTGCCGATGCTCTAAGCTCTCTGCTCACAGCAAATCAAAGGAGCTCAACTTTCGACAATGGCAACTTTGGAGCCTCTGGTAGCAATTTACCTGCTTCTGAAATCAAGCCTAGCACGTTTGGATGCTTGGTATTGATAAATGCGCTGCACAACTACATCTGGGAGACCCGAAGCAGACATCGAGGGCGCGAATGGACGATGCAAGAGACGGAGTCCATGATCGCAAATATCGAGCCTGCTCTCAACGCCTGGATGGCCGCATGGAAAGCCAACGAACGGCATACGCTGGAACGACCGAATCCCTTCGGACTTGGCCCACTTGCTGCTGACAGCATCCCTCTACTCGATTTAGCGTATGTGCGATTGTACGTGAATCTCGGCCGGACAGCAGAGGCTTTCTGGGCAAGAGACTTCAACAAAATGGCAGAAGAGCTCATTGCCTTCAATGCATTCGAAGAGAGCTCAACAAATGATGCCAAGACTCCTGACACACGCAAGTCGCCAGATACCAGGACCCTAGCTCAGCGCAGAACGTCTTCCGCTATTCCGAACGATCAAGCGGCATCGACGAGGCGCGAGCGTCATTTGCGGAAAGCTGCAGCTTACGCAGCCGATGCATTGACGGTGGCGTGCAGATTCAATCTCACCTACTCTGACGCGCACGCACATGAGCTTCCAATTCAAGCAGCAATTTGCTTCTTAGACTGCGCTCAAGTTTTGGCTGAGTGGGTGACTACCGTCCAAGAGCGAACCGGCAAATATCTTGGCGTCCTTGGAAGGGATGCAGTTGATTACACAGACGTTCCAGCTGTCATGCTCCTCGCGCCAGAGGACATGGAGATGCTCCACAAGTTGGAACAAATCTATACGAGCATGAAAGAAAAGCACGCTCACCAAGAGATGAACCTGATGGCGATGAACCCCAACAATTTCAGCACAAACATGCACCACAATGTCAACTTGGACAGGTGTGGATATGGAAGCAAGATTATGCGAGTGACAGCCATGATGCTGGAGAAGGCTGTCATTTGGCCGAGTAAGTATCCAATCGTCCTGAATAGCTCATCAATGACTAACACTTCGAAGTTACACATGTAATGGCCGCAGCGCTCGAGATTCAAGCCGGTCATATGGATCGCCGGTCTCTTCAGTGTACTGGCGAGCTGTCTGAGACGACTGCATAAACCGAACTGCTTTCATCTTGACACCATATCCAAAAGGACATCGACGCCCATCGCCGAGCTGAAGCAACCTAACACTTCTTAAGTCGACTTTTCGCATACGTTGTACAGGAATCCCGCTGCTGATGAACAACTTATCTAACAAATGGATCGTGCATGGGATCAGGAGAGATATTCCAAAAACAAGATAAAAGCTCATTGATGCATTTGAAGGACCGGTGGGGAAAAATGCATCACTGTCGTTACATGGGCATCGCGTTGGCAGTGCGCTTCAGCTCAGGATTGAGGGAATGTTACCAAAGAGTCCGTCCTACGGCGCGGACGCAAAAATATATTGACGATATGATGACCATGGTGAATGGGGATGTTTAGTAGTAACTTATGGTTATTGGAAAGGGAAGGACATTGGGCGTGGGCAAAAGTGCGCATGTAATACTTTGTCCATAAGAACTACTATGGCAGGCTGTCTTTTCAAGCCAACAATGATGTGCATGAATCAAACTCCAGAGTCAGCGTCAGCCGTATAACTGAGTACATTAAAGTGCTCCGTATCCAAGCCAAACTCGTCGCACGACATAATCGCTACTATCACGCGAGTCAGCAGCAGATGATGCCACCTTTTGGTACCTTGCAGTTCGACCGCCTTCCCTGTTTGCACATGCAAACCATCCACACACCACGCGACACACCCTCCAGATCCATCACGCCAACCGATCGGTACTACCAGATCTCTGGATTGCCAGGCACACACGCCACATGTACGTGGGTTGGATGTGTGAGGTACCTGTGCTGCCGGTATACTAGCGAACAAGAAGCCGAGTGACCCCTCACGATATAACACCACCTCCCAAACAGACCCGGAAACACCGCGGCAATACTGCGACCAGATCTGTGCGATCGCTCCGCAAGATCCGGAGAGCAGCAAACAGTGCTCCGCGAACTGGTATATCACCAGCAGCAGCACGAAGAGCGAGCAGTGGGAGGTCCAGACACAGAGAAGCGGTCGTGGCCCTGCGGAGCAAGTGAGGAGGCGTGAGGAGTAGACGTGCTCGGAACCAGTTTGACACCACTTCCAAGACTTTACTCATCATACCCACGGCCCTTTTGCAACCACCCGGCTTGATTCCGATACCTCGCTCCATATTGCTAGTGAGAGGGGAAAGCGAACAAGAAAAGAGGGGATCTGAAACTGAAACTCACCATGTGCCGCTTTCTTATCTACTCCGGACAGTCGCCCATTCTCCTTTCCCACCTGATTACCAGTCCCACGCATTCGATCCTTACACAGTCCTACGACTCCCGGCTGAGACTTGATACTACCCGGCCGCATAATGGGGATGGGTTTGGAGTGGGATATTATACTGCTGGGAGTGGGAGGGTGAATGGGAGGAATAGGAGGAGAGGGTCAGGAAGTAAAGAGAAGGATGAACAGGATGATGATATCGTTGATTTGGGACCGGAGCCTTGTATCTTCACATCCACGATCCCGGCCTGGAACTGCAGGAACTTGGAGAGGCTTGCGAGCAAGACTGTCTCTCCGCTCATCTTTGCCCATGTACGAGCGAGCACCGAAGGCGCACTGTCCGATTCCAACTGCCATCCCTTCGCGAGAGGAGCCTTGATGTGGATGCATAATGGTGGTATAGGAGGATGGAAGCTTGGTGTGAAGAGGAAGCTGGTCAGTGATGTGGAAGATAAGTGGTTCAATGTCGTGCAGGGCTCGACGGATTCTGAATGGGCCTTCGCGCTCTTCTTGGACAGCTTGGAGAAATTTGGAGGCGTGGATCCGGATGATGAAGCAAAGCAAAGAGACGGGTTCGGACACACAGTACTGAGGAAGGCAATGCTGAAGACGATCGAGAGGATCAACTCATATATCTCGGCCTTGTCGCCAGAGGTCAAAGAGGGCGAAGATGTACGAAGTCTGTTGAACTTCGCCATTACAGACGGCAAGAGCGTGGTGTGCACACGATACGTATCAAGCCAAACGGACGAAGCAGCGAGCTTGTTCTTCAGCAGCGGAACGGACTGGAAGCCTCAGCCTGGGAAAGATGGCGTCGTAGGAGCGAAGCCGAAGGTCGGAAAGGGTGAATACAAGATGGAGAGGAGAGACAAAGGCGCCGATATCGTGCTGGTCGCGAGCGAGCCGCTGACCTTTGAACGAGATAACTGGGTCACAGTGCCGACGAATAGCGTCTTGACGATCCACAATCAGAATGTTCTCATTCATCCTATCTTGGACGAGCACTACAATGCAACATCAAGCTTCAAGAGGAGTGAGCAGTTCGCGGCGGCCAAGGGACAGACAACTGGAGATGGCATTGCTGAGAAGAACAGTACGAAGGCTGCCATAGCGAGGGACAACTCGGTGGATCACTTGGCCAATGGCGTCGGAGCTGTCGCTGTGGGTGCTGCGTGATGTTGCAGGCGCTCCCACACTTGACGCAAGCCAGACTGCAGAGAGAGACGCCTGATCGGTTCTAAGCATCTCGTCTTGTCCGCCAAAAGACTTGCGAAGCCGTCGACAATGCGACCGGACATAGCGCTTCCCTTCTTGATCTCGCTCCGGCCAATGCGCCCTTCATCATCCGACCCTGTATGCTGGCCTCTGTCGGCCCTGGAAAAGAGTTCGGTTAACGTGTTTGATAAGCATGTGCATCAGATAGGCATGTGCATCAACCCAAAATGCAGCCAAAATAAGCGTTTTTGAAATGCGATTTCTCGACAACGCAAAGAGATACAGACTTATCCTCTGGTCCGAGGAAGTTAAAAGGAGTCCTAGAATTAGAATTGCAGGTCAAATGTATAGCTCGCATCCGTAGTTATCTAGAGATCGTAGTCCTACGACTTTCTTAAGGCTAATATCTAGTTTCTGAACGCTGTAGTACTATAGCAAGTCCTAGACTTAGATATTCCTATAATCGGACGCTCTAAAAGCTATAGTAAAGGTACTAAGGCTATATCTCTTTGCGTTGTCGAGAAATCGCATTTCAAAAACGCTCATTTTAGCTGCATTTTGGGTTGATGCACATGCCTATCTGATGCACATGCTTATCAAACACGTTAGCACTCCGAGAACCCCAGTAGCACGGGCTATCCGGGGTTTTGGATGAGGCATTGCGCAGCTTGAGACAGCCGCGTACTTGGTGTCAGTCACACAGCCTCGTCAGCACACTGTGTGGCCGGACAGTGAACAGCGATCAGCGGTCAAGACACTAGAAAGAGCAAGACTTCCCCATGCTACCAAGCAGCCATTGCAGGACAATCGGCGCTTGTTTAGCCACTTTGTACGTGTATGTGTATTCCACAATTGTGCGACTTCTTAGTAGCGTAGATAGATGTATCATTAGCTGTATCCATACTGTACTACTCCACGTGCTCGCAGCAGCTACAGCTATAGCTACAGCTCCATGACAGATGCAACCACTACTCACACCGCTAGGAGGTAACTGAGCACAGTTTCTTGGGTCGCCGCGCCTGATAGCGTGGTCCATGACTCTCTCCCTTCAGGGATGATCATCAATGGTCAACCATCGTCAAGCGTGCAGCGGCGTCTGTCTCAAACTTTCCAGTCCTTTGGAGCCGCACTGTCTGTCCATGACCC